CACCAAATATCATAGATTTTATAAATTCCTTTCTCAAAAATAACTTCCCAGTCTAAATATTTAATTTTGTTTGGATTAATGCTATCTAGTTTCCAAAATAGAAATTCCTTAAAGTTCCGAGCATTAGTTAATACATTTGAACATTTTCTACTTTGCTGGTGTGTATTTGTGAACATGCATGTGACCATACATATACATGGTACAGGTATGGTACCGTGATTTCTTTACTGCCGCATTTGTAATAATAAACCTCCTTTCATCAAACTAAACTTCAATTCCTTCCATTTTCATCCTAATAAACTTCCCCTTAAATCAAAACTTCTCATACAAAGTTTTACTATATCAATTATACGTATAAATAAACTTTGATTTTAATTTTGATGCAGTTGATAAATGTCAAACTTTGGTATTAAAAAGGAAGATTGACAGTTTTTGGGTCCAGTTTTAGCCACAATCAGCAAATCTTTAAATTGTTTACAATTAGAACATTTATAAGACTAATTTGTCTTTCTCCCCCCACCCACCTCTAACACTCCCCCTCCCCCCCCACCCTCCAAAAAAAAAGTCAGTAACTGGTTTGTGAAAAAATTCTTTGACTCCTCTGCCCCATCCTATATAGTCCCAAAAGTTGGCAAGTATGATATATAAGATTGGTGTCATGGAGGTCAAAACTCCAAACCAGCTCCATTTTTGTATTGATTTTCCTTCATAATTTTCAACAGCTACATGTCTGTAAAACTTATGCAGCACTAGATATGATTTATAATTGGCAAACTCCTTAATATAAACATGTAAACATGCTACATGTAGTACCGTACTTTTCCTCCAATAGGCCCACCACACAAATAAAGTCATATTCAAAGTCTGGGACTGAGTTTTATTAACTTAACTACGGTTAAGTTTCACTGATGAAAAATCTTGAAAAAAGAAAGGTTTTAAAATATAAAGTTTTATCCATGAACAAAATTTTCATTCCAAATACATTGAAAGGTTGTGTAACTTATATATAAAGTGTGTTTATCATATCTATGTATATCTGATGTGGAACATTTTAATTAATGCTGGTATACAAAATATTAATAGTAACTGTCACTGTCAGGTTTTTTTGTGGTCAGTGCCAACAAAGTAAATTACTGTATGTAAAAATAATCTACACGTATATACATACCTCAGGGACATTCCATGAAATATGTCACAAAAATATGTTACCTGGCGTTGAAAGACTCCTATTTCAGAGTCAAAAACAAAATAATTATCAGAGTCAAAAACAAAATAATGATTAATCCAGATGAAAAAAAAATAAAATATACAAAAATTTGATCTGTTAATCAAATGCATTTAAATAATTGTCAATAAAAAAAATCCATCAATCAACTTCATATTATTGTTTCTCTGCACCAAATTCTCAAACATGGAAGAAAAAATTCACCAAATTTCTTGCAAACAACGAACTACAATTTTTCCCCATAATATCTTTAGTGTAATTGCTTTATGAGAAACAGGTCTCTCTTATCTGTGAACTTTAACCTTTATATGTAATATAATAATACATGTAACCCTGCTTTCATCACATACTCTGTTGTAATGGGTATCATATATGAACAAAGACGATAATGACGATATGTCTATACTTTCAGACAGAGGCAGCCCACACTCGTTTGTCTAACAGTTTTTGTAGCTAACTTTCGCAGGATTTTATTGCTGGGCTGCATTTAGTAAATATCAAACCTCTTATGACAGTAACAGATCACTGATCTACACCAGTGGCAGATCCTGTGATTTCTGAAAGGACATGTTCTATCTAAACTTAAAAATAAATTTTGTATTGTAAACAAAAATAATACTTTGTAATCAAATTCAAATTTATCAAGTTCAATTCTTTAATCAAAATGTAATTTTTCAGAATTTGATATTGTTTACAAATTAACATGTCCTAGTTTTCTTTGTACATAACCTGAACTATCTTATTAAGAATGACAAATGGCAATGACTTGCCATTTTAAATATATATGTATATATACATCAGAGTTTCAACCAGTGACCTCCATGTTTAAATATATATACCAACTGCTAACAAATACATTTCTAAATAGAAGTGAAGAATACAGGAAAGATTTTAAAATTCCAGCTGTTTGTTACACATAATATAGTGTAATCATGCAATGCCTCCATTTCTAAGTTGATTATATTACCTGCCTACAACCTTGCCTGAAAGCGGGTCAGTGAACACCTGAACCAAAGCATACCCCACACCAATATTTGCACAGGTAATTGTAATTGCTTTTGTTCACCCTAAAATCCTTTATCATCAGAGGTTTTCTTTTTCAACTATATAATTAATTTGTTAAATGGTTAATGTAAAAAGATATAATTATGATTTTTTTTTAAATCTATCATACTTTTCTTCATCTCATTTTTAATTGAAGTTTAACTGCCTCCTTAAGGTTATTAAGCAAGCTGTCTCCAAATTATTTTATCTACAAAAAAAATCAACGATACCGAGTGCCAACCAAACAGGGCTATAATGTTGTTTGTCCAGATGTCATGCAATCAATACAAATTCATATTTCTATACATCAATATTTTGATTTATGCAGGATAGCTGAATTTCACAATCCAACAGATTGCATTACAAAGTCATATAGAGCTAGGAATTTAAAATAATTCTGTACATTTATTTGTAAAATCCAAAAGAAGTTGATGCAGTCTTTTACACACATATATACTAAATATCACACATGGTACCAGTGACTGTATGTGGAATGTACTGGGCTGGCTAGGCCAATTTCTTGTACAAGTCTAATTATAGATATGACAATCTCACATTTTCATTTGTTTTTAATACTCTCTTATGAGTAAATTTGAAAATATTAATTGTAAATTAACAATACTTTTCCAACTCATTATCATTAGCAATAATTCAATAATATTCATATCTTTCATTATTTGATAGTACTATCTATATTCATTACATAGAACTGCCTTCAGCAACACCTGTCTCCCCTACCATATTACCTCGAGAAGAAAAAAAATAATGTTGAATGAAATAATTATGATAAGATAATTATATTATCATTTAGAAATAGATAAGTTCTCAAATTTCATGAACAATGTGTCTTTTTATCAAAAAAAAGAGCAAAATTTGGAATATGATTTTATATATTATAACGAAACTAAACAAGAATTTCTGGACTGAACTAGGTACAACAGGTATTTTAACATCATGTGTAATTACTAAAATATCTGCACTGTATTTTTTATGTATCCGATACCGATGTTTCATTTTTAGCTAGTGATTATGTGGAAGGTATGTATTTTAAACACTGTCGTGGAGAGAGAGTTTGCTCTTGTGTCCACATTATAGATCTCCGTTTCGCTCATATAATGTTGAAGCTGTTCAGTAATATTACAACACTGCGGAACCTACCTTCTATTTTATCCATTTCGCCATGAACGGTGTTGTACACCTGTGGCAATGCCTGGTAAATCCAAAACAAAATCCACTTTGTCACTATCTCATTTTGTTGGACTGACAACAGCACACACTGTCTTATAAATAAAATGATATACAGTACGTATCGAAAAGCACACGCTACTGCTAGCTATACATACCGTGACACATCGTATGTGTACTGTACACATCGCTGCTTCCTATTTTCACATCGGCAGCCAATCAAATTCGTTTTTATATTTCGCGGTAAATATTAAACCAATCAACATATACCTTTCTACCTGTACGTGTAAAACAGCTTACAGGAGAATAATCCAACGTTAAAAAGTCCATATTATCATTAAAGTATCATATAAATATCGAAAACATAATAGTGATCATTTATATTTTTCGGAAACACGTGGCTTGGCAAAATTTGTTCGGGAAAAGTCACCTGAAATGTAAACTTCCGTTTCTGCGCCACTTCCTGCGCAGAAGTCTGAAATTTGCACGTGTTGTTCAAAGATGGCGGTTTAAACGACCTATACCGGTGGATTTTCTGTGCTGTTCGTTTATGTGAACCAGACCAGTAACAATTTGTATGTGTCTTCCGTCTTATTCCTTTGCCTGAATTAGGGCAATCTTGCTTTGTTCTCAAATACTTTATGTAGGAAGAAAGCCGAATAATCTTTAGTTTATCGAAGTCTGGCAGTTTTTTAAGTTCAGAGTGTTACACTGTTACACTTATATTTATCAACGTCATGTCCATGTATGAACAACTAAACACTAATTTAAGGCAAATCATGTTTATAAATGTCTGATAATCATATAAAGCTTAACGTGATTTCATGTGCAAATCTTATTATTGTGTTCTTATTCTAGTCTGCTAAAACTGACCGTAACTGCAACCTCAAAAGCTTATGGACAGTTATTGTGACAGTGTTATGGTTGATGCATAGCTGAAATGTTTTCTACGATAGACTTGTAATCTTTGATTAGTGGAAATTTCTCTTAGTAAGACCGTAGAATATCCAACTAGAGGGGCAAATCGTTTCGGTATTTTTTAAAATGTTTTGATTTATGTATTTAATTAGGTTTTATAAAATGTTTTGCCATTAACAAATATTGTTCATTCCATTACTAACAAACTGTTCACTGAAAATGACACTCCAGCTGTGTAAATCACTTTTCAAGTACTGAAATGACTTTTGTTAGTACTGAAACAAGCTGGTGCCAAAAACTTTGTACCGAAATTAATAAAATTTTAACTAGAGATAGGTGGGTTGTGTTGACCAAGGTGGGTTGTGTTGACCACTCTGTGGGTAGAAGCAGTAGATGATTGAGGTGATTCTGTGGAAATATCAAACCTGGAAGGTTGTTTTTTTGTGCAGCTAACATTACCAGTATTGGCTTGTAGATATTTCCCTTTAGTCAAGCAACAGTGTCAAGCTAGGGGTTGATGCATCGCTAATTCAAACCCTAGCAAGGACAGCTGTATATCTTTACACCTTTCTATGAAACAATGTTGTGCACAGGTGTTACCTGTTTTTTTTCAACACTACAGGAAAATCCACTGCCAATCCTATAAAGATGAGACCGGGGACCAAGCCTCATACGGTGTCATCATTACTGCCTTACCAGCATGGCACCATCACCAACATTAATGCTGGATCTGTGATCAGAGGGGCTCCAGTGTGTGCTGGGGTTTCAAAAGGTATACTTTTAAATATTGGATTTTTCAATTATACCTGTCATAACAAAATTCTTTATTACATTTTATCTTCAAACTAATTGTGATGAAATCCAGACTTGAATCCTTTACTTATGACCTAATGAAATATTGAAAGTGTATTTATGGGAATGAGTGTGGACTCAGGTCTACAGTATGTATGAACAAGGTCTTCAAAAACGAGATAAATTGGTTTTGATAACATTCTGCAGATGGTGGGCTATCTTGGATCACACATGGCCCTGTAGTGGAGGTAGTGAACACAAAGACCAGAAACTGTCTGGCATCATGGACATTTGGTGCAGTGCTGAAGGACTCGCATACAAGTATTGCCAGTGTGGCCGAGTACAAATGTAACCAAGATTTGAAGCTATTATTGGGAGTCAACAACTCGTCAGACAACGGCATGCTCTGTGTGTTTGATGTCAGTCTGTCCAAAGTTGTCAAAGCCATAGAAATTCCTCATAAGGTAAGATAATTAAATCAATCTCAATACAAAGTAACTACCATTCTGACTTCTGAACAAGGAATAGAGATTTTACATTATAACATTTCTTGTTCGCTCTGATATGAATTTGAATGAATTAAATGCAGCATTAGTTAGTTTTGATAATATTGTGTTAATCACTCCAAGACAGTATCTATTGAAATAATGTAGCCTTACTAAACTGCGGGAAATGAATGGTTTTGATATGCAAGTTTTTGTTAGCAAAATAGAAACATTGTGTACAGTTGTGGTGTGATGCTGACAACTCAAAGTACTACATTGTAAAATTGGTAGCCTTGCACATCTTAGGACTCCTAGGACAATTTGTCACTGAGATTAATCTAACTTGTTTACACTTAATTAACTATTGTTTCTACAGGTTACCTTTGTGGAGCCTGTGACTTCAGTCGGTGGTGATTATGTCCCAATTTGGGCCCTCAACGAACAACTTCGACAGTTTTATGGTATTGTGGCAGTGGGCACTGAAGGAGGCTTTGTCTACTTAATTGGTAAGGTTCTTTTTTATACTTTACAAAGTTTTATTAGTGTAACTAAGTTTGTTTTGACCCATAACAAGAAAACATCTTAAGAATACCCAACTCTGTGTTCGAGAGTGCTTTGTGGTTAATTGATGAGAAGGAAAACTACTTTTGTATGCCCTACCCCAATTATAGGTTTTTGTCTGAAAAATGTCTGACTTATAAAGCTGTAGTTTCACTCGAATGCTTTTTGTTAAAAAAATGTCCGACTTGAAATCCTGTAGTTTCGCTCCAATATTTTATTGTTAAAATACATGATATTCCATTCTGACATTTTTTTTCCCACCAAATTGTTCATATATGTCTACGTTTTAACAACCATGGTTAAAATATGTTAGATAATTATTACATTTACAGAAAAAATATATCATTTACAAGACAGGAATTAATCTTTGTTATTTTATTGTTAACAACAGATATGTGTGTTGATGAAGAGGCTGACTACTCTGATGAAATAATGCCTAATCGACTCTTGTTTGTAACACCACGATCACGAGATGTCCAGCAGCGCAGGGTACAAGCTGTTTCTAAGGGCCAGCAACTCTGCATGGTTCTCGATGGTCAGTTTACCAACAGCCAGATGTGACTTGTTAATGATGTAGGATTCTTCTGGACATTTTGTGGTCCAAAATTTGACCTTTTCATCAACATCTCCAGATTTTCCAAATTGTAAATCAGGTTATCAAAAAATTAAACATTGTCCCTGGTCGTGCATAAATGTCAGTGATTAACATGGAAGATGCCCAAAGTATGACCTGCATGTAAAGATATCCTTTTTTTTTTTTAAATTTAAGTTTTTTTTTCTTACATCACTACATTTGAAATGAAAATAGCATTAGTGTTGATAGGTTTTGTTTTAATTATGGAAGTACTAAAATTTCAAATTATACATGTTTCTTATTGCAAACAGTAAACCATTAACAAACCATGGTACCAAAAGATTGAAGCAGACCAAAACAAACCAAATAATGTGAATTTAATCAAATTTATAGGTAGAAAATATAATTTGTTTATAATAGATTTAATTGTCAAATAATCCAACACCCAAATATTGAAAATATATCAATAAAAAGAAAACTTTTCTTCCCAAAGGGAATTACCTACTAAATTTCAGAATGTTTGTTGGTATTTGAAACTTTAGAGATATTTTACAACGGTTTGAATTCTACAAAATATCTTCTGCCCTATGGAATAGACAATTTTTATTGTCTTATATATGACTGGAAAATACAGTGTATGTAAATGTAAGTTAACTTGTGATTAAAGTTGTTTTATTTGCATTGACAGAAGAGGCCCAGTGTCAGGGTGAATACCAGTACAGGCGATGTGACGGCACTGTTCTAAAGCTCTTCAACACAGGTTGGTATATTACAAACAATGTGACAGCATTGAACTTCAAAGATCTTTGTCAAAGTATTTCATACTAAAGACTCAATGACAGTACTAGTTTTAAGCTCTTAATTCAATTTAAAGTTGACGTTCATGTCTTACGTTCAATTTTTGTATAGTTGTTGTGAAAATTAAAAAAGATTGAAAGAAAAGACAATCTACTATCAGTTATCCTTTGAATTACTTACATTGTTATGACTTTAAAAGATTCTTTTACTAGCGTGATATATGTAAACAAAAACAAAATGTTGATTGCTTTACAGAGGATGTCAAAGTTACCTGTTTGAAATACATTCCTCAGACTGGCAACCTGGTGGTTGGCTTCAACTTTGGCTGCTTCCAGTTGTGGAAACTACATATACCTGTACTGGAGTGAGTTTTGTTGGAAATACCTGATAGTAGACCATTACATAAATATTTATTGAACTGACATCTTTTGATATTAACCACTGTGGTGATTCAATTGACTGTTGAAATCTGGCTTTGCTGTCTGTTAGTGGTGTTTTTCAAGGCTTCTTGAACAAATTCCTGAGGCCTGGATGATAAGTAGGTGACTGTAAAAATGGATAAGGTGATTGGCTTTAGAGGTTACTTGAGCAAATGTACATCACATGTTTGTACAGTTTTTTCTGAATATTGTAACAGAGACGGCTAAGACTACAACACTTTGATTAGTTGAAACTTTATCAAGGTAAAAAAAAAACTCATTTACAATTAATGTCTTGAAAACTTATTCAACATTTTCTAAGCCATTTTGAATATTCATGGTATCAAATGCAGTGATAACATGGTGTATAGTAGTATAACTATGTTGAGAAGATAAACTCTCATCAAGGTTGTACAAGATTGATAGGTTGCTACCAAACTGGATGTGAAAAATTTGAACTTTTTGAATTTTTACAGAGATGGGAAATACATTTGCTAATGGTAATGAACAACACACAAACGATACAAATCCGTTGGTACTTTTGTTGTTGTAACTTACATAACAAATTACACACACACAGGTACAGCAGTCGATTGGAGGTTGATTCTGTTCCAGTAACTCATATCGCCTACCAGGAGCCAGAGAATGACCCCAAAAATTTCTGCTACCTATGGATGGCCCGGGACCCATCAGAACAACAGTATGTTCTAAAGTTCTTTCTTCACCTGAATTGTCAATATAAAGAAAAAACTTTTGGTTGATACAGTATATTTTAAAGATATTTTATGCCTTAGTCAATTTTGAACCTAGGTGTTTGTAGTTGAATATGGGTCATGTTACAAGAGATTAAGATATAATAGTCAACTACTCAAAATCTTGGAAATCTTGACTGGTTGAATTTTTGGTGTGGTTTTACTGTTATGTCTGTTTTATTATGATATGTTTTGAAACAACTTGAGTAACATAATAGATTTCCCTGTGAATTTCGCAGCCAACCAGAGAACAGGTGTTTTTTAGATAATACAGTTGAAGTCTTGAAATCAGCGTCTTTTTTGTGATATTTGTGTCGCATCCTAGATAAAGCCATTACATCTGATATGTCATCATGCGTTGAAAATGTTATTTGAAAATGTACTGTGCAATGCAATGTTTTCTCACGGAAATATTAGAAAGAAAACTGTTGATTCCAGTTTATACAGACAAACAAGAGGCATTATGCATTAAGTCATTTATGTTGTTATTTCTTCTAGAGTGAAATACTGAAGAAATATGCAGGTGTGGATGGGAGTAGACTTATTTTGTAGTAAAATGTCCTGTTTTGTAGAGATGAAGGTGTGTCAACAACCTCTTTATACCAGCTGGCATACAATAAAAAGACCTGGTACAGTAACTATGGAGCATTCTACGAGGTGGGTATGCTATAAGGCATCATATAAAATAAACCACAGTTGTTGCTTTTTTTATGCTGGATGATGTTCAATATATAAAATTTTACAAATATCCCTGATTTTACATTCAGTGAAGAATGATACTCCTACAAAGGATATTAACAGTTAATTTTAGATTGTCCTAGTAAAAATGAAAGCTGTGATATTTTATATTATTTATTTTGGTATACTGTATTTCGGAAGAAAAGTACTGAACTTTCCCTATGTAGTCATGTTTGAATATAAAAGTTATGTAAATTTGCTACAGAATAATTATGTAAATTTGCTACAGGAATTGACATCCGTGAGCTTACGTTTTGAGCTGGAATTGACATCAACTCCACTGACTCTAAGCAACAAATCCACAGTATCCAGTAGAATAGTTGCTTGTTACACACTTGAGGATCCTAACTACAGCACACCAGCTCGCCTGGGCGAAGACGAGTCTTTTGAGGAAAGTATGTGCTGACTTGATAACAGATTTTGTAACTATATTATTCACAAGTTAGCATTGATGTTGAATATTATTTTTCATGTCATGAGGTGGCACTTCAAATCCTCTTGTAGAATTTAACAATGAGAACTCAATTGTACCTTTATTTCTGACAATGAATATGATTTCCAACCCGCTTAAGTAGTACAAGGATAATTCATTTTCTGTAAATTTGTTTGTGTCTAAACACAGGTGTTCATGGTCCAGATCTAAGTCTCTGTGTAACAGTGTGGGAAAGTAGTGATGGTCAGTCGATCCGTGACACCTGTCATCTTGCCGTGTTTGACATGAACAGATGGTACCATGCACAGATGCCAGCAACTGTCAGGTAAGTTGCATGATATAGACACCACAAAGTAACCTACAGTCAACCTCTCTCAATAGACAACAGAGGTAAGGTTGTGAAATTAACAATTATTATCAGACAATTTGATACTATGCGCCTCTCAACTAATTATTAATGATATAAGGGGCCTGTAGTGTTTCCTGATAATGAGTGTCCCTCAACTAATTTTTTGGCCAGGTCGCACATAGTGCAAATCTGGGTAATGGTGAATGTCAGGCGGGCAGGGAAAGGGGTACCAGTTTTCTAAAATCAACTCCCTAGAGATTTTGACGTAAAAGCTTGAAACTTTGTAGGATGTTTACATATATGTTGAAAATGTGCACCTCTAAATATTGATTCATTCTGGACATTTTTCTTGATTTTCTGGGCTTTAGAACTTGGTCATTTTCCACAGTTTGGCAGGGAAAAGGGGTACAAGTTTTGTAGAATCAACTCCTCCTAGAGTTTTTGACATAGAAGCTTGAAACTTTGTAGGATGTTTATATCATGTTGAAAATGTGCACCTATTAATTTAGGATTCACAAATGACTGCAACTTCTTTCTTCAAATGCCCTTCTTCTGCACCAGTTCATAAAATACAACCAAACTTTCTCACATATAACAAATATTCTACATACTCAACAAATGAAACACCCTTAACTGTCTTATAAATACCATATAACATTGCACTCATCCAGCAACCTGACCAATTGTGGCTTTGCCCCATTTTTAATGATATAAGGAGCCTGTAGTGTTTCCTGATAATGAGTGTCCCTCAACTAATTGTTAATGATGTAAGGGGCCTGTAGTGTTTCCTGATAATGAGTGTCCCTCAACTAATTGTTAATGATGTAAGGGGCCTGTAGTGTTTCCTGATAATGAGTGTCCCTCAACTAATTGTTACTGATGTAAGGGGCCTGTAGTGTTTCCTGATAATGAGTGTCCCTCAACTAATTGTTAATGATGTAAGGGGCCTGTACTGATTCATAACTATAACTTCCTTTAATTACAGAAACATTGCCAGTGTCATGGATACTTGTCCCTACCTTGCCTGTCTGAGTCTGGAGGATGCTGCAGACGTCGCCGCTCCAGACAACATCATAGTAAGTCTCTATTGGCAGTGATAACTTTTGCAAACATCTATTAGTATCTCTTCTCTTTGATAAAGTGTCCAATAATATCTCTACTTCACTTAAAGGTTTTCAATGCAAAATGATTTTCTGTGTAGACTCACTTTATAAGAAATTTAATAAATTAGATTAGTTTAAGCAAACAATTGGAGGGAGGTGAGCACTAAATTGATAAAATGGTTTCTTTTTCAATTTTGAATTAATATTTCGTAAAAAGAAATTGCAAGGACAATCAAAATCAGATTTTGGTATTAATGGACAAGTTTCTTTCGCTGTGATAATTGTTTGAGACTTGTAAGGGTACAATGGTGAGCCTTTAGCAAAGTGTGTATGAATTGTTGTAGGCGGTACACATTGGTACAGAAAGACTGAGAAAATTCACCAACAACTCTCCCATGCCTCCCGAGCAACACTTCTATCCATCTTCTCTGGCATTTGGTAAGTAGTCAAAAATTCAATTTATTTTTTTTAATGTTATTGTGCAAAAAAAAAACCCATAAAACTTCAGATAAACATGGAAAAATAAAACATTTTGACATCCAGTTTGTAGTTTGTTTGATGGTTACTTTGATCATGTACAACGACGTCTGTTACAGTTCTATGGTTATCATGTGTCCCTATTGAGCCTCCAGTAAAGTTTTGCTTTTAGTTGATGCAGAAATTTTGCGTATCCTTCCAATAATTTCCACATGTTGGTTATTAGATTTTTTTCTTCTTGACAGAGGCCTTAATGGTAACAGAGTCAGGATTTGTGAAGGCAAGCTACCTTGGCACACAGCGACAGGTAGGATGATAATATTCTGGCATGATTGTTTCCTTGTAGTGTTGATAAGTTGTAAAATCAGGGCTTTTCCACTCACTTAAGAAAGGGCCTTTTTATCTTATTTTGGAGTGAAAATTATCAGTTGGGAAGAAATTTCACGGATTAGCTATATATTTTTGGGGATTCAGTCATATCATTGAATAGATCAGTAAAATATACATTTCCTTGCAGTGTTGATAACAACTAATACTATAATGATGATTCTGATTTGTATCACTTGTTTGTATTACAGGTTCTTGCCAGTATGAACAAGATGGGCCCCTCCATTCTGTTGAATCCTAAGGAACTGTACGGCCTGAGTGTCTATATGGGACTGCTTCCTCGTCCCTTAGACTCGGCCTTACATCCCCCAGCAGCGGTTAGTCCTAATGCTCACACTTGAGAAATGTCGGATGATTTGATAATAAGATGAACATGGTGAACAGGTTGAAGGTTTTCCAGAACCACAAACCTTACCTGGTAGTTTAGTTCTCATGTTATCAGAAAGAGAGTAATACTGGCTTTGAGGGTCATACTTAGTTCACTCGAGGTAACTTTTCATTCTTTGTTTTGATCAATTTATCAATATTTTATGTTCTTTTCTAGATGGTATAACTATGGTTTTAATGTACTGGGGATTCTCCACACAAAAGTAACTTGTCTTTCCTTAATCTGTTACAGATTGAGATGAGAGAGATGCTGTTGTCCCTGGCTCTCGACTACAACATGATCAGCTTCCTCATCAAATGTGTTCAACAGTGGGCAGCAGGGGGTAAGTAAACCACTACAGTCAGTCTGGTAAGGTAGCAGACACATCTTCACTGGGGGAAAAAATCAGCATGTGAAACCGGTTTATGAATCACAAACTTTTCTGACTTTTTTGTGCATATTTGATTGTAGACTATTTCACGTTCACCAATAAGACAAATTTTGATTTGCTGTTGGTCTTGGTTATATTTGCAGAGTATGTACATGTAGGCTGTACCCTAAAGTTCCTTCTAGACTGGGCATGGGACAAAGTTGGCACCATCAAAAACATCATAGACACCACATGTGAGTTGACATCAAGCAAGTTTCTATATATCCTGAAATTTCATTGTATTTTGTTTACTCTTCAATTTTAAATATCATGAATTGTACAATCATAAACAGGTACTCCATTGTATGACTGGTCAGGAATCACTTTAGATCAGAGATCTGTACAGACGCTGTACCAGTGCCAGCAGAAATTGGAGTATTTGACAACACTCTTCAAAGTCTTGCTGAACCAAGCAGCTCCCACCACAGAGCAGGGTAGGTATTTAGCCAGATGGAAAATGTTCACCTGTAAACCAAACATTTCTTGTTACACATTAGATGTCATTCTCTTATAGTCCTCCAAACACAATTTTTGTGTTTGAAAGATTAATGTTTTCCACAGCAGAGTTTTTAAGATATGTTGTCACCCATTCTTTATGCAATCTTCAGTTTGTAAAGAAGTCTTTCTTTCCACAATCCTTGATACATAGAAGAACTTTTATTTTATACAGTTTTACATTTGGGTCTGGCTTACTGATATAGAGAATGGTTTAAGAACAATTGTCCAGTCGGCTTTTGGTTGATCATCTTTTTTAAGGCAATTTTTAGTCTGCAGTCTTCCATGACTTCAACATGTTGGTTGATCATGTTTTTTAAGGCAGTTTTTAGTCTGCAGTCTTTCATGACTTCAACATGTTGGTTGATCATGTTTTTAAGGCAATTTTTAGTCTGCAGTCTTCCATGACTTCAACATGTTTACAGTTTAATCGTATTTACCACTTATGTTGATTATAATTTGATTTCTGCTCTTTACTTATTTGTTGTTTACAGTTTGTTTTTGTTTACTCTTATTTATACTATTGATTCTGTTTACAGGGTTGGTTGACTTACAGAACAAACTTTGTGCCCTGACTTACGTTACACAACATCTACAGATGGTGCTATGGTTCGTCCGAGTTGGATTGCTTCCAGAACGTGATGGTGTGTGACATATCACTGACTCTAGTTATATAAAAATTTGTACCTGGAAACAAACCTGTCTACATCTATTGCAATTCAAATACCTTAGAACATTTGATATCATTTTTCAGTTAAAGTTTAATTTGGTACCTTTTCTGTGCTGTGATGTATAGCAGTGCTCTCAACTTACCTATGCTTTTTCCTATGTAGATTGCGATGACAGAACAGACCAGCAGTACAGTTACCCAGCCTCAAACCTAGTACATGCCTATAGGACCAAAAGACAGGATTTACACAAACTGCACAGGTAGGTGTTGCTACACAGGTAAGACTTATCTTCTGCTAAAGCTCCTGATATACAAATATTAACTGACTTATTAAAAAGATCCTTTGTATTAGAAAGATCCTTTTAATTTTTAAACTATCAATTAATTCCACCATATACCTCTTACAGCTTCTTGTTAAGTTTTGACCTCTGTGTTCTTACCTGAGTTCTGAGCTCTGTATTCAGACTTCTGTGTGATTGTCTATTATAGTGATCTCGCGGATCCCGACCTTCTGATGATTGATGGCCTTCTGTCACACATGGGGCCAGCTGTCAGGAATCTTTGGAGCCGAGAAGGAGGAGATGGTCTCTATCCCCCACCTAGTCTACATGTAAGTCAGGAATGGTGTCTATCCCCTACCTAGTCTACATGTAAGTCAGAAATGTTCTCTATCCCCCACCTAGTCTACATGTAAGTCAGGAATGGTGTCTATCCCCCACCTAGTCTACATGTAAGTCAGAAATGGTGTCTATCCCCCACCTAGTCTACATGTAAGTCAGGAATGGTCTCTATCCCCCACCTAGTCTACATGTAAGTCAGGAATGGTCTCTATCCCCCACCTAGTCTACATGTAAGTCAGGAATGGTGTCTATCCCCAACCTAGTCTACATGTAAGTCAGGAATGGTGTCTATCCCCCACCTAGTCTACATGTAAGTCAGGAATGGTGTCTATCCCCCACCTAGTCTACATGTAAGTCAGGAATGGTGTCTATCCCCCACCTAGTCTACATGTAAGTCAGGAATGGTGTCTATCCCCCACCTTGTCTACATGTAAGTCAGGAATGGTGTCTATCCCCCACCTAGTCTACATGTAAGTCAGGAATGGTCACTATCCCCCACCTAGTCTACATGTAAGTCAGGAATGGTGTCTATCCCCCACCTATAGTCTACATGTAAGTCAGGAATGGTGTCTGTCCCCCACCTAGTCTACATGTAAGTCAGGAATGGTGTCTATCCCCCACCTAGTCTACATGTAAGTCAGGAATGGTGTCTATCCCCCACCTAGTCTACATGTAAGTCAGGAATGGTCGCTATCCCCCACCTAGTCTACATGTAAGTCAGGAATGGTGTCTATCCCCCACCTAGTCTACATGTAAGTCAGGAATGGTCTCTATCCCCCACCTAGTCTACATGTAAGTCAGGAATGGTGTCTATCCCCCACCTAGTCTACATGTAAGTCAGGAATGGTCGCTATCCCCCACCTAGTCTACATGTAAGTCAGGAATGGTCACTATCCCCCACCTAGTCTACATGTAAGTCAGGAATGGTCACTATCCCCCACCTAGTCTACATGTAAGTCAGGAATGGTGTCTGTCCCCCACCTAGTCTACATTTAATTTTTTGTTTACATACAGGCCCTGCTGAGTATCTACCTTCTAGATGATGTTGATCTTGTTGCCAAACACAGTGTGGTCCTTTACCTCCTCCTCGACCTTGTCTCTCTCGTCAATGCGGAGCGACATCAACAGGTGAGTGATATAACCACCTGTCTATTGTCAGACAGCAGAATTTTTTTTCAGTGGTCTGATTGACATTTTTTTTGTTTTAAATGCAGCAACAATCTTTTCACACTAGAAATTAATTTCTTTTTCAGTTTGTTGACAAGATAAGCAAGTTTTCAAAAACATTTGCTATTCCTCGGAGTGTGGTGAAGCAAGTTCAAGGCTGCTGGCTACTAGACCATAGTGATTTTGAGGTAAGCAGACAAACATGCACTGAAACTTACAGAGGAATGAATATCAACTTGAGGCAAGAAAAAAAATGTCTCATTGTTATAACCGAGTGTACCACTCTATTAAAGACAAAACAGGTTTGAAATTTTCTTATCTGATTTTGAGTGAAAACATAAGCCTGCTGAATTTTGCAAAATGTGAAAAATTGCTTAAACATTTTTCTTTTGATTAGAAACCATGTGTGCACATTCAGTTAACAATAAAACTCAAAAAGGAAGATTTGTTTATCTGAGCGATGTATGATTTAGATGTTGTAGGATTTGTTATGTTGCTTTAATAGAAGTTTAATTCTCAGTCCACTTACTTGTCTTTATCTTTTTGTAAAAGAAAAGAAATTGTGTATTTCTGTATTCATAAAATCGAAGGTTGTATTGAAAATTTGCTAAATTTACTTTTTTTTTTCCTGGCTCAGAGTGATTAATTTGTATAGTGTTATTAATAGCCAAAGTTAAAATGATCCTGATTGCTGTGATCTGTAGGAAGCATTGTCTGTGATATTGGATCCCATGGTCCTGGAGGAGATGGGAAGATGGCAGCATGGTAGGATTATCCGAGCCTTACTCTACCAAGGTGCTAGCAAGATGGCCCTTCGTTATCTGAGTACTGCCCAGCCATCTCTGACTTCACCGGAGGATGTCAAATTGAAGCTGACCGTCTTACTAGCCAGCGGGTATGTCAATTACTCATCAGACTATAGAAATCTGATTTACAGAGTTATGGCCCATTTTGTATGTGTCTTAACCAATACTGTTCTGTTGCTATACAGCAGCTAACTATATGGCACTCATGCTTCTCTGGTTGTTGTGCAAAACAAATATGTGAATGCTTAAAGTAATCTCAGTGGGATTAAGCACCCACAGCACATGGATGTCAAACTAATGGGACTGATGACAGAACTCATTAGACATCAATGAAGACTTCTGTTCTGTTACTGTATAAATTCGGATTGCTGTTAACAAATGCCTAAGTCACTTTAATCTTTATACCAATAGTTATTGAAGTTACTATGACTACAGTAATGTTTGACGATATTGAAGTGACCTTGACTACAGTAATGTTTGATGATATTGAAGTGACCTTGACTACAGTGATGTTGGATGATATTGAAGTGACTTGGCTACAGTGATGTTTGATGATATTGAAGTGACTTTGACTACAGTAATGTTTGATGATATTCCAGACTGACTGCCGAGGCTTTAGAGTATCAGAGGACTTACAGAGACCAGGTCAACATGCATGACTTGCTCTTCCATCTGTTTCTGGGCTGTCAACAGAGTAAGTTGTAGGGGAAGAAAATACTGGAAAATTTATGGGAAAACAACCTGTGTCTGCAAATATGTTTTTTCTTGCATGCATGGAATGAACACTTTCTAATTATTAAGTTGGCAGGTCTTTCTCAAAGTCAGACTACCCAAAATTTTAACTCTAATAAAATGTAAACTAGAAATAGAATTCCGTTATTTCTCATGAATGTATTCAGAAGAGACACATCAGTGTATAATGTTGACCTGATACAGGACATATTTATCATCTTAAAACATTTTATAAATATTAACAAAAAAATAACTCCCATTGTCAACAGGATTTAATACTGTTGAAATAAGTTTGTCAACAAAACTTGTGTGATTTATTCCAGTAAAACATCCATCCCAACCTTAGACTCTAAGTTTTGTTTAGGACTATTCTACTAAAACATCTATCCAAACCCAGGACTCCCAAGTTTTTTAGGGTTATTTCAGTAAAACATCTATCCAAACCGGGGACTCCCCAAGTTTTTTTAGGGCTATTCTACTAAAACATCTATTCCACCCCAGGACTCCAGGTTTTGTTTAGGGCTCTTCGAGTAAAACATCTATCCCACCCCAGGACTCTTTTTAAGGGTTATTAAACCAAGTTTTGTAGGACACCACCTGTAGAATTTGATTGATGATTTGCTTAGAAGTAATAGGCAGGAAACCAAATAATGGATAGAAGTGATGTATTTTAGAGTTCTCGAGTCATGTAGATGTTTTAATGGAATAGCCTTACAACATTGTTATTTACATATATCAGTAGTATATAGATATATGCCTAGGTTCTTTTATAAGCCAAAGCTAATGTTTTCATAGTATATATATCAAGTTATTTTCTGAACAGTGAAAACCATGGACCAGCTTCTCCAGTTACCTCTGACAGAGGCAGAAGAGCACCACCTGGTCAGGTATTTGACAGAGAGTTCAGAACCTCACTCCCAGGAAGTCCTAGTGCTGCACTATCTCCAGCGAGCCCGATATGTTGAAGCTATCCAACTCAACGAGAAGCTTAAGCAGACAGTATTTGTAAGTACTGACATTATAAGAGCCGTGATTTAACTGATGGTTATGACACATCTACAGCACCCTATCTTATTGTCTTGTAGTAAGTCCCTGATTTTGAGTCAGAGATTATGTGTTTGGCCCCTGGGCTTATCTTGATGAATATATGCTGATAAGAATTGAAATAAGGCTGATGTGTGGCTTCAATGTGACTTGTCCATAGCACCCTGTCTATAGTGTCTTATGTTCAGCACCCTGTCTTTGTGTCGTATGTTCAGCACCCTGTCTATCGTGTCTTATGTTCAGCGCCCTGTCTATAGTGTCTTATGTTCAGCACCCTGTCTTTGTGTCGTATGTTCAGCACCCTGTCTTTCGTGTCGTATGTTCAGCGCCCTGTCTATCGTGTCTTATGTTCAACGCCCTGTCTACAGTGTTTTATGTTCAGCGCCCTGTCTATAGTGTCTTATGTTCAGCACCCTGTCTTTGTGTCGTATGTTCAACGCCCTGTCTATAGTGTCTTATGTTCAGCACCCTGTCTATCGTGTCTTATGTTCAACGCCCTGTCTACAGTGTTTTATGTTCAGCGCCCTGTCTTGTCTATGTTCAGTGTCTTTGTGTCGTATGTTCAACGCCCTGTCTACAGCGTTTTATGTGTTCTTTGTGTCGTATGTTCAACGCCCTGTCAACAGTGTTTTATGTTCAGCGCCCTGTCTATAGTGTCTTATGTTCAACACCCTGTCTATAGTGTCTTATGTTAAACACCCTGTCTACAGTGCCTTATGTTCAGTGCCCTGTATTGAGGTGTTGTATGTAACACTTTACCCTGTATTTGATTAAGACATCAGTGTCACTGATCCTGGGCTGATTTGATAATGTAAAACCCAACTTCACTGACAGCTTGAATTTCATTATATCTAGCATAGTTATCCAATCAAAGAAGACTATTTCTCATCTTTCACACACATTACTATTACCATATTGCCACAAGTAACAGTTATAACAACATTTCTCATTGATTGACAAGCTTACCCATCATAAAACCTTGTTTCTCAGTGCTTGGGTTCATTATACAGCCCAAAATGACTTTCTGCAAGGTCTTGTGAAAAATTTTTGTTATTTTTTAAGGCCGAGACTAGCTCAAAGGCACGTGAGAGAGTAGCGGCAAGGAACGCGATTGTGGATGGTTTCATGTCTGTGTTGTCAGGTGCCCAAAAGAAACTCATTTTTGAGAATCACAACATTCCAAAGAAGAATATGGTGCAAAAGAGAGAAGGTAGTGTATCGCGAGGATTTCATACTGTGCCACTTTCACAGCCATGTAACGATTCTGTCATTCTGTATTCAAATTCAATTATATTGAGCAGTTACAATCACAGTACTATATAAATACTGCATTTAGACTTTTTCTTGTGATATTATACTCATGAATATGATGAAAATATAATATCATTTCTGTTTTACCTACAGTGAAGAAGCCGAAGCCTTTATCGACGACTGTAACCCATAGTAGTCACACTCGTGTGGTGTCACAAGCTTCTTTGTTCCTCGAGGTCGCTGAGAAGGTGCAGGAGGTAAAACAGGAGGACACCCCAGAGAAGTAGGTGTAAAGACAAGCTCTATTAAATATCCTCAGACAATGAGCTCTTCATATTGTTTTCCTTCTGTATTATTTTTTTCTTTTGACATTAAAGATTATGAATACAATTTCTGGTAAACTACAGAGGTTAAAAACAACATTTACTTGTTTACATTGTTCTTTTATGCTAAGTTTTGTGCAATTTTGTTGAAAAGATTGATAATTAAATGCCTTTTTGGAAGAAATTCAGTCAAAAGATTTGTGTCTGCCAAATTGATGACTGATTGATACATTGTTTCTCTAGGTTAAGTGAAGATCCTGTTGGACCATTTGTGTGTACCCCCATCACACCAAAGCCTCAGTCTCGACTCAGGTAGGTTTTGTGTGTTTCCTCACATTAAAGTAACTGATAGGGGAGAAGGGATTGGGGGCAAAATCTTGCTCAAATGACAGTTATAAATTTTTTGTTAATGAAGCTGACCTGCTGATGTTTTACACTGATTGTTTATATAGCTGACTTGTTTGTTTTCTCTAGCTTATCTCAGCCTGTAACCTATCCAAAGATCTGTAAAGACTCTGAGAGTGGACTGAAGGCCACACCCTGGCGACCTGCTGCTTTGTCATCTCTGACACCTTTCTCAAATTCCAAGAGTCCATCCACACATTTGTCTAAAAGGTATGTCTTTGTGTTCATGTAAGCTTCCCTTTCTTTAATTCTTGTGATTTCTACTGAATCAGCGAAAATAATTGAAGTGCTTATGTTCTTGCCATTATTCTTTTGCTGGGCAAGTCCTGTCTTCATCCCAACTTCAGTTATATCTACCTGTTGTGAAATGATACGCGATTGGCTAAGATAAAACATTCTTAGGAAATTTTTGAATGCCAGCGAATCAGAAAGGACCTTAAAAAAGCTGCATGGTTTTTAATTTATAATTTCATGGATGCATCTGGAAGTTCAGTGTAGTTTATAAATGTGATTTTCTAAAAAACCAAAAGTTTAAAAATTGGTAAGGAATTTGATGATTGTAAAGCAAGTAATTTGCAATAAGCATAAGAACCCAGATAGACAGCACAAGTTGTGAATGAAAACAATGCTGAATTGTATTTGTGTTTAAAACATCCACAAGGTAAAGTGTATTTCCTACTGAATTTGTAGGAGATCTAAGATATTTGGAGCAGAAGTGTTGAACATGCTGGAAACTCCAAAGGTACAAAGGCGGACCCCAGTAAAGAAGCAGCCGTCACTGTCTGCCCGCGCTACACCTCAGTCCATTCTCAAAGTGAAAAGGTTTCTGGTGAGGTCTCCCTCCAGTCAGCTGTCACCATCACAGACAAGTATAGAAGGTGAGTTCTGGGGAAAGTGAAGTCTTCTCAGATAAACAAAATAGTAGACAGGTATATCTGATCTCCCTCCAGTCTGTTGTCACCATCACAGATGGGTATAGAAGGTGAGTTCTGTAGAAAGTGAAGTCTTCTCAGGCAAACAAAAAAGACGCTTTGAATATTTCTGTTCAAGTCACACACACAGGTATCTAGGTGTGTGGAAAATATAAAATAGACAGATATATCTGATCTCCCTCCAGTCTGTTGTCACCATCACAGATGGGTATAGTTCTTAAAAGTAAGTAATAGAAGAAAATAGACAGGTATATCTGATCTCCAGTCTGTAACCATCACAGATGATAATGAGTTCTGTATGAAGTCTTCTGTTAAATAAGAGAATAACTGTATATGCATCTTGTTATGCTCCTAGATGGGTATAGAAGGTGAGTTCTGGAAAGGTGGCATATATCTGCATTGCACCATCACAGATGGGTATAGAAGGTGAGTTCTGTAGAAAGTGAAGTCTTGTAAGAAGAGAATAGACCTATCATTCTTCTGTTGTCACCATCACAGATGGGTATTGAGTTCAGAATTTATACAAAGAGTCAATTATATCTGATCTCCCTCCAGTCTGTTGTCACCGTCACAGATGGGTATAAAAGGTGAGTTCTGTAGAAAGTGAAGTCTTCTCGGATAAACAAAAAAGACGCTTTAAATATTTTTGTCCAAGTCACACACACAGGTATCTAGGTGTATGGAAAATATATGATGATGACTTCAAATAACTCTGATAGATTAAACTAAGTAATAGATGACATTGTACAGCATACTTAACCTTGATAATACATAGCTATCTGTTAAATATAACTGTTATGCATTTGTAATGATCCTACCATAAAAAGGGAAAGGTGGCATATAGCATTGCCCATGTCTGTCCTGTTCCCTATTCAATGTAAGCACCTAGCAACTTCTTTCTTGGTAGATTTTGGTCAAATTTATACAAAGGTCAATTATGAGTATACTTTGGAAAGCATTGTGTTTTAGGGGCCCAAGGTCAAGGCTATGGTCACCCTTGATTTATGTAGGAAATCATCACCTGATTCATTTTAAACAAAAGTAACTTACCATTCATCCATGAAATTTGGTCAAACTTTATGCAACTGTCAAGTATGAGTGTGCTTTGGACACTGGTGTTTCAAGAGTTCAAGGTCAAGGCCAAGGTCAGGGGTGCATAATAATTTTATAGAACACTGAAACTAATTTTTTTTTTCTTTTCACATACACATTCTAGTTACTCCAAACGAGCTTGGTATACTTACGTTTGCTAAAGGTTGAAAAAAATCTTTTTTTTTTTGATGTACATAAGATGTTTTGCATTATTGTTGCTTTATATCCTATTAATAGCCAGGGTCATATAAAGATGTGCGTGGTTTGGATGGTAGAGTTCCTATAGAAAAACTACCAACATGCACCCAGTACTGCCCCATGTAGGCCTCAAACCCACAACCTAGAGGTGGAGGGCATGAAACTTCTCGGTATATTGGCAAAAGTTCTGAATGAGTGAAGTATCGGATCAGATAAAATTATTGATGATTTTTTTTTTTTTGATAAAGTCCCATTTTCACTTGTAGATACAAACCAGTCATCAGTCTCCAAGCCATTTGCTAAGAAGTTAGGATTCCATGAGTCATCATTACCAGCCTCCCCCAGAACTGTGTCCTTTGTTGACACACCTAAAGACGTACCTTCAGCTCCCATGCCGAAACATCTCCACTTCTCAGGGGTCAAGGGGCAAAGGCCTCCAAAAGGTCAAAGATCACCTGTAACTCCTCCTAGCCCAAGATCTCTTAAAGACCGCAGTCCAACACCAGAAAGGTACAGCAAAATTGTGATTTTCTTATACGATATTCATTACAGTGGTAGTGGGTTAATCTCATCTAAATATGATCGGTCTACATTTCATTTGACTTCCATTTCTTTGTTGAATCTGAATTATCTTCTTTCATGCATGTTGATCTTTGGAGAGAGTCGTTTGGATTTCATGTTGTTTTATTGATATTTGTAGCATTTCACGTTCCCCCAAGAACTTCGCTAAGATGGATGATCTACGACGCCCTCCTCTCCACGACGAGAGGAAACTGTCTCACCCTGTGATCACTATGGACTTGGATGATGATGACATCACATTCAAATTTGATACAGGTGATACCAGTAAGTGTAAGGTGTTTTGTTTTCAAGTCAAGTTCTTAAGTTGAAACCTTATCCTTGTAGTAAGTAGGTGAGGATAAGTACACAAGGAGCAAAGTTTTGGTAAACTTTGTTAACTATTTAGAGTGGAGTCATGTGACTTAATAGACATGTTGCAGGTTCATTGCCAACAGTGAAGGTTGTGGTCCTGCAAGCCAGTCTACTTAAGTGATGAGTTTTAATATGGGCAGGGCTCTCACACCCCATTTTGGGACTGGGGCCCGGGGCCCTTAGAATTGGGAAAAATAATGGTGTTTTCCTTAGAATTGGGAAAACCAGGGGTCTAAATTGGGAAAAAAAGATACTATTTTGCATTGGATATTCGGCCCCAAATTTGGCAGATCATGAGCCCTGATGGGCAGAAATGAAGAGCTTTGGTTGTAATGTATAGCTGAAAACCTAATGTTAGGGTCGTTTACAGAATCAGGATAATTTGTGCCTTCTTGTGAGGAAAGATTTTTACAAGGTATAGAGAACAGAGGATGCTGCCTCTTTCATTTTACCTACTGTTATTGTGAACCAGCCAATAATGTTACCATGACCACTAAACAATGTCCAGTGACATTAAACCTTATACAAAGGTCAGCAATTTCAGTATCTTGTATTTGCTAGCGTTTCAGTGTTGTAAGGTCAGGTCACTGTTACTATTTATAGAAAATCATTGACTTATTCATTGACATTGCTTAAGTAATTTTCTTTGTCAACAGATATGACACCAGAGGTAGATGAGAGTACAGAGACATTCAACACTCCATCTTCTCCGCCAGGGAATGTTACAGCCCCCTCTTCTGAGGCAGCCATGCAGTCGTCTCCTCTGGGGGGTATTATAGAAGGTGTAGACAAGCTGCCTGCATCACCTGAATTACCAGCACCCTTTACTTCACTGAGAGAGAGTCACGACAGCCCCCTCAGGCTGCGACAGAGTCCCCTGGTGAAAAGTTTGCCGCGCTCACCAACTGTGAAACTTTCAAAGTCACCCATTAGGGGTAGATACACTCCTAAATACCAGCAGTATGAAGAGGGGCCCAGCAGGCTGGAGGAGGAATCTGTTAAGGAGCCGAGTGTTACATTAGGTGATAAGGAAGAACCTATAGAAATTGATCTGACAGAGGATGAGGACATGGTCTCAGACGATGTTAAAAATGTATCTATGGATGACCGTGTGCAAAGTGCCAGTCAGATTATAAGTGGGAGTGTGTCACCGTCTTTAAAAACTAATCGATTAGAAGCAGGTAATTTAGAGTCTGTACCGCCTCCTTCTGAGCGAGTGTTCTCCGAGCAGTCTGGTCGGCAGTCCTTGTTCATGGAGGCAGACAGCAGCAGCATGGAAGTGTCAGATTCAGTTGCTCAAGTCGGACAGATTCGGCATGTGTCTTTCAGCACCGAGCTTGTCCCAGCTGAGGAAATTGAAGGCTCTGTGGAGTTGCAATGTGCATCATCAAGTATAGACAGAAATGAGAATGCAAATTCACAAACAGATGAAGTACCAGAGGTAAACTCATCCGTACTGGTGCAGGGGGAAGATAAACCCCTGGAAATTACTATACCTGAGGTTGATTCTGTAGGTCCCCCATCTCCGCGCAAGTCTCCACGCCTGTCTAGGGCTAGTGAGGAGGCAGATACTGGTATACAGTCAACTACTAAAACTGGCACACCACCTACCACCCCAAAACAAAGTTCAAAAAGTTCATCCGCCTCGCCTAAACGTTCACCAAAACCTCGCAAGGAAGCGGTAAAAGATATGCGAGAACAGCTTGTGATTGAAGTGAGCCAAGCAGAGACCAACAGTAGTCCCCCTTCTCCAAGACGTTCGCCTCGGTTTACACTGCAGGTAAGTGTTCAGTGTTTATCAAACATCTAATTAAGTAGACCAGTCCATCTCTAAGTCATTCCTCTTTATTAATTAGTCTGCTTTAATTAGCATCAAATATTGGATATAAAAGCCATTCACCCAAATCAATATTAATGACATGTTGATTGATTGATGGTATTTTGATGTTTGAACAGGAGGATGACAGTGAGAGCCCAGTTCCTGCTTTGTCACCACGGATACCGCCAACCCCTCCAGAGTCCGGCCAGGACTCTCCAACGAAATCACAGGACATGGTCAGTATTCCTTTTTTTCATTTTCTTCAAGAGAATGAGCTTGGAGAATTTCTTTTGATCATAGAATTTTTTTATTGTTACAGTTACTAGAGACACCTGACATGTCATGTCCAGTCATTGTTTGATCTATCTGAAAATTAGTTTTAGTAACAGTCTGAAGAATGTTGAAAATATTGTTATATTTAGGGTGATTGGACAAAATAGAGATCTGGGGATATCATCAGTATTGTCAGTTCTAGTTTGTCCTGATGAAATATGACAGCTGATATAACTGAATCAGGACCAATAGATATTATGTTGGGGTGGGCAGCCCATATAGTGTCCTTACCTTACAATTCCAGAGTTTTAAACACAAGAGGATGTCAGTATGCTTTTCAGGAAGGTTCAAGCCGTTTAAAATCAAAATATCTGAATTTCATATTGCAGTCGAAGACATTTTCCTGGTTTACATAGTTCTGTGAAATATTATATTACAGGCGAGAAAGGCAAAGTCCATTAGTCCTACCCGCATATCGGTAGTTACCCCAACTCGAAAATCTGCACGACAGCAAAAACAGGAAGTACACATGTATGATACACAGGCCAACATCAATACAGACCCTGTAACCCCTACCCGCCGCTCATCAAGAAAGCTTAAAGAGCCTGTGCAGAAAATAGAATTTGAGGAGATGGGTTCTGGAGGCCCTCTAACACTCCCACACCAAGAAAGTGCCAAGGCTGCTGATTCTTCCTCACAGGAACCAACAACACCTACAAGGCGCGGCCGTTCTAAGAAAAAGCCTGATCCTCTAATCGACTCTACCTCACAGGAGCCGACAACACCTACAAGGCGCGGCCGTTCTAGAACACAGTCTACCGCAGTTGTTGATTCCAAGTCTCAGGAGTCAACCACACCCACAAGAAAAAGTCGTCAAGGTTCTCTTCAAGTTGAGGACAACACAATGCCTACTCCACAGGAACCAACTACACCCACAAGGCGTGGTCGTTCCAAGGTTCAGCCAACCTCAGATGTGAAATCTGAGGACTCAACTATACTTCAGAAGGCTATTACACCAACTAGACAGACAAGGCAGTCTAGACTCTCCGCAACTATTCCTGAAACTGTCCCCTCCCCACAGGAACCTACAACACCTACAAGACGGAGTCGGCGCGGCACAATCACCGATACTTCAGCTTCTCTGGAACCTACAACGCCCACAAGGCGGGGTCGAACAAAGGCTGGGGACAGCACCTTACACCAGGAAGAGTCAGTTCTGAAAACACCAACCTGCCAATCAACTGTCACCACCAAGACTGAAGGTGAGTGTCTGGGAGGTGAAATAAATATCCCAAGTTTTCTCAGTATTTTTTTTTTTATTTCAAAAGGAATATGAATTATGAATTTCATAGATATCACTACTGTAGCAGTTAAAAAATGTGTTTTGATATCATGATATTGGCTTCAATAAGTTATCATGTATCCAGACAGATGTCAACATTTATGTTCTTAGTGGCTGTAATTTTATGTCCCCCTGGATTGAAAGATCAAGGCATATGTTTTTTTTGCTGTTTTTCTGTTGTCAACCCTTACCTTGTCCATAACTTGAATCCCGTAAGAGGTAGAGCTTTCATATTAAATAGAGTGCTGTGACCTTTGACATACATTTGAAATATTTTAACATTGGCCATAACTAATACACCATGAGAGGTAGGACAAGAATTATGAATGAGTCCGACGGTAGAGTTCAGTTTGAGTAATTTCATTTCAGGATTTGTAAGAATATATTACTGCTTTGTAAGGTATATTGAGAATTAAGCATGTCTTATTAGTTGCACTTTTATGATCAACAGAATTTGTGGCAGCAAGCTCATTCACATTTGCCGAACCTGTATTAATGGACTTCAAACAGGGTAAGTAACTCTAGTATAATTGGGGATCAGCTGTTAACAGCTTCTCAAAAGATCTTGTGTACATTACTTCATGTTGATTTAAGTTGTCTGCCATAAGAGGAGAATTTATAATTGAATGGCCCAAACAAACGTAATTTTTATTGTAAAGCTGTAATGTAGTGATCAACTCGTGCAAGTGTACATATTGTAGCAGAGACTAACTAGATAGGTGTTTGATTTGAAATATCTGGCTTTTTTAGATGTCATTTAGAAAATAATCGAATGATTTTAAATTTTCGGATAGATATATATATATATATGAACATATCAATACCTTTCTTAATCTTAGAGTTGGATGTGTTTTAAAAACATGTCTCTGTTGGGAAATAAACAAAAAACGGTCAGGAGATCCAACCATCAATAATTAACCTCTCCATTTGTGTAAAATTATGTCCCAGGTTTTAAGGACACTCCAAAATACATCTCAGTCAGTCAGGACACTTCATAATATGTCCCAGCCTGGTAGGTCTTGTCAAATACATCTCCGCCTTTACAGACACTTTAGAGTACATCCCAGCCTGTAAGGACACTGCACCCTTCATCCCAGCATTATAGGACGATTCATAATATCTCCCAGCCTGGTAGGATATGTCACAATATATCTCAGCCTTTATGGACACATCACAGTATGTCCCAGTCTGTGAAGGCAATTTATCATACATTCCTGCCTGTTAAAACACTTTACAGTTTGTCCTAGCATGTTAGAACACTTAACAGTTTGTCCTAGCCTGTAAAGACCCTTCACATTATGTCCAAACCTGTAAAGACCCTTCACTTGATGTCCAAACCTGTTAAGACCCTTCACATTATGTCCAAACCTGTAAGGACACTTTCACATTATGTCCAAACCTGTAAAGACCCCTTCACTTTATGTCCAAATCTGTCAAGACCCTTCACATTATGTCCAAACCTGTAAAGACCCTTCATATTATGTCCAAACCTGTAAAGACCCTTCACTTTATGTCCAAACCTGTAAAGACCCTTCACTTTATGTCCAAATCTGAAAGGACACTTCACAGTGTGACCAAGCATATTAGGACACTTCTTGATTGGCCTAGTCTGTTATGACACTTAACAATATGTCCAAACCTGTTTAACGACACTTCACAATGTATCCCAGCCTGTAAGGACACTTCACAATGTATCCCAGCCTGTAAGGACACTTCACAGTATGCCCCAGCCTGTCAGGACACTTCACAGTATGCCCCAGCCTGTAAGGACACTTCACAGTATGCCCCAGCCTGTCAGGACACTTCACAGTATGCCCCAGTCTGTCAGGACCCTTCACACCCTAAAAGGACATGCAGCTGTTACTTTGTTGTATTTTTAGGTCATCTGGACCCAAAGGGTCCGATGACCTATAGTCATCATGCTTCGTCCGTCGTCGTCCACCGTGCGCCGTCCGCTGTCCGCCGTGCGCCGTCCGTAAACTTTTCATTCAAACGACTTCTTCTCAAATACTAGAAGGTCTAGGGGGCTAATACTTGGCACAGAGGATACTGGCATGGAGCTCTACCAAGTTTGTTCAAATGAATGACCTTGACCCACTTTAAAGGTCACAGGGGTCAAATATGTTAAAATCTTTAAACAACTTCTTCTCATTAACCAAAAGGCTCAGAGTGTAGATATTGGGCCTGTGGCATGCTGGGATGAAGGGCTATCAAGTTTGTTTAAATGAATGACTTTGAACAACTTTCAAGGTCACAGGGGTCAAATATGTCAAAATCTTTAAATAACTTCTCAAATACTAGAAGGCCTAGGGGGCTAATACTTGGCCCATAGCATGCTGGCATGGAGCCCTACAAAGTTTGTTCAAATGAATGACCTTGGCCCACTTTCAAGGTCACAGGGGTCAAATATGTTAAAATATACAAAGGACTTCATCTCAATAAGCAAAAGTCTATGAGTGCCGATATTGGGTCTGTAGCATGCTGGGAGGAAAGGTTACCAAGTTTATTTAAATGAATGACCTTGAACAACTTTCAAGGTCGCAGGGGTCAAATATGTCAAAATCTTTAAATAACTTCTTCTCAAGAAGGCCTAGGGGGCTAATACTTGGCCCATAGCATGCTGGCATGGAGCCCTACAAAGTTTGTTCAAATGAATGACCTTGGCCCACTTTCAAGGTCACAGGGGTCAAATATGTTAAAATATACAAAGGACTTCATCTCAATAAGCAAAAGTCTATGAGTGCCGTATTGGGTCTGTAGCATGCTGGGAGGAAAGGCTACCAAGTTTATTCAAATGAATGACCTTGACCCACTTTAAAGTCACAGGGGTCAAATATGTTAAAATCTTTAAACAACTTCTTCTCAATAACCAAAAGGCTCAGATTGCTGATATTGTGCCTGTGGCATGCTGGGATGAAGGGCTATCAAGTTGTTTAAATGAATGACCTTGAACAACTTTCAAGGTCACAGGGGTCAAATTTGTCAAAATCTTTAAATAACTTCTTCTCAAATACTAGAAGGCCTAGGGGGCTAATACTTGGCCCATAGCATGCTGGCATGGAGCCCTACAAAGTTTGTTCAAATGAATGACCTTGGCCCACTTTCAAGGTCACAAGGGTCAAATATGTTAAAATATACAAAGGACTTCATCTCAATAAGCAAAAGTCTATGAGTGCCGATATTGGGTCTGTAGCATGCTGGGAGGAAAGGTTACCAAGTTTATTTAAATGAATGACTTTGAACAACTTTCAAGGTCGCAGGGGTCAAATATGTCAAAATCTTTAAATAACTTCTTCTCAAATACTAGAAGGCCTAGGGGGCTAATACTTGGCCAATATCATGCTGGCATGGAGCCCTACAAAGTTTGTTCAAATGAATGACCTTGGCCCACTTTCAAGGTCACAGGGGTCAAATATGTTAAAATATACAAAGGACTTCATCTCAATAAGCAAAAGTCTATGAGTGCCGATATTGGGTCTGTAGCATGCTGGGAGGAAAGGCTACCAAGTTTATTCAAATGAATGACCTCAACCCACTTTAAAGGTCACAGGGGTCAAATATGTTAAAATCTTTAAACGACTTCTTCTAATTAACCAAAAGGCTCAGAGTGTAGATATTGGGCCTGTGACATGCTGGGATGAAGGACTACCAAGTTTGTTCAAATGAATGACCTTGACCCACTTTAAAGTCACAGGGGTCAAATATGTTAAAATCTTTAAACAACTTCTTCTCAATAACCAAAAGGCTCAGATTGCTGATATTGTGCCTGTGGCATGCTGGGATGAAGGGCTATCAAGTTGTTTAAATGAATGACCTTGAACAACTTTCAAGGTCACAGGGGTCAAATATGTCAAAATCTTTAAATAACTTCTTCTCAAATACTAGAAGGCCTAGGGGGCTAATACTTGGCCCATAGCATGCTGGCATGGAGCCCTACAAAGTTTGTTCAAATGAATGACCTTGGCCCACTTTCAAGGTCACAAGGGTCAAATATGTTAAAATATACAAAGGACTTCATCTCAATAAGCAAAAGTCTATGAGTGCTGATATTGGGTCTGTAGCATGCTGGGAGGAAAGGTTACCAAGTTTATTTAAATGAATGACTTTGAACAACTTTCAAGGTCGCAGGGGTCAAATATGTCAAAATCTTTAAATAACTTCTTCTCAAATACTAGAAGGCCTAGGGGGCTAATACTTGGCCCATAGCATGCTGGCATGGAGCCCTACAAAGTTTGTTCAAATGAATGACCTTGGCCCACTTTCAAGGTCACAGGGGTCAAATATGTTAAAATATACAAAGGACTTCATCTCAATAAGCAAAAGTCTATGAGTGCCGATATTGGGTCTGTAGCATGCTGGGAGGAAAGGCTACCAAGTTTATTCAAATGAATGACCTCAACCCACTTTCAAGGTCACAGGGGTCAAATATGTTAAAATATACAAACGACTTCTTCTCAACAAGCAAAAGTCCATGAGTGCTGATATTGGGCCTGTAAGATGCTTGGAGGAGAGGCTACCAAGTTTGTTCAAATGAATGACCTCAACCCACTTTCTAGGTTTGGTTTGCTTTTTGTCAGATGACCGTTAAGGCCCATGGGCCTCTTGTTCTTTATACATATTCTCTGATGTTTTAAGAATTGTCCATTTTCTATCACAGATGAAGAAGTGAAGCCATCAACACCATTAAAATCCTTTATATTCTCACCACCAATTACACGATCACGGGAGAGCTTCTACAGGTTGCAGGCTGCAAGGAAACGTAGCAGTCGGGAGCTGGAGCTGAAGTCCGAAACAGAAACCATGACCCCATCTTCAATCCTGCTTCCTCCTCCACCAGAAGTCGCACCACCACCCCAACCTGTCCCTGTAAAGAAAGAGAAAAAGGCCACTAGGAAAACGTAATACCCTTTAAGACACCCCATTCCTTCTGCAGTCACCTTTCACTTTAGTGTTTGGATACTAAGAAGGCTTGATCCATTAAATGTTACTCTTTTTGAGGGTTTCTAATTTTTGCTATTTTAGAGAATGGAATAATTTGCAAAAATATACCTTGAAATGAAATTAATAGAGAAAAACCATAGTCTATTTCATGACATCCATATGAAATACATCTTTTAAGCTTTTATTAATGGTAGCCCTGTGTGATGATAGCTAAGAAACAAAACCAAAAAAATAGTACATATGAAAAGTAAAATTCTTGTTGGGAAATGAGATGGCACTATTATGACAGACTTGTGTATGGTTTTATTGTAGAAAGAAGAAAGTTGTTGAGGAAGAGACGATTGTGTTAGTGAGTCCTATCAAGGAGGAGAACGATCGACCAGCTAGGAGAATGGTGACACGTCAACGAGCAAAGAAAGAGGATGTTGTTCCCACTAAGACGCTCCGTGGATCAGAACCTGGTAAGGCTTCTCGCCTGAGGTCAAAGAGAAAGCCAGTCAAACTGTGATTTACAAACTCCACAATATTATATGGTATAGGGAACTAAGGCACTCCAAGGAACTTAACCCGTCGAGGAATCAAGGTGGAGTTTCAGGAGAAAGCTGATTAAACTACAATTTACAAATTGTGCGGTATTATGTGGTTTAGAGCGCTGGAATCAAAGGATCTGTGTTCATAAACAAACCCTGTTAACTATTGTACAGACCATGTGATGGGTTACAGTCCTTGTCATGTGTTTGCATTACTGCCAAACGTTGCTAGGAATTGTCCCTGAGACACAATAGCCACTGTTTATACAGGAACGGTGCCAGATATGTGATCATAGACTCTGTAACATTTTCTCTGTGAATTGTGCAATAGATTCCAAAATTGATGAATGAATTGCTCAAGAAAAATTACCCATAAGGAGGCTGATTTTGATGTGTGTGTATTTCTCCAACTTTATCATGGAAATTTACATAAGACAAAAGATTTGGATTTATACCACAGAATACATGCATTGTCTACAAATTTTAATTTTTTGTTCGAAATCTTGTTTTCTTTTTGCATTGCTTCTTCAGGATATACATCATCTGCAAAATTTAACCACACAATCCTGTTACTATTGTAATAGTATTATAAATTCAATCATACATTTTAAGTGTTGGCATGCAAAACCTGAAGGCATTTTTTGTAAAGTGGTAACATAAGAAATAAATTGGTTTATGTAAAAAAAAAAATTACGTGTCTTTTATTGATCAATGGAAATTGGATTATTGACTTCATAACATTACCATTTATTTGATGAAATACAGTGGACTGATGATAATCTGGACAGTGATAGTCCTGAGAACTCCCAATTCAGATGGACATGTTAGGGATTTCTATACCATTAATTGTACTCACCTGTCAGGAAATTTTAATTTCAGTTCAATTTTGCCTGGAAATAAAGATATCTGAATTATCGAGGTCCACTGTACTTCTTCATGCCTTGCACATTATGGGAGTTGGTTTAGAACTCAGGAGAGATTGTACTATTTCACATGTTTTCAACACTATTGATTAAATAGTCTACAAATTTTTTATGTTGACAAAATTTATCAATATATATATTTGAAAACTAGTAAAATCTAATGCACCAATTCAAAAGTTTGTATTAATAACTTTTATCTTGGTAAATCAGCAAGAAACTTAGCACTTACAGCTGGCATAGGTTTCATTCAACTGATCTGTCCAGGGTGAGGACTTTGCTGCCTGTAATATTGTACATCCCAAGTCATATGTTATTGATCTAATGGTGTCAATATTTAAAATTGTTGTCATGGCATAAAATTTATCGAATTGCAAAAACAAAATGGACAGGTTTTTTCTAAATTTTGTTTCTTTTTATTTTCTGTGATAAAGATTGACTTTTGTTGTCAAGTGTGTAGAAAATGTATCTCCAGTTATATGAACTGGAAACTCATTTTTTCAATCTTATTGTTTTGATTTCTCTTTCAGTCATCTGTGAAGAAACTGAAAACTAAGTAATTACAAAGTCCAGTTTAAAATTATTAATTTATCATAATGCATGTCGCAATGTACCATGTGATGAATGTTAACTTTATGTGCTCATTACTGTGGAAACGGTCAAATAAAATTCATAAAGGGATGTGAGATGTCCCGATTTATAAGTTAAGTCTTTATTTTATGTTGAGGTCAAGAAAAAGAATAAAATACTGACATGAATAAGACCCTTATTCTAACTCAAAATCATTTGGGAAAAATATAAATAAAAGAAAAATTTACATGGAGACTTATGAAAATGCACAAGTGGAATAAGCCCAGGCATTCTGGAAGAGTAAGCATCTTCTGCTTCATCGACTACACCCATCTTGTAAAATACTGGTTAATTCAAGTAAGTACTGCACTATAGAATAAACCGAGATGTTCCAGAAGAGTAAGTGTCTTCTGCTTCATCAACTAAACCCATCTAGTAAAATCTTGGTTAACCCAAGTCAGTACCACAATGTCAAGTTCTCTGATGATAACAAGGTAAACAACAACAGAACCAACAATCAGCATCAAACATACCCAACTTTATATTTCACTAGGTAATACATCTTGAGATCACAGTGTTGACTATCAACACATTGGGAGAGAGAGTAGTCTAGCTCATGCTTGATCTCACACTGTACTAAAGACTTACAAATTGGGGCTTCCAAGGGACATTGATATCACTGTCTGAAGTAATCTATCTGATACCCATAGCTACTATTGTACACCTGATGATGCGTAGCAGATTCAATCAGTACAGACACAATTAATTAGAGCAAGGTTCATGTCTTGCCATCAACATACACTGGGGTTCATGTGTTACTTTCGTTATACTTAATATAGAAGAGTTGAAATTTAAAGGAGAATATGCTATCTACATCATACTTGCGTATGTACATAATGGTATTCCCCCGATTCCAATATTCCTGGTTAGAGTTCAATGAGATTTATCCGACTTTACAATATATTGGAAAACCAAATTTTTTCTTGAAAAGAAAAAAATGGATATTATGTAGTCTTTCAACAGATATTTGCTCAACATGAAAATAACAATTGGATTGTTAACAAAAGTTCAAACAACATAACATTAACTGTAATTAATAGGTCTCAACTCGTGTTCAGTAAGGATAGTACAGAATGGCATCACTGCCAAGTCCTTAGACAAAACAGCTGTATAATGTTGTTTTAATCCAGTATTTCCTGTACTGTTTATAAAATGCTATTTACTGGTGTGTATTTTGTACAATGTTAAATACAAGTTGTCATTAACTAAACAGAGATCTTACCCTTGCTACATTTGTATGTGTAAATTCTATGAATCTCCATTGAAAAAATGTAATATTGCTTTTGATCATTTGGCATGTTCCATGTCGTACACAAGTTAGGCCATTTAAGGTGATACATGTAATTTTGAAAAGGACAGTTTTGAAAATTTTGAAGGGGCAAACTTTATTAGAGCAGTTAATTTTTTTTTTATAAAATCTTCCAAAATCACCAGTTTCATTGTTAGGGTACCATATACACATTTCCTAAGCCAGTTCATAATATCAATACCGGTGTGTACTGTTCACGTAGGCAGATCAGTAGATCAACCAACTATCCATTATCCAGTTCTGACCATCAAAGCTGCTGCCCACTTGTGCACATCCTGGAGGTAATGTTTTTGTTGTCAGGTCTACATGTTTCATGTGATGTTTCATGTGATGTTTCATGCATATTTTGAAATTCTTTTTTTTTCTGTATCCAAAGCATGATTTTTTTATTATTATATCATCAGAATGATATTAAGAAAATCTGATTTGATCTTTCAAAAATAAAAGAATTTTACTAGGAATCATTTCAGTCTACATTGGCATACTTTTGTATCCATGTTATCAATAATATTGTTTTATATAAATCCAAAGTAGATGAAAATACCTAAAGAAATTGATTTTTTTTGTGTTGCACTGAAAAAATTGGCAGAGTGTGCACAATATATTTTGCATTCTTAACTTTTTTATCTGAAAATCTTTCAGTTTTCAATTTATCTTTTGAAATTAAAAAGTTTAGATACATCATTATGACATGGAATTGAGCTTTCTCCATTAATAATATTATTTTAAGGAGTTTAGCTTTTTGTCTCTTTCTTTTCCTGTTATATTTGACAATTATGGTATGCTATTTGGCAAGAAATAGTTGTATATCTTTCAGTCCAGATGTTTTCTTGTAGGCAACATGTTGCTTATTCAATAAAATTGGAACCATGAAATATGTTTAAAAAAGGGAACATAAACAATTCAGGATCTTTTTTAATTCATCCAGTTCTCTTTCAGAAAAAAAAATATAACAATTTCAACAATCAATTTCTAAGATGAATTCAGTTAATTGATAGTCAATCTTCTTATAAATTTAACGAAAGGACATGTACAAAATGATGGAATAAAAATGTTTTGATGAATTTACAGTTGAAATTTGAAAGAAAAGATCATATCTTGGTGCATATGTATCTCCAGAAATAGCATTATATCCCACATCTTCAGTCAAAATATGTACCCACAAGGATGGAATTTTAAGGCATGTAGTTTTAAACATTTACTTTCATTTCCTCTTTTTTAAACATTTTATAAGTAACATGAGAGGGAATGCTGCTTCAAGATATGTCAACTGTTTATGGGGAAAAGCAACAAAAACACATCAGTATTTAAATGTAACTATGGACATGTAAACCTTGATTAGAATTGCATTGTATTTGGATAAAAAAAATATCATTTGGATATCGGATTAAATTGAGTTTTTATCAATTTCTATGTAATCTTTACTAAAGTAGACAGGATTTCATTTGAGATGAACTTAATGAATTGTTTAAATGTATATAATATAACATAAACATGTATTGGTCGCTCAGAGAACAGAGATCAAAACCAGGAAAGACGCGGAGTCGTTTGACAGCTTGTAAACAATCCCACGTGTATGTGTCTGTCGTTGTTCCCAGGAAATAGCCATGTAATGTTACTACGCATGCGTCAATTCACTAGCAACCATGTCAACAAAAATGGCGGATTGACGGGCGGAATGTCGTAATGTCTGCACATATTATATGAATTGTCCGCGAAGACCACCGACAACATGACTTTAAATCCACTAGCAAATCCAAAAGGGGTTAAACTTGCGTGTGAGCTCTGTCAGAAACCGGCGTTCATTCAGTGCACGAAATGTCGTGTCACTTATTACTGGTAAGTGGAAATCTTGTCACTAGTGTACAGCAAGATGCTGTACGATTCAGATTGTAAATCATAGATAGACAATGACTATTGTGGGGAGTCTATTGGTTTGGTATAATTATTATTTCAACTTTCTCTACAATGTAAAAATATCGGGTATTTGATCCCGCGTACGGTCGTAACGATAACAAAAGAACATATCATTTTTAATGTGGTGATTACCAATCGTATTGAGAAAATGGGATAAGTTGTTCGATTTAGGCAGTGAGTATGTAAAGGAAATGATGCCAGTGTCTTACTAATTCAAGGTAAATGTTTTAGCAAGGACCATCAAATACAAAATTGGTGACGTATTTTTGTTGTTCTTTGACGTTAGGCAAAGTTGTAGACCATACAAAAGTTTTTTGTTAAATGGAGTGCTTGATGATATGAATTCCTTAATAAATATCATCATCGTGTTTAGAGTGAAGTCCTGTTAGTGAGTTCTGCTGATACAATGTTAATCCATACTTTAGTCCAAAGGATTCTGGCCAGCTGCGCAGGATTTTAAATCTTGTCATGATTTGACATTTAAGTTGTGTTAGTGAAAGTGTATATTTTGGTCTAGTCTGAAGGGTTCTGACTATGTATCCACAATTTTAGTTTTGTCTTAATCACATTTAACCATGAGCAAGACAAAAATAACATTGTGGATAGATAATCAGAACCTTCCAACTAGTTTTGGCCCAGTGTGAGAATTCATAATTAACCTTTTCATTACCTCAGTTTCTGTGATCTCAGTAAAATTGACTATATACTTGTAGCGGAGTAGAACACCAGAAAGCTGACTGGATGGGAATACATGAAAAAATCTGTCAAAGTTTAATTCCACTGAGACAGGCCTCACCATTCTTACCGTCAGAAGAAGAACGACAGAAAAGGATTAACCACCTCAATATTAAAAAGGTAAAATATCAATATGTTGTACAACATTATTATATTATTTGTGTGTTGTACAACATTATCATAGATATTTTTGTGTTGTACCACATTATCTAACTTTTGCCCTTTAACTCTTTTGTCAATAAAGTAAAAACTTATGTTTGACTAAATTTTGAAGTTTGAACTGAAATAAATGTTTCATGTAATAAAGGGCAAAACTAAAATAAAAAAAGAATAGTTTTATGGGAGGTAAAAAATCTTGTGACTAATGTTTCTCAGTTGGTCAGGATGGAACTTCTAATAGGGTTGGGGAAGACTAAATTAATCCTAAGGGAAAACCCATGTCAGCTACATCGTCAAACAGATTAGCAAGGGGTGATGTTGAAAAATAATGAATTTCCAGAATTTCACTTAGTTACAGGAAGTTTTGATAAGATTGAGAATACACTATAATACATGACACTTCAACTTATCATGTTAAAAAAAATGTTTGTTCAATTTCAGCGTCAAATGATTGACCTCACAAGAACTACTGGTCAGAAACTGTTATTTGAGGGTCGACATGAACAGGCAGTTCCAGCCGCCATGCAATCCTTACGATTCGCTATAGATGTACATGGTCTAGCTAGCATAGAACTTGTGCCATCATATCTTATACTGGGAGAGGCTAGTATTGGTAAGTTTGAACTACTGGAAAGTTTTTTTGTTATCATGTTCCAAGATTTACTAAATGGGATCTTGCACTAAAGTCTTGAAAAGAACTATGTAGGTATTTCGTTATACCTTCATTTTCAAGGTATCTACTTTTATCATGCCCCTTAAAATTGATAACTTTAACAGTAACTTCCTTAACTGCAGGAGGGGTTTGTTTGCATGATTTTTGTCTACACAATTGATTTCCCTGTCAATAGCCAGAGTCATTTAGAGACTGGGACCCCTTGTTATGGGAGAAACATTACATGCAATGGACAGTCTCAAATTAATTAAGTTGGTTAATGCATGTCTTTGTCTGCAACCAGTGAATCAAATACCACATACATCACAAAATCATATGCATGGGGGAAATTTTCTTCATCTGAGCGACTATAAATAATGATAACATAAGTTGAAGTATATATATATATATATCTCATATAAGTGTATTTGATGTAAAAATAAAAAAAACAAACTACCAACCTACTTGAACTAGCTGCTCTTCAAACACATTATAGATAGAAAAGTCAATATGATGATGTCACAATTTTTGTGACCTCATCAAACATATTATACATAGAAAGACAATATGATGATGTCACAATTTATGTGACCTCATCAAACACTTTATACAAGGACTTCATCAAACATCACTGTGACTAAGAGGCAGTAGATAATCAAATTCTTGTTGATTTATCATCAACTATTCGTTTTCAGGTTAAATCTTACTTATAGTGTATTGTATTTTTAGGCCTGGGTCGACTTTCACAAGCGGAGGAATACCTAGCCCAGGCCCAATGGACAGCTCTCAAAACGCCAGAGTGTTCTAACGCAATCAAATCTAAACTCTACAGAAATCTTGGTCTTCTTTACGCAGCCAAGGGACAATATGACGACTCTCTCAGACAGCACGCAGATGACGTAAGTGACACTCTGTTCATACGCAAAATAATGAAAGTAAATATTTCCTGAAATATGAACAGACCTAGAAAAGAGAGAGAGAAACAAGACATGTTTGAGAAACATGCTGCCCATGAGGGAAGCCATTCATAAAGGCTATAGTGAACAAGAGGGATAGTACATTCAAATAAAAGGCATTTTTTGCAATACATTGCGGGTGTAAAAGGATATAAGATACTGATTTGCATAATGAATATATGGGCCATGCTCTATAAATTGAGAAAAACAAATAAAGATAATATATATTTAAGAATGCCAAACATAGTGGGCACTTGTTTTCACACCATTTCTAACTACGACTTTCATTATATAAGTTCCATGTAGTACTGACAAATGTTATTTTTAAAGTTTGGTTCAAATATTACAGTAAAAGTTGAAGTCATTTGATGGAAACTGAGAAATGATGTATTTCAAAGTCCCGTAACTCTGTAAAATGTTGACAGATTTCAACCAATACCAAACTCGTTAGAAATCTTTTTGACATCAAATTTGGATTAAATTTTTCTGTAAAAAATTAAGTTATTTAATGGAAATAAAGAAATCGAATTTTAAATCTTTCAACTCTACATTATTTCTTGAAAAACGAAAAAATTGGAAAGACTATTAGAAACCACAGAATTAAAAGATAAAGGTTATATAGTTATCCTTACCATGGTTCCTGATGTTTTATCATTATTTATTTTCATGCTCTCCGAATGGAGAGCTTATACTCACCGCTTTGTCTGTCTATCTATCCATTTGTCTGTCTGTCATAATTTTGTCCAGATCATAACACAAAAATTATAAGAGGTATCAACATAAGACTTCATAGGTACATAGATCTTGATGAGGAAAGGTGCAGTGTACAAGAACCATAACTCTCTTTTGCTTGATATAGGAGTTATTGCCCATTGTTATTTTTCATACTTAAATTTTGTCCCATTCGGGGAACATAACCCATCTCTGACAGCCCTTGCTTCTCTTGACCAGATGTATAAAAATTCTTTAAAAATTCATATTCTTATATATGTATGTAAGATTTTGATCATAACATAATTATATGAATAATAAATCTTTATCATTATTTATACACCTTTTGTCTTTTTCTGTTCTTTCCACTGTCTCTTCTTATCTATAACTGTATTGTTCTGTCCCTAAAACCTGTATAAAGTACTGTTTTTCAACTCTTGAAATCATGTTTCTGCTTTGCTTTATTTACAAGGATAAGAGTGTAGGAACATGCAACTTGTTATTTAGTATTTAAGATAAATAAAGCTTCAAATATTTTTGAAAAGATGACAAAAACTATGATTTTCATATAAGTAAGAATTGAATATCAAAAATGTGGTATCTTGAATTGCTGTAAAAATTTCAAAAATAAAAAATACTATAAAAAGTCCCATAACTCTTGAAAGTTTTAACAGATTTTGACCAATATTGTATTCATCTTAAGTCTTTTTAATAAAAAGCAAAAGAAACTATTTGATTCAAACTTGATGAATAAATCTTACGATACTTGACAGAAATCCTGAACGAGACATACACACAAACTAAATACAATGATCTTCTATCTTGGGACATGAAAATATTTACAGAAAATATTGTTGATCAATTTTACTTCAATTTTTCCAAATTTTCTTTTTAGATCTATCATGCTTCAGAGGAGTTTGGTACTGATGACATCAGAACATCTGGAGGATATTATCACATGGCAAATGTTTTCTTTCGTCAAGGCAGAATGGATATTGCTGACACACTATACAGACAGGTGTGTATATGACCTACAGATTTAATGTTTGTGAAACATCACTACATGTATTTATTTGCTACTTCCACTAATCAAATACCCTGCAATTATTTTGTTATCCTTCTTTTGAACCACATTTTTATTTCCCCAGATTTTTTTTCAATTAATTATTCAAAATTTCAGAAATCCTGCCATGTTTTTATTTCATGAGATCGTGGATTTTCATTAATTTCTTTTTTTTTTTTTTTAATATCATGATGAACATGTTTATGATCTCCATTTCCAAAGTTAGAACTGCAGGCCAGAAAGTTTGAAATATTGTATCATCTAACTAGGGCCACTACTTGTTGACAGGTGGCAGACATTTGGTACCAACACTTATTACAGATCGTAAGAGTACGAACAGCCACCCCTGATGTCCCTAAGGGGATCGGTCCAGTGATCTCTGAGGGAAATTTAGAGGAGGAAGATAGTCTGGGTAAGATTAACATGGTCACTTTCTTCAAGAGCTGTAATTAATTTCTGTAATTTCCAGAGATACAAATTTATTCTGGGATATTGTTTGCTGGTTGGGTTTATTGCCCTGTCATTTTGAGGTGGGATCTCTTTGAAGTAGCTGGTGAGTACCTCACTAAACAACATACTGGAGGCCCATCACATGCCATCCAGAGCAATAAGGGCAAAATTTTATATAATTTAACATATAGCAAAAACAAAAAAAAGAAGAATGGAAAAAAATTTCCAAAGTTAAAAGAACAAATGAAGATCAAACGATTTTGAGCACCAAGATCTATCATTGCTTGGATCTTAAATTTAGTAATCAATCCTCTACTTGTCAAACCAGAAGTGTCAGATTAAAAGTTTTCTCTCCATCTGTCTGTCGGTCTGACCTCAGCTTTTCCGGTTCATTTGGTTCACCAACCCCCTGAAGTTTGGTATATGACTTAATGATAATTGTAAACAAATTGCAGATCAAGTTAGTTTCAGTTCCTTATAGACTTTTCATTCAGTATTAGCCCCTGGAACCTGGAAATTTAGAAAAAAAATATTGTATATTGCAAGTTTTTGTTTGGTCATGTCAACAGATAACGAGCTGAAATTTGGTATGTGACTTTTTTTATATTGCAAGCTATTGATTTTCATACTGCTCTTTTTTCACAGAGCTACAGTTCCTGGTGTTTTGTATTTAGTTTTGGATTTACCTTGTTGTTGTTCTTTATACCTGTATTTCTGGAGAAGTACATGATGTGTCTTTTTCAAATTTCAAATATATGTTCCCTTGCTCCCTAGTTGTGCATAGTCCCATTTTCAGAGAGGCAGCCATCTTGGATTTTTACATAATAGTTAGTTTATCACTATTTCTGGAGACATACTCGATGGATCTACCTTTTTTCAAATTTGGTTTGTAGGGACCCATTGGTCCCTAGTTGTGTATTTCTTTTCAAACTGATCCAAAAAAACATGTAATGACCCCATGGTCCCTAGTAACATAATACAAAAATTGTATTCAATTTAGGACTGATCCAAGACACAGCATGACAGATAGTTGGTCATTTTGGATTTTGACAGGCATAGTTTGTTATCACTATTTCTGGGGAAGCACTTGATGGATCATTTTCCAATTTCATATGTATAAGGATTCCTTGGATCCTAATTGCATCCTTTTGATTTTGGGACCAATCAGAAAAATTAAATGGCTGAGAACGGGCCATCTTGGATTTTGACATTGAATGATTTTTATCATTATTTCTCGAGACGTACTGGATGGATCCTTCTCAAATTTTATATATAGGTTTCCCCTGGTCCCTTATTGTGAAGTTTTGATTTTTGGGATTGTCAGAAAAACAGTTCATTACTGCTATTTCTTGAAAATTCACAAATATTGTATAACTAAGAGCAAACAAGAGAGAGAAAAAGGGAAAAGGTCCAACATTTAAATAACAAAGAAAGATCAAACAATTGTGAGCATCTCTTGCATGTCTTGTTTTAACATGTTCATATTCTTTTTTTTTTTTTTGTTTTTTTTTTGCTTTTTTTCACATACAAATTCTTGTGTATGACTCAATAGTTTTACTTTAAAAAAGTACCTGGTAACTCTCCAGATGCTTATAAATATATTTGTGTTATCTTTCAAAGTACTAATATAATAATGTAAGGTAGTTAGGAGTATATCAAAATTTTAACAAAGTGATGATGTTGAAATATTTGTCTTTGTACCTTTAGCCTAAACAATATCAAATATTGAGTGACCAGGATAATGGCTTTTGGGGCCAACTGAGACATGAGCCTTACCCAGCATGCTTATTTCTTTTATCAAGCCCTATCAATAGCACACCCTTACTACCGATGAAGGGAAGGTGTGAACGTTTCAAGTACTGTAGTACTGAACAAAGTATTGATAGTATTGTACTGAAGTACTTCACCAATCGAATTCCTTAAATTTATGCAACAAGCTCTCTGATTGGCAGAGCCAAGTCTAGATCGATTGTGGGTGGAGCCAGGTGAAAAAATACTGTGCAGACATCGGCATTTTACAAACACTCGACTGTCGCGAGAGGTTAATTGGAAGAGTCCAAGTCACATGTGGCTTCAGATCAGACCTAATTGGGTTGTCCCATTTTTTTCGTTCTACACCCAATGATACCTTGCTTTTCCATCGATGGTACAACGAGAAAACGAAAGTTACTCAGTACTAAACTAATTTACGTACAAAATATATATCAACAGGTTAGATCACTGGGACCGGAGAATTCATAACATCTTAACAGTGAATATAGTCATATAGTCATTCTGTACTAGTTTTATTCATATATTTATTTTTTTGAAGGGGCGGGGGGGGGGGGGGGGGGGGGGGGGGGGGAGAGAGGGTTGGCTCAAAATATTTCGGTTTAAGCCCAAGCTCTATTATATGTAACAAAGAATTACGAATTACCTGGGACCTCCTGATATATGCCGATAATTCATACTGCATTAAAAGATAAAGGAATTCTGTGGTCCCATATATTTTTTATTTTATTTTTGATCTTTCCATCGAAAATTATACATATCCGCAACATGTGAAAAAACTTTGAAGTTGGTTGGGCGGAATATCTAGAGCATATACTACTGCAAGTTCCAGAAATTCTGACACAAGTCGGGTATTTGCCCGAAGCCTCTGTCTCATGACATTGAATACATATTCAGTTACGTTGTATTCCGGGGAATAAGGCGGCTGAAAAACCAGGGACACGCCATATTCTTTCAGCATATTTCTTAAAATGCGCTCTCCCTGTCTATGGTGATGGAATCCACAATTATCCATCACAACCACATCGCCTTGTACAAAAACAGGATTCCCCATATCGTTCGTATCGGACATAATTTCGTCGAAGAAAATTTTGCGTACTGTTGCCGTCGTCGGACATGTTTCCAGCGATTACTTAGTAATTGTTATGTAACTGATAGTGTACAATAACTCCGCCTACCGGAACAAATTGGGTGTCAGATCAACTATTCAGGTTGTCTAAACTCCGCCCCCGACCAATCACAGAGGTCGTTGTATACTTGACTCGATTATTTGAATACTTCAATACAATAGTATCAATACTTTGTTCAATACTATAGTAAGTGTGTCGTTCACACCTTCCCTTCATCGGTAGTAAGAATTCATGTTTTGAATATGCAGCAGTATTTACTGCAGACTTTTTGAACACCTGGTACTATCTTGTTCAAAAGGGACCAATTACACAGAAATTACGGCTGAACATCAGAGTGGTTTCTTTAGAGAATGAAAGTTAGAAAATTTGTTGGTATTTAAACTTCACAACATTAAAAATCAGTTATTGTTACCACAAATCGATATAATTGCCATAGTATATTGACTTGATCATGTTTTCAGATGAGGCTCAGGAAGCTGAAGCTGTCCAGGTGTTAAATGCTATATATGACATGCGAGAACACCAGTCTAACAGACGTGCCCAGGACCTGGCCAAGGTCAGCCATGCACTGGCCATGCTCTACTTTATACTCATGGATATCACTAAGGTAAATTTATATCTTATTCTCTTAACCAAAAAAGAATTGAAATTTAGTGTTACTTATTTAAATTTATCTTTGTTTTATCTATTAATTACCCAATAAAATATGTTTCTCAAAATGTAGTTTTTATACTATTATAACTGCTTTAGATCATGCATATCCTTCCATCTTTCAGTCCAAAGAATTTGGCAGGAAGGCAGTGGTAGCTAGTGAGGGAGACGCTGACGACTCTTTGTCACGATCTGTTGTGGAATTCATGAAAATACTGGAGGCTGTAAAGTGAAGGACCAATCAACTCAGACTGAATGTTTCCAGATGAATATTGATTGATCATTTTGTTAATGATGTGCTTCAGTTACATGATGGATTTTCTTAAAATATTCAGAAACTGTGATAAAAACACTTATAGATTCATGTTTTTAAATTCATTGTATTGAAGCACCCATTAAATCATTTGTTATATATGTAACATGGGTTGTAGTTTTTGTTTAAACCATAAATTGAAAATATGGTGTCGAGATATTGAATGCTTGCTCTTTTCGTCAACTTTCCGAACTAAACAATGATTACAGCCATTTGTTAGACCTATAATGACAGACGACATGTTACATGGTCCAGCTTGACAATCTTGCGATCAAATGACAAAGAAATGAGGTCATGCTTGCTGGCTACAGCATATGTTGACAATGCCTTGAATGTATTAATGTTCAGGGGTCAAGGTCACTTAATATTTAGAAAATTGTCAATCATTTCTGTGACATTACAAAAGTGAATTCCTTTCTCTAGAAATCTTAATGGAATTTTACACAGGTTAACTATGACAATGCCTGGAATGTGGTCATGCTTGAGGGTTCAAGGTCAACGTTACTATCATCAACATATTCATTAACATTACTCTGCAGACTATAGTTAATGACTTACTTTCTTTGAGGATTTTAATCAAACTTTACACTGATAAAACAATACCTTGTGCAAATACTTCAAATCAGTTAATGTTGCAAGGTCAAATGCATCATGAAATTTTGACATTATGATAGATGGATGGACAATGCTATGTCATAATACATTGTATCAAAATTTTTGACAGGCATATAAAAAATAGCTGCCTTTCTCCGATTTTGCCCTCCACATTTTGACTTGAAAACCTGTCAAAGGTAACTTTCGTAAATTACACAAGTAAGGAATTTGGTATACTTCACATTCTCTTAGTAAGACCAATTTATGCACAAAGTTTCGTTATCCTAGTTTAAATACTAACAATCTTTTGCTTCAGATATGAAATTTTAAAAGGCTTCAACTCTGTAACTTAGGGGTCAATGACCCTGAATATGGTACATTGCATTTTGGTTTAGTATGACCCATATATATCATGTTTCATAAAAAAAACTCTTTAAGACTCATTTTATACAATCTCAAATGAAATGAAAACTCTCACATTTGTGTTTGTACACTGGAGGATTTTCACAACCAGTTATTTTATCTAAAGAATCATTGAATCTGACCGCCTGAATACAGCACAGTAAAGCTTATATTAAAATACCATCCAAACCATTTTATTTCCCACATATACAGTGATTGTGTAAACAAAATTATGAATAACACAAAGGAAAAAAGGGACATCTGATATAGAGGAAAAAGTTTTATTTCCAGTGATACTTATCAGTACAAGTGTGCCACCTCACTTCCACATACATACACCAAGTGATGCTGATTAAGGTTTAAACATTCTCTCAATGATAGATGTTTTCTTTGTATAATGCTCGTATGAAATTCTCATCATTAACACAAATAGGCAGTTGCTCACAAGATGTTTGATGACTTTTTTTTTAATTCAGAGCCTAAGATGTCTATTGAAGCAACACTATCCCCCTACAAAATCTTTTTACTTTTCCCATTAAATATCAATAGAAATGTTTTTGACAAGAAATACTACCTGTAGGAAGGTGAATTTACAATTTTCTAAATCTCCTTCAAATTTAAGATGGTAAACTTGCAATACATATATATATGTACATATATTTGCAAAATCATGTAATTTTTACATAAAGAATTGATGATTTATGTCAAAGAATATCAATCTGGACGTGAAACTGATCTGTGCGAGGGTACAAAACTCCTTCTCCACATAAATGTGTGTACAAAGTATAGTGACTGAGACCTGATCTGTTACAACAAACATGAACCAAACAGCATTAACTCTGTTTATAGAGTATTATAGAGTATGGGTTTAAATGTAATAATGCTTGGAGAAAAACTGATAAATATATGGCATTGACAGGAGCTTTTTGTGTGATGACTCCTGCATACTGCAATTCAGAGATTCAAGGGCAAGAATCAACGAAGTGATGGTTCAGACCAGTAAGTAAGGTTGACAATTCTCAAAATGTGACATGGCTTAGAAGGGAAGAAACATGAAAGCCAGTTACCTGTAAGTATGGGGAGGAAGATAATTTTGACACACAACATTCCAAAAAGTATAAACGTTTGGTAACAGTATGGTAGAGAGTTGATGGCCAAGGTAAAAAAGGCTCTGTAAAACCAAGAGAAAGAGTCAATGGTTTACAAGGTGACGCATGCAATTTGTAAAAAGTATGGTTACTCTTGGTTAGGAACTGATGTTTGGAAATACAGCCTGGAAAAGGAGAAGTTAAAACTTGGAAACATGTACAAAGTATATAAATCTTAAAACTATTGGATTTGTTGATTATAAATACCTCAAATGTGTAAATATAAATGTGATAGATTTCCCAATAATAATTAAAATCTATTTAAAACATAACAATTTTTTTATTATTATTTTATATTTAACACTCTTAATTGATCTGAAAGAGTTCCTAGTAAACAACTATATTTATCATTGATGAAGTATTTTTGATATCCCTTTCATTATTCTGTACATGTAATGTTATACATAACGCAGACCTCTGACATGTTGATATTATGACAATATTTACACAAAACGTAAGTAACTGTACCTAGTCAGGAATTACTTTGATAAATCACAAAATGGTCTTAAAAATTTGTACAATGAAATCATTGTAAAAGTTACATTCTATCTTACCATGTGTATGTAAAAATATTTTTTCTGGACTAAAACTCTTCTCGGCAACGCTCTAGACAATCTTGAACTCCTTGCCTTTACCCAGCAATATTCACCCAGATCAGATCCATTACAAACGTCCATCAAGCCATGTTATCTGAATTTACATGTCATCTTCACAAGATATTAGTAATATATCTCTTCTGCAGTACGCCTAAGGAACCCGTAATTTATTGTATTAGACTTGACAGTAAAGAGGTAAATATGTTCGCAACAGAAATAGAAATGGGTGGATTTATAACCAGGTATAGGCTTATTGCTAGATAAATACAGAAGATAAATTTGCATTCAACTTGCTTCAGAAAAAAACAATAAAATAACAAATGAACCATTATTTACATCATCACAGAACTGATAAGCACATTGTTATAGCTATGTAAAATATCGGAGGATTTTAGAAATCACCAATACTCTTTCTCGCTCACTCACCACAAGTTTAATGCTTTAAAATAGACATGATACCATCTGTTGTCACCAAATCCATCATTCACTCTCTCAATAACTTCTCTTTTATTCATCAAACAAGAACTTAATACTATACAAACATAAGACAGTTTTAATTGTCTGACATCACCATTTAAGAATACAACCACAGGAATAAAGAGATTTTGTCCACCTCAAACCCTAAATTGGAGACATTACTCAATCGTTTTTATTTGGTCTACTTTCTGTCCATGAAGCAATATAGATGATAGTTTTTTGGTCCATGGAGACTACTGCAGTAGAGGAAGCTGATGTCAAACTGACCTGGCGAAGTATTCTATATATGTCATGTCAACAAAGAAGAATCACTTAAATTCATGCTGAGACAATGACGCAGCGAGTTCCCTTCCTGGAAGCTTCTTGTCGAATCCATCCTTTCCATTCAACCAGTATGTTGTCATCTTTCCTTTTCCCTGTAAGTAACCATTTAAATTATTATAGTATATCAAACTTTATGTTCCTTCACCAGACCAGAACATATTTGTTTACTTTTCACATCATTTCACAGCAATATGTCAACCATATAGCACCAACGTAGTGTATTTAAAAACTGAAATATTTCCAAATTTCACTATTTCTCTTGCAATAAATCAGTTCTATAAACAGTTGGATGTGGCTACAGTGGCCAGGGTCATTTCTAGCTGTTTGTTTACCTTTGCTTCAATCTGCCCTCTGCATTCTAAGTGGTATCCAGTAAGGACTTGAAGAATGGTAGCTGTAGACTCGCTCATATGTATCCTCAATGCTTAAATTTGAAGACAACAATTATTTCCCCTATTCACAATCTTAAGCATTTTAAAGTACTAAAAGTTTTAGATATACACTTTCAAACCAAATATTCAAGGAGAATATTGACAACATTTGCCACAGACAGAAATTATTTGTTAATTTTTACTTGGTGATGTTATCTTTAAACATCCTGCAATACTTACCAACAGAATTGGATTCCATACGGGAAGCTGTGTTCACAGTATCTCCAAATAGACAATACCGGGGCATCTTCAGACCAACAACACCAGCAACAGCAGGACCTTAAAATCAAACCATACATTTATACTGATTCAGTCAATTGATATGCACCAATAATTACCCTATATCTCCAGTCCTCTACTCTCAAGGAACACTTCCCACCCAGTTTAGTCATAATCAATTCACCAGAAAATACCAAAAATATTTCTCAAAGAATTTCAAATTATGTTTGAAATCAGTATACTGCATTGTGTTAATTACATTTCATGATTGTGCTAATAATTAGTCCACAACCTCTACTTATTACTTTGAATTAACCAGTCAATGTTGCCAGGTTACCTGAGTGCATTCCAATACGTAGCTGGAGCGTTTCATCTGGCATGTGTCTAATTTTGAAGTCTCCAATAGCACTCATCAGGTCCAGTGACATGGTAGCGATTTCACCTGCGTGAAGGTTGCCATTTCTGATTGGCAGACCACTGACCACAACGTCTGTAAGTAAATATATACATATCTCCATATGTCTAAAACACATTAATGCCCTCACTCTTACGTAAACCAGAGTCCGATTAGGTGTAGAACTTAATGTTAAGATAATGTTTGACAAATAAGAACCAATATGTCGAGAGGTTCTCAACATATGACATGATTTGGAATGGGGCAACATGGCCCTGGTGAACATGATATGCCCTCCCCCATAAAAATGGGGGAGTTTAGAAATTTCTGGTTCCTACTTTTTCCTCTTTATATTTTTTACTATAAAGTAAACTTGATATTTTAATTCTGTGGTGTAAATAGGAACTAACTTGGATGAAGTGTTCACAAGATTTCTTTTACATAAAGACATCATATTTTGAATACGAGGATAGTAAACCAAGGATATTTACAAGCATCTCCAATAGTCTCCACCTTGTACACATCATAGTTGTCCAAAATGGAGTCAAAACAGGTATATAAATCGTTGAGGAGGTCCACAATCTGGAGAGGAGTACTGTTTCCAGCAATCTTTGTGAATCCCACGATGTCACTGTCAAACAATAAAACAAAGAAATTTCACCCAAACTTGGGACACCTGTCTCCACACTAGAAAACGACACATTTCAAAATTCCTCAAAAGCAGGGTCATGCAGCACTGAGAAGCAAAATGAGAGATAAAGACCATTGTTCTAGTTCTGATCTGAGCATTAAACATCAAACACAAACAATTATCAGTTTACCTGAAGAATATTGTTACACATTCAAATGACTCAGCCTCCACTGGTTTCCCATGTTTCAGATCTTCCATGACTTTCTTTGGTAACATCTGACTCAGCAGCTGTTCTGTCTTTGCCTTCTCTGCCACTAGTTCTTTTGTCCTCTCTGCCACAATCACCTCCAAATTACTGGAGTATTTTTCCAGCTACAACATGTGTGAGATGTGTTTTATACAAAAAATCTATTTGTAAATGCAAATCCTGAATTGAACTACCCTATCAAGTTGATTCAGGAGAGAAAACTCAATATCCTTAATGAATATTTGAAGTCAAAATTTGACAAATGGCAACAGAGTTAATTTTGCTTGTGACATATTTTGGTAAGAATTAAAAAACTGTCAGACTTTAAAAAAGTTGGTTTTAGTTTCACATTTTTGCATAAATCACAGATAAGGAAATTTGACCTCTGACAGTTGTTTGGGAGAAAGACAGAATGTTTTACATACTGAACAGAAAATTTGCAATTGTCTAGTCTGATTATGGAACCTTATTTCTCAAGTAGGTCAAATCAAAATACCATGTTGACAAGGTTATCGATGAGTTCTCCTTTAATGGGATAGATCTCATTCAGTCTGTCCAACATCTGGCGGAATGTGGGTCGATTGTCGGGACTAGCACCCCATGCTGTCTCTAGGAGCTAAAACGAAACTTTTCTACATATATTACTAACTTAAAGAGCATTGCCCTATTCAGTGAACAATCCAGAACAAACAATTTATAGTACTGATAAACAATATTATGCTTTATGCCATCAACATCACAATATCCAATCTAGTCTATTGTTTGGCCTAAACCCTGCCATTACAGTGTAAGATTATAAAATAAAATTAGCCCTGAATGAAGAACAAACCTTTCTCATCCCAGTTTTTGCTGCATACTCTTCTGGCAAACATTCATCTGATAATTTGGGTCGGAATGGTTTTGTCGTGTCTCCTCCGTTTTTGTACCATATCTGAACAAACAATTTTTTAAAAGAAATATTAAAAACTTATTGAAATTGTAATGTCCAGCACACAGCAGTATTAGAAAATCAGATGGAGTAAAAGTCCGACTAGCAATGGATTTAGACTAGTAACAGCAAGATCATCTTTCAATTCTACTATGAACAAAAGACCCAATGGGCCTGTAGCTGATCATATTTCATATTTATCTAAAATATTATACCTCATTTTTTCCATTATAGCATCATGACCCTAGCTATTGATTGAAAAAAAAAAGTTGCTCAGAGATTTTAAACCATCTAATTTTTGAGGGTGAGTCAAAGTCTTTCATCTAAACTGTTGACTAAATCTGTGGAGGGGTTCATAAAGTATCTTGTACACACAATGTGTGCTATGGACACATACCTGGATGCACACAAGGACGCACAAAGTGATTATTAAATGAAATGATAATAACTAAGTAAAAGGAAGTGGGTGGGGTTACAATAACCTCCCATTTTACAAACTGGATGGAACATTATACCTGCTTTGCTTCAGAAGCCTGTGGGGCATCTTTGTTTTCAACCAAAACTAGCACATCTTCAACATTCAAATAACTAAGCTCATTTGTGTAGGGTTCCTCTCTCGTACACATTTCTGTCAATAAAATTGCAAACCTACAACAGGAAGAAAAAAATGTGTTTGTTACATACATGTATACCCAAGGCAAAGTGATCTGCTTACACTTGCAATGATAAGCAGTTCTAAAGCTGTTCTTAAGCCTTCCTATCTGTTACTTCAAAAACATTCTCAAAAAAAATGACTGTTGCTTAGCATTCCATTCAATGGACTGCTTGTGAATGCTTGTAAACTATTAGTAGGAGTTCAAAAACTGCCAAGAAATGACTTAAAGGTTTCTTAGCAGTCCTTAGCCTTCACCTGGTACAAATTTTTTGGCACAAACATGTGCTCAATGTACTAAAAGTCAAGGCCAAAGTTAAATATTTGAAGTTTGGGACGCTATTGCCAGTTGGTTTTTAAGTGTGTTGGAGTATGCACATGGCTCCAGGATTAAACAGATTTCAGAATAATTGAGACATCTAAGATGATTCTTTAATATTTACAAGTGCACCAATGAATGAGGCAATGCCCTTTATTTTTGCTTGTTTTAAAAGCTAGAAATTTCACTGAAATAAAGCAGCTTAGATTATCGTTATGTTGATCTGAATTGTATGGTATCCTCAAAACGTATAGTGTTTCATGGATTGTAAGTCAGTACTTCATTAACTGGTGATGAACTATATTTGCACTTATAAATACAAAACGTTTTTGTTACAAAATAAATATCATTAAAGTCTAGCTACTTTAGATCAGTATCAAAAATTCAAAGACCCGTACAAATGGAACTAATTCATCAACTTATTCACACCTGACATGTATTTCACACATGATTAAACCTCAAAAATAGTAAAAATGATTATGCAAAATTGTATGGAAAATACTATATCATTCAAAAGATATTCACCAAGCTAAGCAGTTTTAGCATTCCTAAGCAATTAGTTGCAACTGTATTTGGAATAACTAATTTACATTTTCACATTCCTGAAGCAGCAAGGAAACTAAGGATCCAGTAATGTATGTGTTACATACACATATACCTAAAGTAGCATGGAAACTAAGGATCCAGTAATGTATGTTACATACACATATACCTAAAGTAGCATGGAAACTAAGGATCCAGTAGCAGGAAATTATGTGTAAGCAGCTGAAAATGATGTGTAAGCAGCTGGAAATGATGTGTACGCAGCTGAAAATGCTATGTAAGCAGATGAAAATGATGTGTAAGCAGCTGGAAAGGATGTGTAAGCAGCTGGAAAGGATGTGTACGCAGCTGGAAAGGATGTGTACGCAGCTGAAAATGCTATGTAAGCAGCTGAAAATGATGTGTAAGCAGCTGGAAAGGATGTGTAAGCAGCTGGAAAGGATGTGTAAGCAGCTGGAAAGGATGTGTACGCAGCTGAAAATGATGTGTAAGCAGCTGGAAAGGATGTGTAAGCAGCTGGAAAGGATGTGTAAGCAGCTGAAAATGATGTGTAACCAGCTTGAAATGATGTGTAAGCAGCTGAAAATGATGTGTAAGCAAGTGCATATTTGTGTAAAGATTGTGTTATATATACTGCAGTATTGAAGCCAGCATTTCACTATACATACGAATAGATATCTCCAGCTTTAGTTCCATTTCGTACATCATCTAATCTTTTAGCTTTTGATAGAAATTCTGGTGCAGTCCATAGAAGTTCTCTGAAAAAAAAGTAAAGATTATAACATCTTTGTAACAATAAATATTTAATCCCAGCTAAGCACTAGGTCTATAGCTTTAATATTAAAAACACTTTATTTTGTACTTCCTGACTTTAGGAAAGATAAAATTACAAATAAAATAATGACAACCATTTACAGTCTGTTCAATCCTGTTTAAATTGCCTGTTTTATTACCAATGTGTTAATGTTATCTTAGAAACCTACACCACTGTTGAAAACATGAGGTTATATCTAATCAGAATATTTACTTAATTTCAACCCGTCAATATGAAAAACAATTCACTACATTAGAAGGATAATTTCAGGTCTTACTGTCACTAAACTATTGACTTCCTTATGTGACAATTCTGAAAAATAAAAGTATTTTAGATCAATGATAAAACTCCAAAGTACTACTAGTCATCTTCTTTTTGTTTTTGTTTTTTTTGACTGACATACCGGATTTTGGGTAAATCTTCCATATTTGGTCGAAGTTTTCTGACACCATTATAACGAAGGGTAGGTAAACCAAATCCTGTGTAGTAAAGATACCAAATTATGTCTACAATTTGTCTACAACTACAAACACAATCTTCTAATTGTACATATATACTTTACAATTCTTAACACAGTTTTCCAACTGTACATATTTAAACTCTTTAAGTGATACCTCACCTATATCTTACAGGAGCAATTCATGTAGTTGGATATCACTAACTTCACAACTGTTGCAAAAATGTACTTCAATAGTTTTTAACAGATTCGCTACCTGATATTTTACATGTCCATCTGTTGTCCACGAGGCAGTTTGATGATTTCAGTCTGCCATGAGATCCAATATCTGATCTGTGCAAAAATTCCATTCCACGACAAATATCTTTGAGAAGTGAGAACCTGAAATCCCATCCCAGTTTGATACTTTCATTAGATAACATGTCCTCCAGACTTCCCTGAAACAGCAGACTATCAATATAATGAGGGGGATCACAGCTAGGTCCTATGTATAAATACCATGTCAGTTGGCATTTCATTTCTCCATAAACATTAAACCAGAAAGACATATTTTGAAAATTTTGGACAAAAATTGAACTCTGTCGTAATATATTCATTTAATTGATAACCAGCTTGGCCAAAGATTCTGTATGCAACAGACCACAAAAGCTGTAGCTTGTTATATATTTGTTAAACAAAGATAAGGACCTTTTGGTCTCTAATCGAACACTCTACTACCTGACTAATGGGAAATTCCCACCAGCCAAGGCTTATAAAGCAACCTGAACTCTGAACTTAACACTCTACATTCACTACATATTGACATTGTAACATGTTAGGTACCTTTGGTGCCACTTCTGTGAGCAAACCTACATGTGGATACTCTAAACAAGCACCCACAAAGGTTATAAGGTTGTTGTGTCTTGTTTCTTTGATGCGTACAACTTCATATCTCAATGCTTCATCCTCTACATTCAAGGATACAGAGTTGAATTCCTACAATCAAAGAATGCTCCTTCAGTCAGAAATAAAAAGTTCTGTAGTCCCTAAATCTAGCTCTACATCATATTTAGGAGCAAAGTGTATCTCCCAGTAATTAATATTCCTGAAGATTTTTAAACAACAGTACAAATGTTCTATATCTTCCTACAACAAGAAAGGTCAATGTTATTTTGATACGAATATTTATTCTTATAGAAATATTGCAACATTTAAATCTTTATATGGTGAGTGGAGGCTCATTAGACAACCAGACCCCTCCTCCACCATTTCACCTAAGGCTCTGAAGATGTATAGCTAGAAATGAAGCAGGTCATAAAATGAACAATGGTTTTTGGTGGAACTTATCACAGGAAAAGACCAAGAAAAGGTTGCTCAGTGAGACAGTGTCGATAACAGTCCAGATTACATACCTGAACAAAACACTTTTGACTCCTCCAAGTACAAATATTGGTTTTGTTAGACTGCATGAATTCATCCCCTGCTGTTGACAGGAAACTGAGAGCTCTGGCATCTCCTATCATGACCTCATCCCATTTCACGAGCCAGTCCAAGTTCTTCAGGGCAGCTGCTAACCTCTGCCTGGAAAAGTTAGGACAGCATTAACACTACTAGAATGACGTTAACACCATATCAGTATAAAATAAATCATAATGCAGTAGCTATTTCTGGAAATTGCCACAAGGCAGAAATAACGAATTTTTTTGGTGCATTTAAAAGTGGAAAATTGATAGAATTGGGCCTAAACACAACCCTAAATATATAGACAGGAAACATTTTAGTATTAACAGACCATGCTTCATGTAAGCAGTCTCAATCTCAATGTTAACTCAAAGATTTTTTGTCTCAACATTTATATTGCAAAATATTTCACTTTCACATAAAAGTTTCTTAACAGTTAGTAAGATTTCTGACCTCTTGAGTAAATATTTAACGAAGAACACCAGGAAGATGATGAAGGCAATGCCGCCAAGCAGGGACCCAACAACCACACCAGGTAATGAATGGCTACATGTTGCCCCAATATAGCCAGCATCACATGTGCAGGTTTCAGGTGCAGAACAGGATCCATGGGCTCCGCAAGATAATCTGTCAAGTTAAAGGTAAAAAAGCTGAGATCATTACTAACAGGAAAGTTGACTTCAAATTGTGTGGCTGAATAACAGGTAAATTAAGAAACAAATGTTACCGACCAATACACAGGGCATCTATAATGTCTATATCTGCTCATCAGAACACAACAGACTCTATATAGATGCCTTTTTCTCCTTGAAAAATATTTTATTCTCCATCACATCACAGATGCGTGCTTTCCCATCTCCAACTTGTGGGATGGTATGGGAAAAATAATGACCTCTGAGCAATACAGACAGAAATCTCAACCTTCGGAATAAGACTTTCTAATGTAGTACTTTCAAAGCCTCAAGATTATCTTAAACATTTTAGTCTTTGATTAAGATATCTTTTCCTTTTAATGTATACTTACGTGTTACAAATTGGAATCTCACAACGGGTTCCTTCATATCCATTCTGACAAATACAGACTTCTGGAATATCACAGTGACCAAACACACAACTGCACACCATTTTATCACAGGTGGTTCCATAATAACCAGAATGACATCTAAAATGACAAGTAAAACCCCAAATAAGTAAATTAACATCAAAATGTCCATAGAGGAGGCTGTTAATAACAATCACCATCACTTTCGATTTTCATACCTGAAAAATCCATCTTAGATATTTTTCAGTAAGGAAGCAAAGTTCTGATTACACAAGACAGTTCAAATAACCAGTTAGAATTCTCTCTTCTCTTTTTTTTTTCAGAATCAAAACTTCCAATCAACTAAAACAGAGTAGATATGATAATTAAAAATCATTCAGAGCTGTCTTGATGGACTAGGGAGGAAACATTTTGGGTCTGATCAATGTGCCGACCCCTACTGTATGTACCTACGTGCAGACATCCTGGTTTGTACAGTCACCAAACTGGTACTGGGTGATATCATACTCGTTGATGCCGTTCCCTCCACATCCTTGTGTACAGTAGAATGGGGCCACAGCATATTCTGTTTCTATGACTTGTTCAGGTGCGCCAGTTCCTGGGGGAATGATAATGAGCTGTTGGGTACTGGCGCTCACCATTCCAGTGGAAGTCGTGATACTGACAAAACATGACAGATGATTCAACACAGCAATCAGATCAAAGCTTTCCTACCTTACAACAGAATAAAAACCCAAAACCATTCAGGTTAATCATATTGTCCCCAATTTACATTTGTCACATCACATGCAGTAATACTGAGACTATTCTCATGAAGTACAGTGTTTTTTGTCTAGGAATTTCTCCACAAGGGGGAAATTCCCCCCTTATGACTAAATTTTGGGGGGACAGCATAAAATCTAGGGGGGGGGGATTAAAGATGTCTTACGGACTTTTGACGTATACTTATCTATCCAAAAAATATCAAAGAAAGACAAAACTTCAAGTTTTTTAAATCTTTTTAATTTTTAAAATTGGCCCTCATTGTAATTTCACTCAATGCTTTACCGTGACATGACGATCTTTGGTGTCTTTCCAGTGTCGATGTTCGAAAATTAATACATCTATCTTTGTGCATAAATGGATTAATCTTCGACGCAGCAATGCAGGTCTGACATTGCATACCTCTGTTTTCGTTTGACCCAGCCATTTGCATTTTTCTGTGCATGTAGATTGAAACACATGTTTTCGTTTTTTCTTAGGGGCATGTTCGTTTTCCTCGTCTGAACTGGTCTCGTCTTGTTGTACCGTGTTAACGATGTTACTGTTGTTGTTTGCATCAATTTGCTTCAGGAAAATAGCGTCTATTCTCTTTTGTGCCATTCAGATACTAGATTTTAGAAACGAGCTAGCTGGCCCCAACAACACAGCCGCCACTTTGCTGAAACTGATCTGTGTCATGTATAACAGTCAAACGTTCAAGTGATCAAGACTGTCGCTTGTAAATTTTGAACCAGACTAGCAATCCGGAAAGACGGCAAAAGTTGACGTGGTTGGTATTGCGGGATTCTGGCCGCTGTACATAATTTTAAGGGGGGATTTACGAACATTTAGCGGGGAATCCCGTGTTCCCGCGCCCTAGAGAAAACACTAGAAGCATGATTTAAGAACTTTGTAACAGTTTGTTTGCTTGTTATCATCAAGTGAACAATAAGACACAGTTAAAGGTAGCCTCTTTGTAGTAGTTGGTAGCTACCTCACTGAATACCATGCAGTAGGCCTAAGGAATGTTATCATATTAGAACACCTGCTGTAACATGATCCAAAGACTCAACAACTACAGCATAGGATGATCCGGGATCTAACCTTCCTATAAACTCAAAACTGTACCAGTTAGACATCTTACCACACAGCACAGATCTTCACATGATAAACACAGTGTCCCAGGTAGACATCTAACAACACACTTCAGATCTTCACATGATAAACACAAACTGTGCCAGGTAAACATCTAACCACACATTCCAGATATTCACATCATAAACACAAACTCTCCCAGGTAGACATCTAAACACACACTCCAGATCTTCACATGATAAACACAAACTGTCCCAGGTAGACATCTAACCACATATTCCAGGTATTCACCAGCTAAACACAAACTGTCCCAGGTAGACATCTAACCACACACTCCAGATATTCACATCATAAACACAAACTGTCCCAGGTAAACATCTAACCACACGTTCCAGATCTTCACCAGATAAACACAAACTGTCCCAGGTAAACGTCTAACCACACACTCCATATATTCACATCATAAACACAAACTGTCCCAGGTAGACATCTAACCACACACTCCAGATATTCACATCATAAACACAAACTGTCCCAGGTAGACATCTAACCATACACTCCAGGTATTCACCAGCTAAACACAAACTGTCCCAGGTAGACATCTAACCACACACTCCAGATATTCACATCATAAACACAAACTGTCCCAGGTAAACATCTAACCACACGTTCCAGATCTTCACCAGATAAACACAAACTGTCCCAGGTAAACGTCTAACCACACACTCCATATATTCACATCATAAACACAAACTGTCCCAGGTAGACATCTAACCACACACTCCAGATATTCACATCATAAACACAAACTGTCCCAGGTAGACATCTAACCATACACTCCAGGTATTCACCAGCTAAACACAAACTGTCCCAGGTAGACATCTAACCACACACTCCAGATATTCACATCATAAACACAAACTGTCCCAGGTAAACATCTAACCACACGTTCCAGATCTTCACCAGATAAACACAAACTGTCCCAGGTAAACGTCTAACCACACACTCCAGATATTCACATCATAAACACAAACTGTCCCAGGTAGACATCTAACCACACACTCCAGATATTCACATCATAAACACAAACTGTCCCAGGTAGACATCTAACCACACACTCCAGATATTCACATCATAAACACAAACTGTCCCAGGTAGACATCTAACCACACACTCCAGATATTCACATCATAAACACAAACTCTCCCAGGTAGACATCTAACCACACACTCCAGATATTCACATCATAAACACAAACTGTCCCAGGTAGACATCTAACCACACACTTCAGATCTTCACCAGATAAACACAAACTGTCCCAGGTAAACATCTAACCACACACTCCATATATTCACATCATAAACACAAACTGTCCCAGGTAGACATCTAACCACACACTCCAAATCTTCACCAGATAAACACAAACTGTCCCAGGTAAACGTCTAACCACACACTCCATATATTCACATCATAAACACAAACTGTCCCAGGTAGACATCTAACCACACACTCCAGATCTTCAGATGATAAACACAAACTGTCCCAGGTAGACATCTAACCACACACTTCAGATCTTCACCAGATAAACACAAACTGTCCCAGGTAAACATCTAACCACACACTCCATATATTCACATCATAAACACAAACTGTCCCAGGTAGACATCTAACCACACACTCCAAATCTTCACCAGATAAACACAAACTGTCCCAGGTAAACGTCTAACCACACACTCCATATATTCACATCATAAACACAAACTGTCCCAGGTAGACATCTAACCACACACTCCAGATATTCACATCATAAACACAAACTGTCCCAGGTAAACATCTAACCACACGTTCCAGATCTTCACCAGATAAACACAAACTGTCCCAGGTAAACGTCTAACCACACACTCCAGATATTCACATCATAAACACAAACTGTCCCAGGTAGACATCTAACCACACACTCCAGATATTCACATCATAAACACAAACTGTCCCAGGTAAACATCTAACCACACGTTCCAGATCTTCACATAATAAACACAAACTGTCCCAGGTAAACATCTAACCACACACTCCAGATATTCACATCATAAACACAAACTGTCCCAGGTAGACATCTAACCACACACTTCAGATCTTCACCAGATAAACACAAACTGTCCCAGGTAGACATCTAACCACACACTCCAGATATTCACATAATAAACACAAACTGTCCCAGGTAAACATCTAACCACACACTCCAGATATTCACATCATAAACACAAACTGTCCCAGGTAGACATCTAACCACACACTTCAGATCTTCACCAGCTAAACACAAACTGTCCCAGGTAGACATCTAACCACACACTCCAGATATTCACATCATAAACACAAACTGTCCCAGGTAGACATCTAACCATACACTCCAGATATTCACATCATAAACACAAACTGTCCCAGGTAGACATCTAACCACACACTCCAAATCTTCACCAGATAAACACAAACTGTCCCAAGTAAACATCTAACCACACACTCCAGATCTTCACATGATAAACACAAACTGTGCCAGGTAGACATCTAACCACACATTCCAGGTATTCACCAAATAAACACAAACTGTCCCAGGTAGACATAGAACCATACATTCCAGGTATTCACCAAATAAACACAAACTGTCCCAGGTAGACATCTAACCACACACTCCAGATATTCACATCATAAACACAAACTGTCCCAGGTAAACATCTAACCACACATTCCAGATCTTCACCAGATAAACACAAACTGTTCAAGGTAGACATCTAACCACACACTCCAAATCTTCACCAGATAAACACAAACTGTCCCAGGTAGACATAGAACCACACATTCCAGATATTCACATCATAAACACAAACTCTCCCAGGTAGACATCTAACCACACACTTCAGATCTTCACCAGATAAACACTAACTGTCCCAAGTAAACATCTAACCATACACTCCAGATATTCACATCATAAACACAAACTGTCCCAGGTAGACATCTAACCACACACTCCATATATTCACATCATAAACACAAACTGTCCCAGGTAGACATCTAACCACACACTCCATATATTCACATCATAAACACAAACTCTCCCAGGTAGACATCTAACCACACACTCCAGATCTTCACATGATAAACACAAACTGTCCCAGGTAGACATCTAACCACACACTCCAGATCTTCACATCATAAACACAAACTGTCCCAGGTAGACATAGAACCACACATTCCAGGTATTCACCAAATAAACACAAACTGTCCCAGGTAGACATCTAACCACACACTCCAGATATTCACATCATAAACACAAACTCTCCCAGGTAGACTTCTAACCACACACTTCAGATCTTCACCAGATAAACACTAACTGTCCCAAGTAAACATCTAACCATACACTCCAGATATTCACATCATAAACACAAACTCTCCCAGGTAAACATCTAACCACACACTCCAGATATTCACATCATAAACACAAACTGTCCCAGGTAGACATCTAACCACACACTCCAGATATTCACATCATAAACACAAACTGTCCCAGGTAGACATCTAACCACACACTCCAGATATTCACATCATAAACACAAACTGTCCCAGGTAGACATCTAACCACACACTCCAGATATTCACATCATAAACACAAACTCTCCCAGGTAGACATCTAACCACACACTCCAGATATTCACATCATAAACACAAACTCTCCCAGGTAGACATCTAACCACACACTCCAGATATTCACATCATAAACACAAACTCTCCCAGGTAGACATCTAACCACACACTCCAGATATTCACATCATAAACACAAACTGTCCCAGGTAGACATCTAACCACACACTCCAGATATTCACATCATAAACACAAACTGTCCCAGGTAGACATCTAACCACACACTCCAGATATTCACATCATAAACACAAACTGTCCCAGGTAGACATCTAACCACACACTCCAGATATTCACATCATAAACACAAACTGTCCCAGGTAGACATCTAACCACACACTCCAGATATTCACATCATAAACACAAACTGTCCCAGGTAGACATCTAACCACACACTCCAGATATTCACATCATAAACACAAACTGTCCCAGGTAGACATCTAACCACACACTCCAGATATTCACATCATAAACACAAACTGTCCCAGGTAGACATCTAACCACACACTCCAGATCTTCACATGATAAACACAAACTGTCCCAGGTAGACATCTAACCACATATTCCAGGTATTCACCAGCTAAACACAAACTGTCCCAGGTAGACATCTAACCACACACTCCAGATATTCACATCATAAACACAAACTGTCCCAGGTAAACATCTAACCACACGTTCCAGATCTTCACCAGATAAACACAAACTGTCCCAGGTAGACGTCTTTCTACACTTCTAAATCTTCACCTGATAAACAAAGTGTCCCAGTTAGGCATCTTTCCATACACTCCAGATCTTCACCAGATATACACAGTGTCCCAGTAAGACATCTTTCCACACACTTCAGATCTTCACCTGATAAAACTCAAAGTGTCCCAGTTATACATCTAACCACACACTTCAGATCTTCACCAGATAAACATAAAATGTCTAAGGTAGACATAATACCACACACATCAGATCTTCACTTGATCCACACAAAATGTCCCAGTAGGTATTCTTATTAGTCTTACTAGTTGGTCATGGCCAAAATCGTCTGATTTACGGGTTTTACGCACTGATGTTAACCAACAAAATCTAGCTGATGTGATCCCCCCTGATTACAAGCAATGAAGTTAGCAGTTAGATGCTATTGGTTGTTTTCAGAATGTATATATTGTATTTACTTTGAATACAGGTATTCATAGATGTATTACATTGTCAAGATATGTTTCGTTTTCATAAATAATTGTATATGAATTATAATTTCTCAAGTGAGCTTTGTTGTTATTCATTAGAGTCCAATATATTGGACAATTCAATTAATATCTGCTTGACATCAAAAAACGGTTTTGACATATATAATACCCTGTTACTGTCAGGATTCAGACTAGTGACCCTTCTGTCTCTAGCCCTACACTCTACTACTCAAAGGAAGGAAGGGTGATTCCCTTCAGCCAATACAACTAAGGCAACCTTTACCCTCAACTTTTACCTATCCAATAAACGATGCTTTCTGACCATGATATGCACTGCATACCGTGTATTGATGTATGATTTGATATCATTTGGATGCTTATTTCCTGACAGTTTATTGTCATCGGGAACTATTCTAATTGAAGAATCAAGTAAGTTAACATAACCTACATGTACATGTCGGAGACTCATTGACTGAAAAGGAATTTCCCCATTTACTTGAGGTTTATCCATCAAATGGCATAAGCTCACTGTGCAAGCCCCAAACAAATTATTGCTGACAATGCCATCTGTTACAATATAACAGACTGACTTACTTGACTTTGTTTTTGTACTGAGTTGGTGGTATAGTGTAATTAGCAACCACTTGATTCCAGGGAGGTAAATCCATGGGACGCTTGGCTTGCTGCTTATACTCCGTAATCATTGTAGCATTTTCCTGGGCCAGTTCCAATATACGGGCAAAGGTGACTGTCTATAAGATAAAAAATATAAACATAATATTAAAATGAAATGGTCCATTTGATGAAAAATGATAAAACATGTCTTCAAATTGACAGCAGAGTCTAGAATGTTTTATAACTTGTAGTTGCAAAGTCAATTTTCAGTACATTTTGATCCTGCTTTGACAGCTGTTGGTCACTTTAAATTTATCCTCAAATATTTTGATCAAAAATATTAAATGCATTGCACAGGTACAGGTAACTGTTTTGATTGAATAATGAGGTGTCAATAACTTTATCACCATAGCTAACGGTTCATGAGAAAACTTTTATACACCTTGATTCATAATGGGTATGTTACTAGTAATATATTGGAATAAAATTCAGGACCAGAAAAAACTTGGATACATCAAAGTTTGACTATATATCAGTTATGAAGTAAAACTGTTGAAATCTGTTGGATTGGTCATTTGGGACCTTTGACCCTTTAACAATGACTGATGACCACTAAAACCTACCCAAATGAAACAACTTTAGGGAGGTTGTGATACTAGATATATGGATATGAACTAGATATGCCGAGAAGTTCTTAAGAATATCTTGTACACAAACTTTTCATGTGCATTACAATCATGGTGAAAATAAGAAATTACATTGTTTTAAAGACAGACTTACCGTTGCTGTGCTGGCTGTCTTATCAAAAGGATGGGGGTTACTGGTCACCCACATACCAAGAAAGCCAGGGCGGTTGCCTGTATCAGACTGGAAGTGTATTCTCCCTGACAAACCTTCAAAATCTACCTACAAACAGAAAATATCCTAAAGACCTTGTTTAATAAGCATGGCATTTAATTTGATTTGTTATGCCTGCAGATCAAAAGATCGATAGAATACTGTTTTTGTGCTATCTATTTGTCTGTTTTTAACTTTACCCTGCTCATTACTTACACCATAAGAGGTAGAGCTATCATATTTGGCATGTGTGTTCCTTGTGACAAGACCTTTTCAGTGGTACTAAAATTTTTGACAATGTGACCTTGACCGTGACCTTTGTTGTACATTTGAAAAAATCATTACCACAATAAAAACATAAGCATTTCACAAAATATGCATAAATTAATATATGTTTTAATGTCCGACTTCAGAATTTTGCAGCAAGGGGGTGGAGGAGGGGCAAATTGTTTCATAAACATATCTTGTCTTTCAAATGTTTTGATTACAATATTTCAAAAACATTTTCCTTACTTCATGAACAATATACATAACCTAGAAAACCAAGGACACCTGTCAAGTTCCACCAGAGAGTTGTTTTGATACAACATGGCTTGCACAAAAATTGTGGGTAATAAAATAAAATTGCAAATTTTCTGCATACAAAGTCGCATAAGTTTCACTTGTTATCAAACCTACACAAGGTCTCATGTATAAGAGACAACACACAAATTTGATGAAAATCCCAATACAATTATGAAAGTTATTGTGCAAAATGGCATCAAATAGCCAATTGTTTGGCATTCAAAATCCCACTCTTGAAGATTAATGTCTGTGATGTCTCGAGTACATGAACCATGAACCCACATACCAAATTTGGTGAAAATCTGACTGAAAATATGCAGTGTGTGAAAAGTAATACAATGGTATTTTTTTGGCATTCAAAGTCCCGTAACTTTTGCAAATTTTAACAGGCTTCAAATGAAAATTAAATCACTCGTTTCATTCTACTATATCTTCATGCTATTCATCAACAGATTTCCTGAAGAGATTATTTGACTGATTTGGATGTTTATATATACCTGTCTAAGAGCATTTGTCAGGGCAGGACCAGTGATGGTGAGACTGGCATTGATCATGTTGGTGATAGCAGTAGCGTAAGTTCTGACAGCATCATAACCTTTGCCCCATTCAGCCATTACCTGAGGAGTGTATAAAAATCACTATTCAGTTAGCCTTACATAAAGATATATTGTATCAAAGTCCCAATAATGATCAATTCTGTAACACCCATTATTTAACAGATTGTCTTTAAAAGCATTTCTTTCAAGATCTGCTTTTGATGGCCTTGTGTTTATCTACTTAAGAATCTTAGCATTTGGGTTAAGATAACCCATTCCCAAGGTGTCAAATATCATTTTGATCATAATCCTCCACATGTCTGGTAAAACTTTGGTTACTGTAAAATTATTCTTGTTTACTGCAAAATTATATATTACTGAGACCCAATTTTCATGAATTTTCAAAAAATCAACGATTTATGGACATTTTTTGAGGATGAATTTGGCTAAATAAATGTACTTCAACACTGATTTTAGCACTCTATGGATATATGAAAATTTGTAGATTAAGAATTAAGATTAAGAAATCACTGAAAATAAATCCTCTAAGAAACTTAATGTTTGTATAGACCTTCAAAATTCTTAACATTTTTGTTTATTCTGTTTTAAAAAGATAACTATTGGCATGCTACAATTATAGTTTACCTCATTGAGTGAGCGTCGTGGTGCTGTACCACGGTAGTTGATTCGACGATAGTTTGTGTGTTTGATCATAGCATGTTCCCATAGAGGCGTCATCATGCCGCTAACATTGTAGGTACCGCCCACACCAAAGTACCCAATCCAGGCCATGGTACAAGTGATTGGCTGTTTGTAACAATCAAAATATTCAAATTACTTTATACTCACATCTCAAAACATGTCATTCATAATAATTTCAAACATTTTGCTCCCTTTTTGCTTGTTACTGCTGCATGTAAGTTAATATTTCTTCATTTCATTTAATTGTGAAAACCTTGATTTGAGAATAATGTAATAAACAGAACTTTTAATGTGAGTGGCTTGAATTTTAACTCTTTCCATACTAAAATGAAATTTTGTGGCCACTACTGAAAGTGATTTTCAGGTTGGTACTCTGTACATGATGCATATCAGAGCACATGTCGTAAGTTATCACTTTGGTAATTGGATTATCAATGACTGCTGTGGTGTTTCCAATTCAGACATTTATTTACTGCATTCTATTGTATGAAATGAGTTGAAAATATTGTATTGAATATTTGCTTGGAAATACGATCCAATCATTCAGTGAAATGATGGGAAGTACATCTGTTCATGTGCTCACCGTGTCACTTATGTGATTTATCACCCATTCGTAACCTTGTTTTTTCTGTGCATGCACAAAGTCCATGTATTTCTGTTCTATTTTGACAATAAACTGTACTTAATTTTATATTTGATAGTTTGTAATGGTTCGAAACTGTTTTTCTCATCATCAGTGCTTCAGAAATCAAAAGTGGAATATAAGTCCACGGTTTTGTTGTCAGTGGCTTAATCCAGCCGATTACTTTATAGCTTTAATAATTGAATATGCCCAAAAGACAAAGATTATCATAATTTCATGTTTGATACTTATTGCCTGTTAGATAAACATTTAGTCAGCAAATTGCTACATATGACTATGCCTAAGTGGCAAGTAACACTCAGGTTACAAAGGAACAAAGGCATCATTACCGCAACATCTCAATATGTCACAAAGTATACAGGAGCACTTTTTGTGACATCTCAAGACGACATGAGTACACATATACTTGAGCAATTTATATACCTACTCCTTGACACATAGCATGCTGATTGGCCCAGGGGAAATGCCAGCCGACATCATTTAGCAGGCCCCATTCATAGCCATGATAGCAGGAAATATTGTGTCTGAAAACAATATCACAACTTATCATCATGTATATCATAATACATACACAAGATCCATTTAGATGAAATTAAGTATCAGATAAGGGACAGAAATAAAAAACAATATTATTTAAACAGCTGCCCCAGCTGCTTGAAAAGAGTTGACCAGTATTCAATGATAAACCACTATAGAGGAGTGTAGGTGAACATTACCTGATAGTTTCACTGATGGTTACCCACTATAGAGGAGTGTAGGTGAACATTACCTGATAGCTTCACTGATGGTTACCCACTATAGAGGAGTGTAGGTGAACATTACCTGATAGCTTCACTGATGGTTACCCACTATAGAGGAGTGTAGGTGAACATTACCTGATAGCTTCACTAATGGTTACCCACTATAGAGGAGTGTAGGTGAACATTACCTGATAGCTTCACTGATGGTTACCCACTATAGAGGAGTGTAGGTGAACATTACCTGATAGCTTCACTGATGGTTACCCACTATAGAGGAGTGTAGGTGAACATTACCTGATAGCTTCACTGATGGTTACCCACTATAGAGGAGTGTAGGTGAACATTACCTGATAGCTTCACTGATGGTTACCCACTATAGAGGAGTGTAGGTGAACATTACCTGATAGCTTCACTAATGGTTAACCAGTGTAGAGGAGTGTAGGTGAACATTACCCGATAGCTTCACTAATGGTTAACCAGTGTAGAGGAGTGTAGGTGAACATTACCCGATAGCTTCACTAATGGTTAACCAGTGTAGAGGAGTGTAGGTGAACATTACCTGATAGCTTCACTGATGGTTAACCAGTGTAGAGGAGTGTAGGTGAACATTACCTAATAGCTTCACCGATGGTTACCCACTATAGAGGAGTGTAGGTGAACATTACCTGATAGCTTCACTGATGATGAACCATTGAAGAGGAGCATAGGCAAACAAGTGGATAATTTTGGTTCCAGCATTCTTGATCTTTTCCATTTGTGCATCAATAACACCAGGAGCATATTGTGTAGGAAGTAGTTTAGGAATGATAACCTGTAACACAATATAGGAATGAAGACATGTAATACAGTATAGGAGCAATCACCTGTAACACAGTGAAGGAATGATGACCTGTAACACATTTAAAAAATGATGACTTGCAACTCAGTATAGAAATGAATACCTGTAACACAGTATAACAAGAGGGCCATGACCCTTAACTGTCATCTGACAATCAATGAATGGATGAACAAACCACAGAATTTGCAGATAGTAGTGCGCCAAATCTGATGATTTCCAATGATGATATATCTGTTCACATTTGGTATCAATTCATTCTAGCATTATGGAAGAGTAATGTTTTGTAGCAAAATCCTCGACTACTTTTCCCATTTTGGGCCCCACCCCCAGGTACCTAGGAGTGGAATCAACTTTCTGAATTTACCCAGGCATTAACAATAGAGTTTTGAAGCGAAATATTGTCTATCTTCCCCTTTGGAAGCCCCATCCCTAAGTCCCTTGGGGTCAAATCAACTCTCTGAATTTAAGAAATATTTCTCCACCCTCAATGATTTTCTTAAAACAGTAACGGTGACCTTGACCCAACAATTCTTTAACTTCATCTTGTTCATGGTATGTTGATGTTTAATAAGTGTGCAAAGTTTGATGAGAATCTCTCAAGGAATGAAGCCACTCCAACAAAGAGGATGAGAGAGATGGAGAGAAAGCTATTTATTAAAGGTTTAGTATCAAACTTTAGTTCAGATTTTGTATTCACTATATTGACAAAAGAAACAAAGGATGAAAATTCAACAGTTGTGAGTTTCCCTTTATGAACATATACCTCTTGTGTAATTTCTAAGTCAAACAATGCAGCTTTCTGGTACAGAACTTGATGTATCTGGTAGTCAATTTCTCGAACAATGATCTGAAATAAGTAAGAAAATAAATGATCTCACATATCCTTTAATCTGATGAACGGAGACCTCTATGGCAATTAGGTAGGATGTCAAGGAAACTAAAAAAGACTTCTAATTTGGTGAATTTGAGAATGTTGGATTCAAACATCTAATCATTGTTGTAACTAATTCTGAAAAATATATCTGAGGTCCTTTTCAGAGACTTCCCCCTTCCACAAGTAGTGTCAGAGTTCTCCTTTAGTGGTGAATTAATAACTCTCATTACTTTCTTTATCAAATGTATAAACAGAAAGTGAGTTTGTTATCCTGGAACCATGACAAACTACAGTTATTAAGTTTCACTGTAAATAATTCTATAATTTACCATTTTCTTCCACCCTCTGTCTCTGCAAGCAATCATAAGACACTGTGCAACAGCTGCCAAATCCCACGACAGCCGACTGTAATATGGATAAATAGTCTGGAACAAAATCAAACAAAAAATCAAAATACATTGGTACAAAATCAAAGAGATTAAAACACTTTGCAGGGCCTGGTAAAGCACCTGTCTTCTAATCCTGAGGGATGAGTGATTTTTATCATAGATATCATAACACACTGGTACAAAATCATAGATATCATAACACACTGGTACAAAATCATAGATATCATAACACACTGGTACAAAATCATAGATATCATAACACGCTGGTACAAAATCTTACATCACAACCAAATTTGATTCATAAAAATAACTCAACCAATTGACCAATTAGAGTGTTGTGTATTTATCATTACATAACTTGAGATATATCAGGTTATGGAAACTTTAATGAAATCTATTTGGATCTTTTAGTCAACAGTTTGGTAGATATTTTTCAGCATCTTGCTTACAAATCAAAACTGCCATATTTTTATGTTAACATTATGTTAATAAGCTTTTTGACACAATCAACATTGAGTGAAACCTTGGTTGGTGCCACTACCACCAAGGCGGAGACTGAATCCAATATAGCCCAGACCACAAGAAAGAATTAATATCTAAGCATTAGAAATGATCAATAAGCTTTACTTTTTCTTGTAATTGTATCTTAGATCTTTTCTTATTTTGAATATTTAAGCTTTTATTGAGTAGAATTTTAATTGATAATGATGCATGACAGACGACACCAGACAAAAGAAAAACAATATTTGAGTTGAAGCTCTCACAAAAATAGTATGCACAAGTTAAATCTACTTTATTTGAAAGGCTGTTATCACCACATCACAATGGTCTAAACAAATGTCAATGGATAAACAATATCTAATTTTTATGATATGACAATTTGATGCATATTCCAAATATTCTGAAACATAATTTCAAGTGTTGCAATTCTATCCTCGTCCATATTTTCTGTGGTAATTAAAGGTTAAACTCTTAATTTCCTTTAACATTTACAGCATATCCAGAATTTACATCACTTAATTTGCTGTCGTTTGTGTCTTCAGTATTTACAGAACTTTTATTTAAGAACAATTTCCATAAAAATCCAACGAAACAATCATTCACAGAATCAGAAAATATCAAGTGGTTCTATGAAAGTAACAAATGGGTTGTTATGACTACTTTTCAAAAATATAAAACACTTGAAAACCAAATCTGATTCAGTAATAATGTATCAAATGTCGTGCTTGAAACTTTCATTCAAAGCCTTAAAGCTACATTTTAACCGAGTATGATTACCAATGATTTTCTTTTGTTAGTTGGCATCTGATTTGAAATGTACAAGATCAAACTATACTGAAATAATTTTTTGTATATTTCACTATTTTTTCATAACCAGCTCCTATTTTGTATGTTTCACTATCATGTTGCCGGGTGTATGCAAGAAAACTGATCAGTTACCTAATTGTATAGCATTTTGTGGTAAATCATCAATGTACTATTGTGTCATAATAGGTTTGGTCATTAAATCACTCACCACATAAACTTACTATCCCTGACTTCTGTACATTTCACAATTTTCATATCCGGGAAAATCATCAAGAAAATTATTTTGATGGACACCAACCTTGTCTGTAAACTCTGCTTCGTCTTCTCTGGTAGCTAAAGATGGCATTTGGTTTGCTGACAAATAACTTGCCATTTTCTTGGTGGCAGTGTTGGACCCAAAACCAATAATTCCTCGGACTTTCTTGCTTGGATCAAGCTGTTTCAAAATAGCATTCTTGAATTTAGATTTATATCACAACAAGCAAATCAATATTAAAAGAAACAAACTGTTTAAATCATTTAATGACCTATATAGGACTAGCTTCATCACTTGTTCAATACTAATTTACCATATAATATTTCTTTTTCATGGGCTTTTATTTTCATAGAATTCCAGGTTATGAACACACTGTGAATCATCACTTTTTTACTCAGCATTACGTTCTATACCTTGCCTTGGTCTATCATTCCTTGGAATGCTGTGGGGGCCAAACTGCCGTCTTTCCCAACATCATAACTGTTCATAATGAGTTGTCTCCCTTTAATAGAAAAATAGAATAATAATAATAATAAAAAAAAACCAACAACAAACAACGGTCAAATTTGATCATTTGAATGAAAAAAAAATCTTGTGGTTTGTGTCAGAAAAATGCTTCCTCCACAAAATCATAAAATAGTGCTTTGTGAAGGCAAATCTGTTCCAACATTGCCTCATTAAAAGATTGGTTGTTGATTGGCTTTGATTGATCTAAAAATATCTGAGAACAAAAATTTGCATTGCAAAGAAATGAAGTTTTTCCAACTACAAAAACACATTATATATAGTCTATGCGATAATTCAGGGCTTACAAACATTTGAACTTAAAGATGATTTTAGATTTTTAGAGCTTGAATTAGAAGAAATGAGTGGGGGTTGGCTGCATTGAATTTGGCCAAAGAGTCATACAATTTTGTTATTTCCACATCTTTGTCCCTACTCTATTTGCCAGGCGGCGCTTTTATGTAATTATACATGTATGTACATATAACTCAGTTCCAGTGTGATGTAACATGGTCTTGTATACATGTTTTTATTTTATGTCGTTTTTTGTCATGAACGGCCAGTATCATTTCACTCTTCTGTTTTACTGGTTATCTTTCACAATGTTTGATGTTCTCTATTATATCATATACTGATGTACATGAGGACTGCTCATAAATAAGACATTTGTATGCTGAAGGTATCTAGTGACAGAACAAAGAACCTTTTACATAGTGCTTGCTATATTCATTTGATTTCATTAATCCAATATACCCAGAACTAACAATTCTGTATATAAGTGTGTTGTTACATTTTCTGGGTCACCATAATTTATTTTTTGTGTTTAACTGTGTGCTGGCGAAAATGAAAGTATCACAGAACCATAGGTTTGAAATTCTACAAGGCTGAGTCCAAACAAGCTTAATTATCCAACAGCTATTTGAAATATATTTGCAACAACAAATTACAACAAAATAAAGTCTCTTACAGAATTAGCTTTGACAGTTTATACATTCTATCGAACAATACTTTTGAAAGGAGAGTCTCAATTTTTACACAATTTTTAGGTTGCAGAATAAAGAGTTTCAGTAATAAATAGAGAAACCAATTGTTTGAAAAGTAGTACAAATTTCAGTGATACCTTGCAGCAAGTCTGGAAAATAACCATTAGCAATGTCTTCTATTGCATAGGTGGCAAAAGCATCGATAAATGGTCCAGTATCTGATGTAGCAGATGAACCATACGTATCAATAAAGTTTCCAATGTAGATCTCATCTGGAACATCAACAAAAGTTTTACATTAAATTCATCCAACATAAAACCATATTCTTTTATTCCCAAACTGTTTAGTAAGCAGTCAAATTACATCTTTTTGGATAAATGATATGACAATGTTGTAACATTACTGTTTCGGAGATTATTGACCGATTCAACAAAAAACAAAAATATCGAATTCAATTTACAAAATGTACAATAAAATCATATATTTTTGTGAGGACCAAATTTTGTGGTTTTTAAAAAATTACTATTTTATTGACACTTAACTGATCTCATGGAAAATTGTATTTGTGAATAAATAGTATTCATGGATAAAGAGAATTCAGAAAATCTAAAAAAAATGTCAATTTTCAAATGTTTATCATTTCATGGACATATGAATTTGTGGGCCCAGCATACCCATGCAAATCAACGAAAATAGCATCCCACGAAAATTAACGATTTCACATTATATAAGATAAGAATGCCATTGAAAATCAAAAGTAGTGATAACTTTGTTTTTCATTATCAAGACTTCTGGCAAATACCTACTTGTCACAGTGAAAGCATTGGTAGAGGCTCCAGTTAGAGCACCAGGTGTTACAATGCTGTTACCCTGGAAGGACAGAACAAAGCCAGAACCAACATCGCAGAAGGAACCGCCATACACAGCTTGTCCATGAGAGGCTGTAACAGTCTGGGAGTCGGAGGAAACACATCCTCCACCAGAGGAAGTGACACTAAGAGTCTGTTAAAAATGAAAGGTCAAATCAAGTTACTTTTCCTGAAAAAATGAACCTACAGCTTACAGATCATCTAATTTTAATTACTTTATCTACAGAAATATTTTTTTGTTGCAATTAAATATAATTAAAGAATGAGGAGGTAAACTCCTTTATTTAGTTTAATCATTTCATGACTGAAATTAGGGTTTGAGTGAACAACATCAGAACAATAAAGTATAATATAGCAGTCAGTTGTATTGTCCTGTCAGGTCAACACATTGTTCAGTTATGCTACCCTGTCCCATTGATTAAGTGGTCAGTTAGATTGTCTTGTCTCATCCACACAGGAGTCAGTTACAATGTATTATCATGTCAACACAGTGGTTGGTTATGATGTATTGTCATGACAATATTGTGGTCAATTGTATAGAAATGTCTCATCAACATAGTGGTCAGTTATATTGTCTCATCAACACAGTGGTCGGTTGTATCGTTTCATCAACACAGTGGTCAGTTGTATCACCTCATCAATACATTGGTAAGTTGTATCTTCTCATCAACGCAGTGGTCACTTATATTGTCTTGTCTCATCAACAGTGGTCAGTTGTATTGTCTCATCAATGCAGTGGTCAGTTGTATCGCCTTATCAACACAGTGGCCAGTTATATTGTATTGTCTCATCAACACAGTGGTCAGTTGTATCGTCTCATCAACACAGTTGTCAGTTGTATCGTCTCATCAACACAGTACAGTGAAACCTCGCTATTAAGACCACTTTGGGGACTGGACAAAAGTGGTCTTAATAGCGAGGTGGTCTTAATAGTGAGGTGGATCAGATTGACCACAAAGAACCGTAACTCTGTTTAAAATAAAGAGTATATATATCATTAAGTAATGTACATGTATATTATTCAACAATAACTAATAATAATAAACTAAAATGTTGAATTTTATGAAATGCATGTAAAAAAGACTAAATTGCTGAATTGACAGAAGAATAATTATGTATATATTCCTTAGTTTATATCATAATATACATGTATATTTACTATTGTAAACATTGAATAAAAGGAAACAAACAATCCATTTTAAGTTCAATTGGAATTTAACGTTAATTTTGCAACTATTTCACATAAATTTACGAACACATTTACTCAGTATTTGTAACAACTTTAATGAAGTCACTATAAAGTCTTTCAACGCTTCATTTTTCACTTAAATTCGCAAACACATTATCTTTATCAGTGTATCACTCAGTACAACACATTTTTCTTTTTACTTAAAAAAAAAGAGTCCGGAGCACAATATTGCGAAGAGCTACGGATCTGGACAGCCTCCTCTTTCATACGTCCTTTTTACCGATCGCGATAGCTCGTTTCGTTTCCGTGGTTTCGTCATTGCTTGATGAAGTTCATCGGGGTTTTGTGACAGAGAAAATGTGTCGTAAAAACATTGGAACACATACACGTTTTTTTATTGTTCAAACGATATCGAGAGTGTAACATTGCTACAAAAACAGTTAAAAACCCTCGACAACGTGTGCGCGTGCAAGCCAAGGAATATCGGCCGAAACGACTACATAATTCACTTTTGGGTATGCAGGGCTTCTAAGGTGTTTATATACCTACCGATCTATCAATATATAATTAACAAACAACAGATCGCTATTAAAACGTGTCCTGCACGCGGTTTCGGACCGGTAGGCCAAGTTAATCCGATAATGATGTTTACTTCGTTTAACGCCACCTGGTGACAGGGTCGGTAACCCGTGACGAAAACAATGGTCGTGAACGACACACATGTTCGCGGTTCACTGCCCACCAGGTAAACTTTAATCACTGGTCAGGCCGTGGTCGTAATTGTGAGGTCAATTATCGTTAATAAGTGGTCGTTGGGACTGTAGGAAGTGGTCGTAATACGGAATAGCGGGGTGGTCGTAATACTGAAGCGACCAATACAAAGATTTATAGTGGAAAAAAACGGGACTGAAAAAAAGTGCCCGTAATAGCGGGGTGGTCGTAATTTTGAGGTGGTCGTTAGGTGAGGTTTCACTGTAGTCAGTTATATTGTCTTATCTCATCAACAGTGGTCAGTTGTATCGTCTCATCAATGCAGTGGTCAGTTGTATTGTCTTATCAACCCTGGTCAGTTATATTGTCTTGTCTCATCAACACAGTGGTCAGTTGTATCGTCTTATCAACACAGTGGTCAGTTATATTGTCTTGTCTCATCAACACAGTGGTCAGTTGTATCGTCTCATCAATGCAGTGGTCAGTTGTATCGTCTTATCAACCCTGGTCAGTTATATTGACTTGTCTCATCAACACAGTGGTCAGTTGTATCGTCTTATCAACACAGTGGTCAGTTATATTGTCTTGTCTCATCAACACAGTGGTCAGTTGTATCGTCTCATCAACACAGTTGTCAGTTGTATCGTCTCATCAACACAGTAGTCAGTTATATTGTCTTATCTCATCAACAGTGGTCAGATATATCATCTTGTCTCATCAACACACTGGTCAATAACATAGAAACGTCTCATCAACACAGTGGTCAGTTATATTGTCCTGTGCAATCAACACAGTTGTCAGTTATATGAATATGTCTAATCCATCAGGTGTTAATGATATTGGCATGTGTTGTGTGAAGAAATATGTATTACCAAATTCGCATCTCTACCAGACCAGACTCTGTCACCAGATGAATCCCTGATTTCCAAGACTGCTGCATCTTCTAAAGGGAAGTTAGCACCAACGGTTGTGTGTATATCAGCAGTATTAAGTAGATTTATTGTAGAGGCAGTTTGTTCTGAAACAGAAAGGAAACATTTTACAAAATCATCTTTTACATTCTTTAAAAAAATGGTCCATCATGGTCATGAATTCCCCAAATGCTATGCAAATTCAGGTATTGTTGTTTGGTAAACTTTCTGTAAATAATCTTTTTAATCTTAACCGAGGAATATGGAAATGTAAACAAATTATCAATATTGGTATTCTGTATAATTTCTTTACATAATACAAAAGACCACAGATAAATCTTGGCACCCAACATTGTTTGATCTGCATTTGTTCTTCAAAAGTTTATTCTTTTCCTTTCTTTACTCTTTCTTTTCTCTTATTTGTTCTTAATTACATGGCATTCGAAAATTTCTCTCAAGAAATAGCATTAATAATCTGCAAGTGTCAAATAAAAGGCTGTTGCCTATCAATATTTTGTTTATCTTACAATCCCAAAATCAAAAGGACTCAACCCAGAACCAACAGAAACCTGTGTATAAGATATGAGAAAGATCCATCCAGTACTTCTCAAGAAATAGTGATAACAAACTTTCAATACCAAAATACAAGACCTCCCCATCCATGTTGTTTTTGGGATCAGACTGAAAATTAAATGAGCTCAACTAGGGACGGAGAGGAACGTAACTTTCATTGTCAAAATCTAAGATGACAGCCTGTCAGCCATGTTGTTGTTTGGATCAGTTTTAAACAGTATAAAGCAGGATATGAAATTTGAAAAGATTTTCATCAAGTACTTCTCCAAAATTACAATAAGAAACTATAATTGTCAAGCTCAAAGATATCAGCCTATAAGCTGTGTTGATTTTCACATCAGTCCCAAAATGAGGCAATGCACAACTAGGGACCAAAGGAAAACCTACATGAAATGAGATAGATCCATCCAGTACTTTTCAAGGAATATAGTCAAATTTTGATGCTTCAAAGTTTCAAAGTTCATAGCTTATATTGACATTTTCATATTCATGGGAAATTTCTGAAAATGTCCCATGAAGAAATAACAGGTGTCTTGATTATTGTGTTATGACAGCTCAATAACTGATTTGAAAATGTCCAGTGTACAAATGACCAGTGTCTTGATTATAGTGTTACAACAGTTCTACAACTGACAATGTGCCAATATGGATAAAACCCTCTCCTGAACAGAGAAAATTATGTTCACACAAATATTTTGATAACATCACAAGGTGTAAATGTTTGTACCTGTCACAGAAATACAGTCAGTAATGTACACGCCTCCATCTTCTGTACTGTTGATGTAATATCCATTCAGGCCATTAGTCAGCCCATGGATATGCTTCACCTCATTCATCGTTGTTGGTAACCGAAAAAGAGGATACCGAGGCATGGTAAGTGTGATGTTAAGTCGCACACATGTATGGACATCGAGCAGACGGACATCTGTGAATGAGGCAATTCCTCCAACAGCACGCTTTGTGATTAGTTTGTTATGAGTGCTCACACTTTGTACCATATCAGTTCCTCCCAGTCTCACCTAGAAAATAAAGCAAACAGTGATCTGATTTGTGAATAGAATTGCTTTTATCCTGACTCTTGTACATTTATGACTAAATATTAAAGCGTAGTTGAATCAACAAAGGTACATTTCTGCCATCTAGTGTACTTTTTTCTGTAAACTATGTACCATCTTGTCACACTATTTTCTATCTTAAATGCACAATGGATCATAGTAATGCCAACATACATTTTGATGCCTTACCATCTGATACACTCCATACATCAGTACCATACATTTCCCACTAGTCATTTGTCTGAAAAAATTGACTGTGTAGCCTTGAAATGTCAGGCTTAAATATTCTACTGGTTGTGTCATAAGAGCTTATATTCTATTGAAATAACAAGCTAAAAAATGTTCCGAAATATATGGGTGGACTTGTTAGCAGGCATGGGCTTACTGCTAGATAGATACAGTATATATCCTTTATGATAGGTGACATCCTTATTCAATCCATTAGGTCATTTTGTCAGTCATTCTCATTCTTCTTGGGTAAATTCCTGCTTCAAAATTCTGTTTACTCAAATGAATGCAGACTCATAACTCCAGACAACATACTTTTGAAGTCATATCATGATAGTTCAGAAATAAGAGCAGTATGTGTGGAACTATTTAGAATTATTAGACTAGAAGCCAATTTTTTTCCCCACCTTTTTTTTTTTTGTTCCATTTCCATATTTTGCAGATAGCATCTGAATTATTCTGTCACACAATTAGACTATAGCAGTCGAGTAACAACTGTAAGTGACTCATCTGTGAGGATGATTAGAGACATTGTTAGATCAATACTTACATTTTCATAGAACAACATGTTGCGATAACCATTGTCATGATACATAACAGACAAGTCTTCCATCCATGCAACCTTGATGGTAACATCCAGTGTGGAATCCAGTCCCGATGTGATTAAGTTTCCATCCGCATCTAATATGTGGGCAACTATCGGGAAACCTTTGTTGGCTACCGTTGTAGCAGGAGGGGGTGTAGCAAGGCTCATGTTATTGACATTCACTAAAATGTTCAACAAACATTTCATTTAAACAATAAAGTAAAATACAATTTGGAAGAACCATGAATTAATCCTGTATAATATGAAAAAATCCATTCAAATACTTCCAGCATTTTCATTTATTAGTTTGACTTTGCAGTCAGCTGACATACTGAAGCAGATACTATTGACTGAAAGATTGCCTTCTAGCAGGAAACCTGACTCTGATATCATATGATTTCTTTTCTCAAATCGGATTAAAACTGAACTGCATTCTCATTTGAGAGATGTTATCACACTCTACAAAAAAGTTTCATAAAAAGTCCACAGAGGTAAAACTGTTGATGACATTATTTTATAAATCAATAAAACCAATGACATATATGTTTACTTCTATCCAGTGAATTGGGAGCAATACAGGGTTAGTAGGGGTGGTGTATCAGGAGGGTAGAGAGAGACCTGTGTGACCACCTTCCATCAGCTTAAGTATCTTACCTGTAACTTCAATAGAAATAGCAGTGGTGGTGTATCAAAAGGGTAGGGAGAGAGAAACCTGGGTGACCACCTTCCATCAGCTGAAGTATCTTACGTGTAATTTTGATAGGAATAGCAGTAGTGGTGTATCAGGAGGGAAGGGAGAGACATGGGTGACCACCTTCCATCGGCTGAAGTATCTTACCTGTAATTTTGATAGGAATAGCAGTGGTGGTGTATCAGGAGGGAAGGGAGAGACATGGGTGACCACCTTCCATCAGCTGAAGTATCTTACCTGTAATTTTGATAGGAATAGCAGTGATGGTGTATCAGGAGGGAAGGGAGAGACATGGGTGACAACCTTCTGTCTGCTCTTGTGTCTTACCTGTAACTTCAATAGGATTAGTGATGACTGTGTACACTTGGCCTTCATATTCTACAGAAAACTGTATAGCACGTTCCCTGGGAGGAACAGTAGTATGAGCATGGTAAAGTGCATCTGCTCTCAATTCTCCTGCATACACAGGTACATCGACTAAAGTTGTACTGTCACCACAAATCCAACTGAAACCAGTAATCACCAACAAAATAAATTTTGCAACCTTCATAACATACTATGGAAGCAAACATGGACATGTATTCAAGCTGGACCTGGACATTTTTTCAATTGATTAAAGAGAGATCTAAAGCTAAATGTAAGCTTTGCTGAGCAATTTCATCACACTATCATAGCTTGTTAAGTTTGGGGCAAATGTCCTCTCACTTCTGGGTAATGAATATCAGAATGACAAAGACGAGCAATGTAGGTCCTTAGGTAGAATTCTGCTATACAATCCATTTTGGATTTTGCGTTACTACTTGCTCTTCATATGCTTTTCTTGTGTTTCCTTTAGTGTGGGAACAATTGCTGCTGATAACAAAAATACTGCCAAAATGAGTCATTGGCAACAATCGATTGAAGTCTTCTCACTATCAATTTCTATAAAATGTCCTTGTTAGATAGTACAACAGAATTGCGAAAAGGAAGATCACTATTGCCATGCCTCATTGTGGGAATGAAAAAAAATATGGCCGAAGCACACCAGATGTATTCCTATCCAGGGATGGTAAAGTAAAATGTATGGAACTTTTTCATGTTTCGTAAGAAAGAAAGTGCTGTGGGACCATTGACCAAATCTAATTTAGATATGACCACTGTCATTTGCAAACTCTGCAGCAAATGTTGCACCAACAAAGGTAAACAAACAAAACAGATAACACACTTAACACACAAGAATTTCTAAGTCGATTATTTTGTGATTGCTAATTGATTATTTTGTGATTGCTAATTGATAAATAGAAGATAATCAAACCAAGTGACAGATTCCTTTGAATTGAATTTTGCTGGGTGTTGTTAACAAACTTGCAAAAGAGACAAATAAATTATTTCACATTTTGTGTTTTTTATGTTGTGTATTTATAGGCAGTCTGTCAACATAAGATAACACTTTTTAATGATACACATTAAATAATGCTCAGTTATTACTTTCTAAATTTAATCATGTATCTATTTTGGCAGAAAACACTACAAATCTAAAATGTCATCTAGATACACATCACAAAGAAGCTGAATGTCAAAGACAGAGTTCAAAACAAGCCAAGCAGCCAAAAACAGACAATTCAATGCAGGCAGTGAATGCTAACCAAATACCTGTTCGCTTCTCAAAGGTTAAACAGGATAAAATTGATAATATGATCATGCAGATGATGGTGGACAAAGTACTTCCATTAATCCTGGTTGAAAATGAGTACTTGCTTCGTTTTGTGAATCTGATGGATTCTAGGTAAAATGACTACAACATCTTTAGTACTAAAGTGTTAGGGTACACAACCTTAAATAGTCAAGGACAGTAGAGCTGAAAAAGGAGATTTTTCATTACATTTGCCATTATCAGGACACCAACCACTTCCACCAGGATGTACTCAACCATAAGGTGGAAATAATACACAAGTTAACATCACTGTCAGTATCTCATTGGACCTTACATTTACGACACGAAATATTATGTCCAGGTACTAATTTTTTAAAATGTAAATCTGTACATTTCTGAAAACTAATATATCTTTTTAATCTTAATCCACTTCCCTTGTCTCATAAAAATAAACAAACAAAAAAAATTTAACATTTATTTTTGCTTGTGAAAATACCTCCTCTCGACTATGGACAGCAAAATTTTGTCAAATTATGCTCAGTGGTTTGTGACTAGTAGCAATTTAGAGGAAAGTTGCTGGATGCCGGACGCCGTGATTGATGACGAGAAAAACAGAATCAAACCATTCAAAACTTAAGGTATATATATAAATGAAGTACAGTTTGTGGAAATAACACAGGAACATGTATAACTTGTGCATACATGGAAATAACAAGGTTACGAATGAGTGATAGATCACACACAATTGACATGGTGAGCACATGAAGTCATATTTCCAATCATTTAACTGAACAATTGGGTCATATTTTCAACCAGATATTCAAGAAAATTTCATACAATAAATTACAGCAAATAAATGTCAATGTACCAATAATTTTATCAAAGCTTGCAGTACAGCCCTGTGCTCTGATGTACCTCATATGCAAAGGACCACCCTGAAAGTCACTGCTGGTAGTGGCCACAAAATTTGAATAAAGTAAAATGAGTAAGTAAATCTAACTTCAACATCCAAAAGATAGGTGGTGGGCACTTACAGGAACATGGGCTCTTAATGGGTCAAGTATGGTATTAGTTTTAGCACATGTTGCCTTTAGATAGGCTCTAATGTTAACTCTTTAAATAGGAATCTTCACAAGAAGATAAAATTGCACATTTTCTCTAAGGTATTGGAATACTCATCTAAAGAAAAGATTGTATGGGTTGGTGCACTCATCGAAAGATTTTTGTGTTGGAGTATTTACCTAAAGATAGAATCATAGATTTTTGAGTCGGGAACTCACCTATAGTTAGGATCAAAATATTTTGGGTTGAAGTACTTGTCTAAAGATAGGATCATAACTTTTTGAGTTTGGGTACTCACCTGAAGATAGGATCGTAACTTTTTGGGTAGGGGTATCTGTTGACATACTGACAGAGTTGTCCACCAGAACTTTCCCATGTATCTGTGGTACCTCCAGTTGAATTGTAAGCATATATGTCGACAGTTGTGATGTTACAATTGCCAGAAAAATCTGTCTTCACAACTCCGTCCACCTTTAAGTATGCAAGGATTGGTTGACTCATAGGATGGTATAGTGCCGAATGATAGATTCTATCAGCATCACTCCCTGGGACAGCGCCGGGTGAGTAAGATGGATCAAGTTCAACAGTGACAGTTGCTTCCAACATTCCTAAACAAAAATATATATAATGTTTTAAACTAGATAATAACCGGCAATGAACACTAGAATCTTGATGTTAAGGTACTGTAGACAGATCAATGTTATGGTACTATAGGTAGATACATTGTATAGTACTGTAGATAGATGTAAAGGTATTATGGGTACAATGATGTTATGGTGCTATAGATATATCTCCAGAATGCTACTTGGAATGGATGACTCAAGTTTCAGCTTTACATGTTTTCAACATGAGCTGACCATGTTGATATTTTCATATCATTTCCTGAACTTGAAAATAAGGACACTCAATAGTCTGTCAATCGCTTATAAGTATATCTTGACATTTACTTCACATTTAACCATCAGTCTTACTAACACATGTCCTATTTTTTCCCAATTTTCTTCTCTAAAATTCCCAATTTGCACTTCTAGAAAACAAATTTACGATTTTTTATAAAATACATTACATTTGCCAAAACATCATGTTGAGAGTCTGAGAGCCAATCGTTAACTAGGCCTTTTCTTTTATTACACTATGTGAAAAAACCGAGGAAAGCTGATGCAAAACACACAAAACCTATCAACTTGTTCTTTTTAAAATCCCATCCAGTTGATAAGGAAGGTGAGATTCAGAACGAACCTACTGTATCCGACGACTGTCAGAGTGAGAGTCAGACTCACATCAACATATGTACCAACGTCCGTCCCAGGGTCCGTTTCCCAAAATATCCTGATAAACCCCTATTGATACATTTCTCCTAATAACTATCACATGCATAGCACATAAAACAGCCCTTATAGCTAGCTCACTTGGCCATTTGTACATTTTTTGTTTTTCATTCAATTGTAATCAAACTTTGGAATGTTTTTAAGTATGAACTGGAGTTTTATTTGCATCGAGCTTTGATTTGATGTCTTGTCACTTTCTAAATAAATGGGGTTTTGGACAACAAAAATTCAAATAAGTGTGAAAAAATCAAGAAGATTTCCACAGTAACTCAACAATAACACTCGCATACTTGATTATTTTACTTGTTCAAATCAGGAGAACATATCTTAAAATGAAGCATGCTGTGTTACCTCATAAAGCATGGGTATGGACACAAATGAGTTGCGCATAGAACACAGAAATACTGAGTCTGATTTTTTTCCCCATACAATCAGAGCAAACAGCACAGTATGTGGTTCAAGGAGGTAAAGTGTTTTTCTGTCATCCTAGAAAGAGGATTGTTTACTAGTCTAACAAACCTCATTTGTAGGTTCATAGCCATGAAGTAGTCCAAAACTCGCTTGTGTTCAACTGAAACTCTTTAGGAACAGTAGGTTATAATTTCTACTGAGGTATACACTTTTCCCATCCCGCCGTGGATTATGAGTGGTGCAAACTTCTTTCATTTATGCAAAAGTCGTAGACTAGACCGAGTTCATTTTTTCCCAAATGGACACTAATCATTTTACTTCTCAATGTATTCATGATGTGAGAATAGGCCTGTGCCGTAATTATCGGACATCCGTCATTTTACGGTGGTGTGAATGAATGACGGTTCTGTAGTCGTAAATAGAAGAAAACAAACACTATTTTTACATGATCTTACCTGCTACCAAAAGCAAGGACACGGCTGTTACTATCAAATTCATCTTTTTGTGTTGATGAGGTCGCATACGTCGGATATGGGGGCTACATCTCTTGTAAAATGATATCCGCCATTAAAATTTCCGTCGTAAAAACGCGCGCGTGCGGACTTTCTAAACGTGACGTCACAAGATGGTGGTCGCTGTGTGGATTTACTCAGTACAATTCAATTATGTGCATGGAACTGAGTTGTTTACATGTCTTTTCTTGTATGTTTTAGCAAATAAATAAATTTATTTATTGATGATAGTGTCAGAATTCAATAGATCACACGCAGTGAGGTCACTTTAGGAGATAAAAGTTGAGGCGCCATAAAATCCCAGGCTCTTCTCTCATAAAGTCTTTGCTACAAAAGTACTGAGGTGGATCTTTTTTTCAAATTTTATTTGTAGGTCACCCTTGGTCCCTATAATTGTGCTCGTTTGATTTTAAATCTGAAAATGAAACGGCCGACAGCCGGCTATTTGATTTCTGACTATGTCTGTAAGTTTCTAGAATGGGTCTTTCTCAAACATTGTTTGTCCGCAGTTGTGCCCTTTTGATTTTGGAACTGATTAGAAAAACTTCAATGACTAAGGCGACCATTATGGTTTTGGCAAGTGAAAGACATAATCGCTATTTTTCATCAGGATTTTTATTATTTCATAGGAAAGAAAACAAGAGAAGGGAAAAGATTTAACGTCTAAAGAACAAATAAAGATCAAATTATTGTGGGTGCCACGATCTCTCTGAAATCTCCTGTTTAATCATATGATAGCTCAGACACAAAAATACCCCGTGACCTAGCTACCCGGTTTTTGACACTTCGTTTGTGTTCTGTGCTGTTACATTACTACATCTATGTCTTTGAGTCATGACGACATCTATTGACAGATTTTGGAACTACTTCCATTCATAAAATTTTGTTCAAAAATATCTCAACATTGACCAATCAGAGAGCTGTGTTTCATCATTGCATGACTTGAGATATATCGGGTTATTGGAGTCTTTTGTAAAATCTGTTCGGTTATTTAAGTCACCATTTCGGTAAATATTTTAAGCATCTTGTGTACAAATCAAAACTTGTATATTCTTACGCTAATGTTACGTTAATAAGCTTTTTGACAGATTGAATGAAAGCTCAGTGTACGCCACTCCCAACCTAGGCCGGGCTGTACCAATATAACTACACCTATTGACCATTGACTGACTTGTTTTTGTTTTCATGCGAGGCTGAATTTATTAAAGAGTTTATCAAAACAGGTCACAAAGACCTTGCAAACATGTTTAATAACACTTTCAGATATATTGATGACGTCTTATCTTTATATCACAAGAAATTTATTGACCACGTCCATCGTATATACCAACCTGAATTGGAAATTAGACACAACAGACTCTTCTACATCAGCTGCTTATCTCGATCTTTTCCTATCACGAAACCACTACCGATAACTCTTCACAAAGCTGTATGATAAAGGTGGTAACTTCAATTTCCTCATTGTGAATTTTCCTTTCCTGGGTAGCAAAATTCTGCATCCCCAACCTATGGTGTTCATTATTCAAAGATCGGAAATGACAAATGAATTTTCACCCCAAATTACAACTTAGGTTCTTTTCTTTATTTCTTTTTTAATCTAACACTTTGGACGGAATCACATTAAAGTTTATTTTTTTATCGGCAATACACACTGGATCCTGATTAATCCGTAGGCTATCTATACGAGATTTTATCATGTCTTGGTCGCGACCGATGATAGTCAGAATCGCTAACGACCCGTACAAGAATCGGCATTTAGGCAGTGTTTTATATACATATGTAGTTTGCAAATGGAATGTTGATATCAGATTTAGGAAACACTGTTGCAAATGTGACACTTTGTCACTTGGCTTACTCTAACTGAAAGTAATGAATTCCGTTTTGTAATACTGAGTGTTTGATAAATAAACTATTTTTTCAGTCTAATCCGAAGTTCTGGGCTGCATTTGTATATTTTACCAGTTTAAATATGAATATGACTAATGACTTTAACACTAAGTGATACATCTAACAAAGAAAACGACAACAAGAAAACCAATCGAAAGAAGAAGTGTTAAAAAGGTCGTTAAGAAATAAAAATATGGATTGATCTGTAACTTGTAATTTTGTAGTTACATACTCGATTTCACTTCATTATCTGTAGGCACGACGAAAAGAAACCAGAAAAAAATACAACGGTAGAGACAGGCGGACGACTGGACGGACAGATGGGACAGCTTCTCTATTTACCCCGGTAAACTGGTAAAAACCTGAAGTTTGCACCTGAAATCCATTTATCAATTTTATAGATAAATGTTGTCGTGGAGTTGATTGCTCGTAAATCGCTCATCATTAAAATCTCAGTATACGTCGTAGTTAACATAATTTAAAAATCTATGTAAAAGGACTCTACCTTTTAGACTCTCAAATCCTAACACTATTGAAATAAATAAATAAAGGGTTAATGGAACAGTTTAATCTGCTTTCAATTCTACAACAGTTTTGAAACAAACCTGAGCTCACAGGGTTCCTCACAAGGAATCAAAGGATGGAGAGAAGATGGATGAAAACAGAAGGAAGGAATAATGTACAATATCTGGTCGAAATGGTGCGAAGTTCCTTTGTTATTTGTATGTATTTATCCACTAAAATATGATAAAGAAATATTGATACTTTATGATATTCCAGGATTGTGGAAGACGGGAGACAATCGACTGATGATGGCACTATAGGTAAATCCGACAACAAGCTTCGTCCAGCACCGTACACGTAAAAAAATGGATGCTCCTGACTCTCGAGTTCAAAGGTGCCAGAAAAATTGAAATTTTAAAATTTCAAATACGATATTTTTGAAATTTAAAAAATTTCAATAATATCGTGTTCTCTAGTTTCATTATACTGGCAGCATATCACTTACTCTGTGACCAGATTGACAGTAAACAGTCCGTCATATGCAGTTGAAGCAATCCGAGTCAATCTGTATTTATAATGTGTCTCCCGATGGACATCTATGCATGAGAAGAGGACTGTAACAACCTCTAGCACACTGGTGTTTAAGAACTTATATTTTCTCCGTGCATTACCAGTCTTTTAATGTCTTTCATGGAAAAAAATATCTTTTTTTTATGAAATAACAGAACTAGAAGATATAACATAAATACAATATTCTATTATTATTTTTATCATTAAAATTGTTATTATTATTACTAGTGGTCATTAAGTTGGCCAATTTAAATGTATATGAGACTGTAGTCCGGAGGTTCTGACAATCTATCCGCGATTATGTCTTGTATTAGTCACGTGCCTACACAAAATAAAATCATGGATCGATAGACGTCGTACTAACGAGATTGTTATATGTATTAAGAGACATTTCGGTGAGGACAAGGAATAGAAAACACACCAATATTGTTTATTGCGTTTTAAATGTCACTTCCTAGAACGCCCGTCCTGCATCTTCGGAAATTTATTTTTTTTAAATGAGCATATTAGATACACCTTTTTCTATCTTTAGCCTATTATCAGCTGATGTAATCGATATCATCAGAGACGTATATGTCATATATATACGCCTCTGATATCATGTTGTAGATTTTAAATATATCAATTTCGTCTTTGCAATTGCGTATCTGTTGGTATTATTAACAATTCTAATAAAAGACACGATATGATATTAATAATCATATTGATAATTACAATAATATTGATATTCACCTGTTTTATTATTTTAGATATTGTACTATGACGATATAAATCCGGAACGCCGTCGGTTTTTTTTTATATTTAGAACATGTACTCTTCCGGTTATCGCCCGTGACGAGATGCAATACTATGACTTACGTTAGGCGAACAATTAATCATTTATATCAGATATTATCATAATGCAGTAATCCCAATACGAAGTTCACATGTAGAATTTAAAGGCAAATGTTTCCTTTTATTTCAGTGTGTGACAGCCTCGACGTTACTCGATTCTGAGGATTGACGAACAATGCGTAAGTAGAGTGAATTAGCCCTGGAATGTTACCGGAGGATGGCTGCCAATTCAGCCTCCTCAAAACGATGGTGTATAGCCTAGTCCTTTCTTACCATCTCATAAGGGTATGAAATTATGATATGACACCCACAGAAAGGACTTTCACACAGTTTCCGGAATGTCAAATTGTCATAATTCCTCCAAATTCACCTAATGTGTCGGAATTAGGTTACCACTAAAAAAAAAATCGACAACCAGTTTCCACTTCTACCAAATAATCGACCTACGTTAGCACACTGTTCATCATTTCAAAATAATTTAATAGAGGGTCGTTTGTATTATAAGTAGGAGAGACGGAGAGTTCTTGATTTTGAAAAAAATAGATTTAAATATATAAGGCGTGTTGGAAGTTACCAGATCTGCTAGGAGTTTGGTACAGTATTATGGAAAAGGTATTTTGTAGATTCAGTATTACAGAGAGGTAATATTGGTAAGAGAGGTGATGCAAGTATCTAGTTTGTAGTAAGGCTGTAATGAGTACCCGGGTCATCGCTGCGGGTAAGTTTCGTTCCAGCCTGGGTTGCAAAATGTGTACCTGGTTAACTGAGTCAGGATTATTACCTAGTACTATTGTAAAGTTCACAATAGAAAGTTTCAAGTACCTTTATACACTTGTAGGCTGTCTGTTGATAAGAAACAATGTTTAATATGCACATAAACATATCTGTTGTATGAACGGCTACTTTATACAGTAGATTTTAAGTTCTGGTAATGTGCACAAACTAACCATTGTTAACCAAGCAACATGGCTTCCTTGATCGAAGTGTATGTTAGTTGTAATTTTACAAAGTCTTAAATACTTTGTAGTAATCATTTTCTCTACATAGCCAATAACGTCTTTGCTACTAAATGATGTTAGTTAGCCAATAATACTTAAAAAAATTGGGATTTATCACTATTACCATGAATTTGTGGTGATCATGTTACTAAAACTTGCGGGTAGCCATGTACAGGAGTTTCAATGATAAGAGTACCAGGGGCGAAAATTGTGTACCTGTGACAGTCCTGGTCTGTTGTGATAGTGGTGTCAAGGATATTTATAAATGTGCACTTCTGATGGGCATTGTTCCATTGTCAGCGAGGGAGTTATAATTAGCCAATTGAGATTAAGCATCATATCACAATAACTATGGAGGTATTTTGATACCTGTTGGATACCATATCTAATTTATGAATGTTTTTGGTGGAAGTCTCACACAGAACAGAGCATATTCTAAGGTCGTTTCAGAAATTACCTGTTGTGTGAAATACAATGTTTTTGTGTTACATGTTTCAACTTTCTGAAAGATTCAAGACTAAAAATAAATTTCTATGAGCTCACCACACACGTCTCGCCACTTTAACAGAAATGTAGACAAATATTAGTATCAGTAAATATCATTGTCATGGGGATCAGCACTCCATCTGAACACTTTGACCCACATGATTTATGCATCTTTTCTGAATAATCAAGACACCTAGATATGGTCATGCACTTGATCAAGACACCTAGATATTGTCATACACTTGATCAAGACACCTAGATATGGACATAGTATGATACAAATAGAAATAAATATTCAAATAGGGTATAAGATATATGTAGGTTCATAAATCATGTAATTATCTTTAAACCCCTTAGGTGGCATATAGATATAAAATCATAATCTATCAGAAGTTTCTTGAAAAGAAAATCAGATTGAGTAGGTAGTACATCATAGTTTAAATTCTTTTCCAAAATCCTTAAAATGTATTGAAGGTGTAACACTAGGTAAGTAGGCACAATTAGGTACCTGACTGACATTACATGTAATGGGTTTGTGTCTGGTGATTATAATTTGTCCATTCATTTCAATTTCCAATTTTTCAGAAATGCAATGATTCTATATCATTGTCCTGTAATCGTAGTAAGTCAGCTACACCATCAGCCTGAGTTTATATTATAATACAGTTAGTGTAATGTTTTCTCTTCCAGGACCATGAGCTGGTGGAGGAATGGGATATACTTGTTTGTATTGGCGATATTTCCTAGCTGTGGTGCCCTGACTGTGAATCCATCAGACCTTGAAGCCCCTCCTAGGTACCCTAACCCTGTTAAACCCGAGATATTATGTCTTATGTGCTCACCAGGTACATACCTTAAGAGTCATTGTACTCTCAACTTAACAAACTCGGTGTGTCAAGAATGCGAAGTCGGTAGATTCTCTATCAACTATAACAGGGCTGTATCATGTGAGGCCTGTCGTACTCCGGAGAAAGGATGTCCCATCCGTAATGCTCATCTCATCATCACCTGTAATTCTACCACAAATAATTTCTGTGTGTGTAACAATGGATATTATTACCATTCCAAATCTCAAAATCCAATGTCACAGTATGAAGGAGATTGTGAACTGCATACATCATGTCCAGTTGGAGAAGGGGTCAAAGTTCTTGGTAAGTTATTTATTGAATTAACTTTTGTTGATAAGGTTATCGTTTATTTATTTTGTTTGATGTCTCTATCATGCCAAAGGGACAAGTGAGATATAGGGATATCGCAGCTTCCATCATGTGTCAACTTTTGCAATATATTCCAACTATTCATGAATGACTAAGTGGATTTTAATCAAAGTTGGTCTGAAGGATCCTTGGGTGAAGGGAAATCGTTTTTGTATAAATGGTGGGACCAGATGGGCGAGGCCAACCAGGGAAAATCTATGAATTTCTTTAAGATCTATCTTGTTCTTCAGGAATCACAGGATATTGTAAAGATTTGGTCTGAAGCATGCTTTGGTGAAGGGAAATCAATTTTATATAAACTTAGGGTCTCAACCCCTTGGAGCCAGAGTGGCAGAGCCCAATAGGGGAAATCTATCAATTTCTTATAAATCTATCTTGTTCTTTAGGCATTGCAGGATAATGTCCAGATTTGGTCTGAAGCATGCTTGAGTGAAGGGAAATCAGTTTTGTATCAAATATGTGTTTCGGCTCCCTGGGGTCGAATGGGAGGGCCAAACAGGGAAAACCTAACACCCAAGTAGATTTAGTTTATTTTCATGTAATTGCTTTGCACCATCAACCATTCATGTTGATCTTTGGTTCTTTGAAACAGCTATGATCCCCACTGAATGAATATAGCACTGCTGATCATGAGCATTGGGAGATTAACATAATCATACCTGATGATTTGTCCTTGAGGTCTGGTCCCACCCCAGAACAGATTACATCTTCAGAGCCATTGAGATTATCATCCTATAGATTAATAGCATTGCTGGACTTCAAGTTATTAAAGGGATATTCTACCCACAGTGCAAAGATATCTTGTTGTTCCATTCATTTTTTTAATATTTCTCTAATCATGACTATTCAAATTATTGCAAGCATTAAAATATCCTTCTGTGGTCAGGTCGGACAGCCAGAATTGGTGAAAAACACCCCCTGGTCAGTATCAAATTAGAATGTGCAAATACACGTATAGCGCGTTTAACACGTGATCATTTTTAATCCGAGACTGCAAAAACAAAACCACTGTCAGATGACCAGTTGTCCAACATAATCAGCACTTCATTTTTGTTCATTTTTCGCTGGCTGTTCTCTTTCATAAACTGCTGCCACCTCCCATAATGTTTCCCAATGGTGATGTGTGGGTTTTGTCTTGCCAATTTCGGCTTTCTCTTCTTCCTTTCTGAATTAGAAACTATTTTATCTTTCGACCTAAACGTGTCTCCTTGGGAGTAGCCATTTTGCATTTGTTTAAAGTCTATTACACAGCAGACACACACCTGTTGTGATGTCACCTGGGCAGCATGAACATTTGTAAACAGCTAGACCCACTTAAAATTCTTAAAATAAATAGCGAAAGTTGATTTTTTGGGGAAATCGAGTCATCGGATTTCCGTAAGAATATAGGTACATGCTTTTTGTACAATTTTCTCAAAAAGCATCTTATGAAATCCTAACTTGGGCAAAATATCCCTTTTGGATGAGGCTCAACAGGGAAATATTTTCCTTTTAAAGAAATGTAAAGGTTTTTCATTATTGACTTAAATATCCAGATGAGTGATACAAGCTCTCTGGACCTCTTATTAATGTTAAGAATAGAACAAAATAATCCAAAATAAAGAAGTGAAATATAGTAAAGTTGAGTAATAGTAAAATTTGATCAACTACAGAGGTCTGACATTGACAATATACTGTTACAGGAACAGCAGATAATGATACTAGGTGTGAACATTGTCCAAGTGGATTCTTCTCTGATAAAGTGTCCTCAACTGCTGCATGTCAGCCTTACAGAACCTGCTCAGAAGGAACTGTTCCAAAAGGAGGAACAAGAAAGAGAGATATGTCTTGTCAAGATAATGGTAAGTGTGTGTAAGACAGCTCCTCCCAGTCTCTGTAACCCTATTCCTGTATCTGTCATCATCCTAATCCCTGTATCTGTCATCATTCCAATCCCTGTATCTGTCATCATCCCAATCCCTGTATCTGTCATCATCCCAATCCCTGTATCTGTCATCATTCCAATCCTTGTATCTGTCATCATCCCAATCCCTGTATCTGTCATCATCCCGATCCCTGTATCTGTCATCATTCTAAACCCTGTATCTGTCATCATCCAAACCCCTGTATCTGTCATTTTTCCTATTCCTGTATCTGTCATCATCCCAATCCCTGTATCTGTCATCATCCCAATCCCTGTATCTGTCATCATCCCAATCCCTGTATCTGTCATCATCCCAATCCCTGTATCTGTCATCATCCCAATCCCTGTATCTGTCATCATCCTAAACCCTGTATCTGTCATCATTCCAATCCCTGTATCTGTCATCATCCTAAACCCTGTATCTGTCATCATCCCAATCCCTGTATCTGTCATCATCCCAATCCCTGTATTTGTCATCATCCCAATCCCTGTATCTGTCATCATTCCTATTCCTGTATCTGTCATCATCCTAAACCCTGTATCTGTCATCATCCCAATCCTTGTATCTGTCATCATCCCAATCCCTGTATCTGTCATCATCCCAATCCCTGTATCTGTCATCATCATATCTGTCATCCCTAAACCCTGTATCTGTCATCCCTGTATCTGTCATCATCCCAATCCCTCCCATGTATCTGTCATCATCCCAATCCCTGTATCTGTCATCATTCCTATCCCTGTATCTGTCATCATCCCAATCCCTGTATCTGTCATCATCCCAATCCCTGTATCTGTCATCATCCTAAACCCTGTATCTGTCATCATCCTAAACCCTGTATCTGTCATCATCCCAATCCCTGTATCTGTCATCATTCCTATCCCTGTATCTGTCATCATTCCTATTCCTGTATCTGTCATCATTCCTATCCTTGTATCTGTCATCATCCTAAACCCTGTATCTGTCATCATCCTAAACCCTGTATCTGTCATCATCCTAAACCCTGTATCTGTCATCATCCCAATCCCTGTATCTGTCATCATCCCAATCCCTGTATCTGTCATCATCCCAATCCCTGTATCTGTCATCATCCTAAACCCTGTATCTGTCATCATCCCAATCCTTGTATCTGTCATCATCCCAATCCCTGTATCTGTCATCATCCTAAACCCTGTATCTGTCATCATCCTAAACCCTGTATCTGTCATCATCCCAATCCCTGTATCTGTCATCATCCCAATCCCTGTATCTGTCATCATCCCAATCCCTGTATCTGTCATCATCCCTATCCCTGTATCTGTATCATCCCTATCCCTGTATCTGTCATCATCTCAATCCCTGTATCTGTCATCATCCCAATCCTTGTATATGTCATCATCCTAAATCCTGTATCTCATCATCTCAATCCCTGTATCTGTCTCATTCCTATTCCATTATCTGTCATCATCCTAAATCCTGTATCTGTCATCATCCTAAACCCTGTATCTGTCATCATCCCAATCCCTGTATCTGTCATCATCCCAATCCCTGTATCTGTCATCATCCCAATCCCTGTATCTGTCATCATCCTAATCCCTGTATCTGTCATCATTCCAATCCCTGTATCTGTCATCATCCCAATCCCTGTATCTGTCATCATTCCAATCCCTGTATCTGTCATCATCCAGATCCCTGAATCTGTCATCATTCCTATCCCTGTATCTGTCATCATCTCAATCCCTGTATCTGTCATCATCCCAATCCCTGTATCTGTCATCATTCCTATCCCTGTATCTGTCATCATCCCAATCCCTGTATCTGTCATCATCCCAATCCCTGTATCTGTCATCATCCTAAACCCTGTATCTGTCATCATTCCTATCCCTGTATCTGTCATCATCCCAATCCCTGTATTTGTCATCATCCTAAACCCTGTATCTGTCATCATCCCAATCCCTGTATCTGTCATCATTCCTATCCCTGTATCTGTCATCATCCCAGTCCTTGTATCTGTCATCATTCCAATCCCTGTATCTGTCGTCATCCCAATCCCTGTATCTGTCATCATCCCAATCCCTGTATCTGTCATCATTCCAATCCTTGTATCTGTCATCATCCCAATCCCTGTATCTGTCATCATCCCGATCCCTGTATCTGTCATCATTCCTATCCCTGTATCTGTCATCATCTCAATCCCTGTATCTGTCATCATCCCAATCCCTGTATCTGTCATCATCCCAATCCCTGTATCTGTCATCATTCCAATCCCTGTATCTGTCATCATTCCAATCCCTGTATCTGTCATCATCCCTATCCCTGTATCTGTCATCATCCCAATCCCTGTATCTGTCATCATCCCAATACCTGTATCTGTCATCATCCCAATCCCTGTATTTGTCATCATCCTAAACCCTGTATCTGTCATCATTCCTATCCCTGTATCTGTCATCATCCCAATCCCTGTATCTGTCATCATCCCAATCCCTGTATCTGTCATCATCCCAATCCCTGTATCTGTCATCATCCTGTATCTGTCATCATCCTAATCCCTGTGTCATCTGTCATCATCCCAATCCCTGTATCTGTCATCATCCCATCCCTGTATCTGTCATCATCCCAATCCCTGTATCTGTCATCATCTCAATTCCTGTATCTGTCATCATTCCTATCCTTGTATCTGTCATCATCCTAAACCCTGTATCTGTCATCATCCTAAACCCTGTATCTGTCATCATCCTAAACCCTGTATCTGTCATCATTCCTATTCCTGTATCTGTCATCATTCCTATCCCTGTATCTGTCATCATCCCAATCCCTGTATCTGTCATCATCCCAATCCCTGTATCTGTCATCATCCCAATCCCTGTATCTGTCATCATCCCAATCCCTGTATCTGTCATCATCCCAATCCCTGTATCTGTCATCATTCCTATCCCTGTATCTGTCATCATCCCAATCCCTGTATCATGTTGTCATCCTGGACATTTTTCTAATGTACTCAAATTTTTGATAGATACCACAGAGAAGATGGCTGATGGAGAAATTATTGGCATAGTGCTTGGAGTACTAATAGCAGTCATAATTATGATTGTAATTGTTTTCTGCCTGTGGAAGAGGAGAAGGAGGCAGGAATCGAGTGAGAGGTAAGATATATCCATTTACTTTTGTAGGGATGCAAGTTTTTACATTAACAGTGGTTCGGTGAGGTTATGTTATATTGAGTGGTATGTTAAAAATTTAAATTAGGTTTAGCTTTTTTAAAAAGTTTGTCAGTGATTGTGGAAACAATTTCACTTTGTTTGACTGTAGTTTCCCATTTATCACAATATTAAGTTTGGTTAGTCATTGTATTTATGGTGATAGTCATGACCAAAAGTGACCTCATGTCTAGGTAGATTGTTCATCATCAGTCTGAAAACAACTTCTTCTTTAGAACCCATGGTGAAGGATGGAGATATTTGGCTGGCAGATTTCTTTGAGGAAACTGGATTAAATGTATGAAAAGAAGTGACTTTTATCCACATTGCAGGCCATAGTGGTCCAATTTATGACAGTTAAACCACACAAATAAAATTTCGTGTTTCGTAACCGGAACACCTAAAATCACAATATTTGACTTGTGCGTTACATGGATATAGCCCCGTAAAATTAATGGAGAAAAATGACAATGTCAATTAGGTCAAATTGTCCACTAGCTCAAGCTACATATACTTGGTCCTTAGTCAAGGTCCAAGTTGTCAAATACACCAAAGTACTGAAATGACTAAAGTATACGTATCATAAAGTTTGAATTAGAAAGTTATTAAAATTCATAGCATTTACTGTAAAACAGATATTTTCATTATTTGAAATTCAGAGCAAAAATTAGTTTTAGATAAAGATGGAGTCGATTAGCTCATGGACCTTTAACTAGATTTAAAGAGTTAACGATCAATGGCACTGTTACTAAAAATAAAGAAATGGTTTGCATAAATTACCTTGTGATTCCTAAATCCTGTTCAACATGAAATTCATAAAGTGTTTGTCTACTAGGAACATGTCTAAAGGTCAAAGAGGTCAAAGATAAGGTCACCATTACTATGAATATACATGTATAATATAGATCATATATTTTAGCAAAATGTTTACATTGATAGTCATAACTAATCCTTCTAGACCTTTTCTGCATTAATGGTGAGTATGATTTTAAATCACTTTTCAGTAAAGACGAGGAAATGCAAACTGCAAGAGCGAATGGAGAATACGCACCTGTTTCTCAAGGTAAGACTGGCGAATTCTAAATGCTTTCTATGATTTCTTTTTGAATATATAATAATAATTATGATTTCATGAAGATTGCAGAATATCTTTTATACTTTAAATTATCACAATTATCATTAGTTAAAGGTGAGTTTTTGTAAATCACATTTCATTATTTGGTAGTTAGTCTAGAAATGAGATATTGTTATCATTATTTCTGAAGAATTGTTGACTGGGTCTTTGTAAACTTCAACTTGTTTTCAGTTCATTGTTGGTTGTAGTTGTACATGTCTCATTTTGATCTTGATCAGGTATTTAAGGAAAGGAAATAACCAGAGGTCATTTAGGTGTTAAAAATTGATGTTTACTCAAGCATCACTCCAGAAGCAAAAAATAAGATTTTCATGAAACTAATTTAAGTCACAAGCTGAGTACGGTCCTATTTGTACATATCATATTTTGAGCTTTATCAGATTTTCAAGATGGCCTCCAGCAACCCTTATGACAACATTTGAAGCTTGTTATATATGAACCATAGTGATCTTTTGAAATGACAATAAGGTATTTGTCTGAAGTGATGCCACACTCTGATCATAATCAGGCTTTCAAAAGAGTCCTCTGCAGTCAATTTCTTTTAGTGCTATTTCCAACATATCATGAGAGGACCTCATCAGGTTCTTTATGGATCCTAGTAACCAGTTTCATGTCTTAATTGCTATTGCTGTTTTTGTATTTAAGAGAATTTTCTCAGATGTAATATTTCGATCTTACTTTGGTTGTTAATGATTAAGAAGGCTCAACCCTTTCACCACATGTTACTGCTAGATTTTCGTGAAAACTTTTACAAAATGATAATATTACCAGGTGAAAATGATTTTCATGAAAATTCAAGAATTCTAATGAGTTGCAAAACTTTTTGTGAACGAATGCTTAAAACTGATGTTTCATCAATTTTTCTTATTTTTTAACTTGTTTGGCTCTTGAAAACCAGAAAGAATAGATAAACTGAATAAGAAATAACATCTTCTTTACAAACATTTCACTTATGAAAAAATAAACAATATTTACAAGGTGGGTTTTATTTATATCTAGTAGACATATTTCAATATTTACACATACAATATGCACATAGCACATAGCTTTTAAAAATAAAGTTAGAAATTGCAAGAAAATATCTCAGAAATGGTTTTTAATCCACATTTGTATATTTACATATAGAATTGTTCCCAGATGCAGGTTGTCTCCCTTGCGCATGTCAGGGGAATTTTGAGTGGTTAGTATTATTAGATAACACATTCACTATGTACAATAATAATAGATACAATTTTTGACACTACAGATATATAACAGTATAATGATATATATATACACACACCTGTGCATTTATTGGGTATTCATAAATACATGCTTTTAAACAGGTCCTCAAGTTACTTTTTTAAACTGTATGTTACTGCTGCCAATATAGTTGATTCCAAAACTCAATAAACATCCCAAGTTATATACAATCCAATAGGGGTACACTTGTCCAATCCCAGCAGCCCTTCCTGACATGTGTCAGCTCTCTTATGTTTATCATTTCTACAGATCCAGCAGCCCTACCCGACATGTGTCAGTTCTCTGGTATATATCATTTCTACAGATCCAGCAGCCCTTCCTGACATGTTTCAGTTCTCCGGTATTTATGATTTCTACAGATCCAGCAGCCCTACCTGACATGTGTCAGCTCTCTTATGATTATCATTTCTACAGATCCAGCAGCCCTACCTGACATGTGTCAGTTCTCTGGTATTTATCATTTCTACAGATCCAGCAGCTCTACCTGACATGTGTCAGTTCTCTTGTGTATATAATTTCTACAGATCCAGCAGCCCTTCCTGACATGTGTCAGTTCTCTGGTATTTATCATTTCTATAGATCCAGCAGCTCTACCTGACATGGTGTCAGTTCTCTTGTGTATATCATTTCTACAGATCCAGCAGCCCTACCTGACATGTGTCAGTTCTCTGGTATTTATCATTTCTACAGATTCAGCAGGCCTACCTGACATGTGTCAGTTCTTTGGTGTATAACATTTCTACAGATCCAGCAGCCCTTCCTGACATGTGTCATTTCTCTGGTATATATCATTTCTACAGATCCAACCACCCTTCCTGACATGTGTCAGTTCTCTGGTGTATATAATTTCTACAGATCCAGCAGCCCTTCCTGACATGTGTCATTTCTCTGGTATTTATCATTTCTACAGATTCAGCAGCCCTACCTGACATGTGTCAGTTCTCTGGTGTATATAATTTCTGCAGATTCAGCAGCTCTTCCTGACATGTGTCAGTTCTCTTGTGTATATCTTTGTTATAGGTCAAGCAGAAACTGCACCAGAGCAAGCACCTGCACCAACGCAGGTACCAGCGACAACGCCAGCGTTAACACCAGCGAGTGGTAATGGAGTTGGGGATGCTACGGCAATAAGTATGTGATTAAAGCTCAAACTATAACCTTTTACATATGATACTTACTCTCCAGATATAAAATACATGCCCTAGATGTAATATTTTCATTGACCCCTACCAAGTTTTGATATCGAATAACATTATATCCAATGACAGTTTGTGATTCTAAGGAAGCTAAGAAACAGGCTACACTGTGCTTTCATAATCAAGCCCCATGGCAAGATACTTTATCCAAATTGCTAGGGTTTACATGTGATGGGCCTCCTGTATGTTGTTCTATGAGATAACCACCAACTATTTCAAGGAGAACCGCCTCAATATGAAACCCAATAAACAGGCTACCTCTGTTATTTGACCTTCACATTTTGATATCACAAGGACATATGGTTGATGATATATCAGCAATGGTACCTATTTTAAATTGTATGTCACCGCTGCCAATATAGTTGATTCCAAAACTCAATAAACATCCCCAGATATATACAGTCCAGTAGGGGTACACTTGTCCAATCCCAGCAGCCCTTCCTGACATGTGTCAGCTCTCTTATGTTTATCATTTCTACAGATCCAGCAGCCCTACCCGACATGTGTCAGTTCTCTTTTGTTTATCATTTCTAAAAAATTCCAGCAACCCTACCTGACATGGTATATATCATTTCTACAGATCCAGCAGCCCTACCTGACATGTGTCAGTTCTCTGGTGTATAACATTTCTACAGATCCAGCAGCCCTACCTGACATGTGTCAGTTCTCTTTTGTTTATCATTTCTAAAAAATTCCAGCAACCCTACCTGACATGTGTCAGTTCTTCTCTTGTATATATCATTTCTATAGATCCAGCAGCCCTACCTGACATATGTCAGTTCTCAGGTATATATCATTGCTACAGATCCAGCAGCCCTTCCTGACATGTGTCAGTTCACTTGTGTATATCATTTCTACAGATCCAGCAGCCCTTCCTGACATGTGTCAGTTCTCTGGTGTATATCATTTCTACATATCCAGCAGCCCTTCCTGACATGTGTCAGTTCTCTGGTGTATATAATTTCTGCAGATTCAGCAGCTCTTCCTGACATGTGTCAGTTCTCTTGTGTATATCTTTGTTATAGATCAAGCAGAAACTGCATCAGAGCAAGCACCTGCACCAACGTCGGTACCAGCGACAACGCCAGCGTTAACACCAGTGAGTGGTAATGGAGTTGGGAATGCTACGGCAATAAGTACGTGATTAAAGCTCAAACTATAACCTTTTACATATGATACTTACTCTCCAGATATAAAATACATGCCCTAGATGTAATATTTTCATTGACCCCTACCAAGTTTTGATATTGAATAACATTATATCCAATGACAGTTTGTGATTCTAAGGAAGCTAAGAAACAGACCACACTGTGCTTTCATAATCAAGCCCCATGGCAAAATACTTTATCCAAATTGCTAGGGTTTACATGTGATGGGCCTCCTGTTTGTTTTTCTATGAGATAACCACCAACTATTTCAAGGAGAACCGCCTCAATATGAAACCCAATAAACAGGCTACCTCTGTTATTTGACCTTCACATTTTGATATCACAAGGACATATGGTTGATGATATATCAGCAATGGTATCTAAGTTGATACTGATGACAAAAAAAAAATTCTAAAATCTTGAATCATTTATTGATCATGACTATTGCATATCCCACCAGAATTGGAAATCAAAGACATGACAGATTCTTCTACATCAGCCCCTTATCTTGATCATTTTCTAAACCAAAACCAACAAACACAATTTTCCACCTAGCTGTATGATAAATGTAATGATTTCAATTTCCCTATTGTGAATTCTCCATTTCTGGATAGCAATAACCCTGCATTCTCAAACTTGGGTTTTTGTGTGTCGCTGTTGATTTGATATCCAAATTCCTATTCCTGATATCCTGATTTGTGTGCTAGATGTCGACAACTGATGAACAAATTCCTAATGCTGGGTTTCAAGAGATGTCAGTTGATGAGAATTATTGAACAGTTTTAGTCACTCTGTTGATCTCAGTGAGAAATATTCTATTATTTGTGTAATATGAAGCTGGATGTGTTTGAAGGTCATTTAATTGAATATTTAGTTCGTCTGTTGGTTCCATTGTTGTATACCTTAATTTCAATTGGCATCTCTTACTTGGATTGATCAATACTTAAATTATGTCATCGATGAAGCGGAAAACACTTATTCTTCTGCGACACCTGGACTTACTCTACCTGTTCTATTTCATGGGTCTCCATGTAAATCAGTTTTTCTTCATATTTTAGCCTAGTTTTATTGAATTTTAATTTGGATTATGGTTTTGTTCACAAGTTGGTATTTTCTTGTTGATTTTATGCCCTCACCATTTTATTGCTGGAACATATAGTGTTACCATTGTCGGCATTCTGCTCATCTTCACTTAAACCGAGACAGATATAGAATTACAATTTGGTATGTAGATGTATAATAATATGCAGGGCAAAAGTAAATTTTTCCCCCTGTAGTTCTCTCTCTGTAACTTTTTATTTAAATTTTCAAAAAATGGTAACACCAATATTGGAGGGGGTTGTCTCTCTCTAATAGGATTTTATTAAAAATTTTCACATAGATCTTTAGACTTATTTTACAAGTCATGAGTACACCTCTTAACAAAGCCTAACTTCCATAAAAAATTTATACTTCTCTTGCTAGTGGTGATATCTATGATGCACCGACACATCTAGTTCTATTCAACATACAATTTATACTTTCTTAATGACAAATGACTATTTCAGAACCAAAGCGTCCTCCATGGGATGATGTATGTCGATTTTTATCTGCTAACCTTTGTGGAATCACAGACTACAGAATGGCCTTACGGTCAATTATGGGTAAGTATAACTCAACATATTTTCTTTTTACAGAGGCTGACCTTTCAAAAACTTGTTTGTTGAAGATGGGTCAGTCCAATTTAGCTATAACCTTGCAAATTTGCCACACACCATATGAGCAGTATCTTTTGTGAAAGTCTAATTAAAACCAATTTCAACAATGTTTAGCTTACCAGTCCTGCTTTCAAGGCCACAGGGATGAAGCATCTGATATGGGGTCTGTAGCATCCTCAGAGAAGCAAATCTGAGTTTGTTCAAAGGACTGACCTTGACTCACTAATCAGGTCACAGTTGTCAGATTTGTTAAAATCCTTAAACAACTTCTTCTTTATGACTTGGAAGCCAAGAGTACTGATATTGGGACATATGTTAAGTAGGGTTTTCAAGTGTGTTCAAATGACTAAATGTAACCTGCTTACAGGGTCAAAGGTGTCTAATGTGTTCAAATCTTACACCAACATCCTTTCAATATGTGAACAAGAGTCTCATGCAACTAATATTAATTAGGACTGTATACAATGTTTGTTCACATGAATGACCTTGATCAACTGTCAAGGTCACCGGATGAATTTCCTAAAAGCTCTAAATTGCTTTTCTGTTACTAGTGGACTGATGAGAGGTTTTCAAATGTTTGTTTTGTTTTCAAATAAATAACCTTAACCAATTTTCAAAGACACAAGAGAAAAATGTGTTGACTACTCTATAGTATTGTTCAGGCATGAAGGGCTACCAATTGAACTAGTTTGGAAATCACAGGGATGAAATGATTGAAGAACTTCTCAAAACGAAAACTACAAAGAAGTGTGAAACATGCTTTCTTCTTGAAAAATTTCAGAAGTGAAAAAAAGTTACTTAAATTGGAGTTTGACTCACTTTGTAGGTCGCAATTGTTAAATGTGTTTGCAAAAAGCATTGAGTCACAGGTGTTTGGAGTTTGTTGTAATTTAAATGCCCTATGGAGTCTGTGTGAAGTAAAAGGATTTGATTCCTAAGTGTCAAACAAAGAGATTTCTGTGCAAGAATATTCTTGACTGTCAACCAGCGTCCCATTTCACCATATATCAAGGTAGTTGAAATATAATGATGATTTTGTCTGTGACCAATATGTAAACATTGGCTTTACTACATAGGCTATTGTATTGATGAATTATTGTCAAACTGCAGTAAAGTACTTCATGGAAAACAAGGATGAACAAAAATAAAATTTGTTTTCAATTTGTCTAGATTAAAATGGTGTTTAAATCATTAATGTTTGGCTGTATAATGAGAAAATACCATCTGAATGTTTCTCATTTGTATAATATGAGGCCAGAGATGATTATTATTAATGATACCAGTACCCTGACTGAACCTGACATAACATATGATACTCTGGTGCAATGATCCAGTCCTGGCAATCTCTATAAATGTTTTAACATGTTAGAGCTTACATGAATCCTTATGCAATAAGTATCTGTGTATTGGGCAATATTCCTGGTGATAAATCCACCTCTAGTCCAGCTCTGTTTCCCATTTTTTAAGATGTTCCCCTGACTATGAGTAATATGTTGATCACCTCTCCCTTCCATCCACCCCACTATCCACCCTACTCTTTCACCCCACTATCCACCCCACTCTTTCACCCCACTATCCACCCCACTCTTTCACCCCACTATCCACCCCACTCTTTCACCCCACTATCCACTCTACTCTTTCACCCCACTATCCACCCCACTCTTTCACCCCACTATCCACCCCACTCTTTCACCCCACTATCCACCCCACTCTTTCACCCCACTATCCACCCCACTCTTTCACCCCACTATCCACCCCACTCTTTCACCCCGCTATCCACCCAACTCTTTCACCCCACTACCACCCAACTCTTTCACCCCACTATCCACCCCACTCTTTCACCCCACTATCCACCCTACTCTTTCACCCCACTATCCACCCCACGCTTTCACCCTACTATCCACCCCACTCTTTCACCCCACTATCCACCCTGCTCTTTCACCCCACTATCCACCCCACTCTTTCACCCCACTATCCACCCAACTCTTTCACCCCACTATCCACCCTACTCATGGTCCCCACTATCCACCCCACTCTTTCACCCCACTATACACCCCACTCTTTCACCCCACTATCCACCCAACTCTTTCACCCCACTATCCACCCCACTCTTTCACCCCACTATCCACCCCACTCTTTCACCCCACTATCCACCCACTCTTTCACCCCACTATCCACCCAACTCTTTCACCCCACTATCCACCCTACTCATGGTCCCCACTATCCACCCCACTCTTTCACCCCACTATCCACCCTGCTCTTTCACCCCACTATCCACCCCACGCTTTCACCCTACTACCACTCTACTCTTGCACCCCACTATCCACCCCACTCTTTCACCCCACTATCCACCCCACTCTTTCACCCCACTATCCACCCTACTCTTTCACCCCACTATCCACCCCACGCTTTCACCCTACTATCCACTCTACTCTTTCACCCTACTATCCACTCTACTCTTTCACCCCACTATCCACCCCACTCTTTCACCCCACTATCCACCCAACTCTTTCACCCCACTATCCACCCCACTCTTTCAACCCACTATCCACCCCACTCTTTCACCCCACTATCCACCCAACTCTTTCACCCCACTATCCACCCCACTCTTTCACCCCACTATCCACCCCACTCTTTCACCCCACTATCCACCCCACTCTTTCACCCCACTATCCACCCAACTCTTTCACCCCACTATCCACCCCACTCTTTCAACCCACTATCCACCCCACTCTTTCAACCCACTATCCACCCAACTCTTTCACCCCACTATCCACCCCACTCTTTCACCCCACTATCCACCCCACTCTTTCAACCCACTATCCACCCCACTCTTTCAACCCACTATCCACCCCACTCTTTCACCCCACTATCCACCCTACTCATGGTCCCCACTATCCACCCCACTCTTTCACCCCACTATCCACCCCACTCTTTCACCCCACTATCCACCCTACTCTTTCACCTCACTATTCACCCAACTCTTTCACCCCACTATTCACCCCACTCTTTCAACCCACTATCCACCCCACTCTTTCACCCCACTATCCACCCAACTCTGTCACCCCACTATCCACCCCACTCTTTCACCCCACTATCCACCCTACTCATGGTCCCCACTATCCACCCCACTCTTTCACCCCACTATCCACCCCACTCTTTCACCCCACTATCCACCCCACTCTTTCACCCCACTATCCACTCTACTCTTTCACCCCACTAACAACCTACCTTGGCTGAATGCATGATATGATATACAATATAGACTTCAATATGATACCAGTTTTGTGTGAATACAAAATTGAAGAGTCACTTCGTTGATTACAGGGAAGTCAAGTTATAAGAATGGGGATGCTCTGATCATAGAGCACACCATGAACCATCCCCGAGACGTGAAGGAAGTGATTTACTTGGTGCTGAAAGAATGGACAAAGAAGTGTCCATGTACATTAGACATGGTGTTTGATGGACTTGAAGAGCTCAATCTAAAACAGATGATCTGTGACCTTAAGCAAGAAAAGGCAGTGAAAAACTTTATAACAGCTAATAATGAGTCCACTGGAGAGTCTACAAGTTCTTCTTGTTAAAGTGAAGATCCGGGAAATTGAAACTATACCAAAACAAAATATTGGTAATGTGTAGCATTAAAATGGAGGCTAGGAAAGAGTTTACAACATGATTAAATTAAAGTGGAGGTTTGGAAAAAACAGTACTAAAACTAGGAGTCTACGGCATCAACATAATGTTGAAATGGTGAGTCTCAAACAGTGTTCAGTTGAAATGGTAGTACAGTGTATACTGAAGGTTTAGCGATTGGTTTTATCATTTTAATACTGAACTGATATTGGAATTTTCTAAGTAACTTGCCAAAAACATTGGTAGTATGCAAAAATCACAGTTAATGAGGAAAGGTTGAAATTTCTGCATACTGAGTGTTATAAAGGTAAGAGAGCTAGACAATCAGGTATTAATGTGTCATAATCTGAGATAGCTGAATGAAAATGATTAGCAATGTATAAAAAGACAAGAAAAAAAGCATTGAATGTTTTTTTTTCTTTTTTGCTAAAATAGCAATAAAGTTTTGAACAATCAATGTAAAAATGTATTCCAAAGGTGGATTGAGTGAATTCTATCTGCAAGTTTTGGTCAAAGACCAATTTATTTTAAGGTATATTGTTTTTGCTGTGGCTCTTAACAGTCATCACCTTAAGTAATGTCATGGTAAGTTATACACTTCCAAGTTTGTGTAGCATATTGAAACAGTTTGTTTGAGAGCAGTGATATCATTCATTTCCATGAATTTTCAGAATGAAGTTTGATGACTTGGTCAGGACAATTTCATATTGTTAAACATATGATAATGAAACAGGCCTGTCAGGACTGTCAGAAGAAAAGTGTCCCAGTTACCAAATACTAAGTTTAAAGGGCCATGAAAATGTACTGTATAGAATTAAACCGGTGCTGTCATGGTTTCAGATGTATAGGAAATGTACTATACACAAATGTTCTCATGCTAGTTTGATGTTGGATCTCAACTTTCATTTTCCATATAATTTGTTACATGTATAAACTCCATCTCGGATTGCTTGTTGATGGAATTGTACATTATGTCGCTGTTGTTTCCGAAGTCAAATGGATTTCTACTTAAATGTTGAGAAGGACCTTGGAAACAGTGAATGTCCGAGTATAAACACTGTGGTCTTTGAGGAAGTTAAAATTCAGGATTTTCTTATTTCTGAGTATAAACACTGTGGTCTTTGAGGAAGTTAAAATTCAGGAATTTCTTATTTCCTTCTCGATCTTGTATTGCAATTTTCCAATCTGTATGGATTTTCCTCTACATATCAATATTTTTGTTCAAACCCAGATAAAAAAAAAAATTCTAGGACAAAAAACAATATTTCCATTCTAGAACTAAAAGTATTTTCCTGTATGAAGTTTGGAAAAGATGATGAATTCAACCATGAAATATTTTAGGATCTTGAAATCCAGTATGTAACTTAAGTTAAACTTTATAGTAGATAGAGATGTTTTTACTGCTGCTCTATAGATCAATCAAAACAATTATATCAAAACTTTGATGTGTGGAAGTTGTGTTGGAATATATTTTATTTGTTCTGTTCTGTTATAATTCTCCCATGTGTACTTCTCCACAATGTTTGTATAAAAATGATACATGAACAAAATATTGTATCATTGATACACTGGCCTCTGTATGTAAGATTTAAGTGCTAAGTGTAAGATGTGTACCCTGTAAGTAATTTCTGTTTCTCTGGATGGCTATTTCACAATGAGTTTTATTTGGAAAGAGTTTTAAAAATCTATATAAAGAATGAAAAAAAAAACAATATGTAAATGTCTTACATGGAAGGATATCTTCAATTCAAAGTTTATACGTTTAATGAAGTATTCTCTTATTTACATTTTAGGACAACATTTGTGATTAAATAGTATGAGTTTTTGGTTCCTGCGTGTAGAGATACATGCTGGTTGTATCAAACATAAGGCCTTTTTTTCAAAAGAGTTATTATTCCTAGTTCTTGCTAATTTTTTTAAGAGTTCAGCACAGGTCTCACCTCCTGTTAGAGAAGAGTTCCACACAGAACTGTTTCATTTTTTAAAAAATTTTGAAATTAAGGCTTCATTAATAAGAAAAATTCCAAATGATCACCAAACTTGTATTAGAAAACTAAGGGAGAGAATCCCAACACAAGTGCAGTAATAATTTGAAAGGAAGCATACCGCCTTAACTTCATCAGATTTTTCAAAAGCTGTAAGGTTGTATTCTTTCTTTGTTTTCAAACTCATTTTGTTATCAGCATTAACATTCTCGGGTAGTTTGTATATTTTTCTAGCTTGTCAAATATATCACCGAAAGTAACCAAAGAATTTTTCCAGTTTAAACTGAAAACTCCAACTGTATTTTTTTTCTTTTTAAATTATATTGATGTTGTGGATGTATAATAGATCAACATAATCATACAGAAATGGCATAATTGTTGTAATTCTTGTAATTTCCCAGTAAAATAATGTATTTATCACACATTTTATGAAATTCATGAAAAGTATTTTAAAAAATCAGAACTACATTATAAGTTTAGCTTGATATCATTTTAATCATCTGTACAATAGTGTCGGTTTTTATAGTATTCAAAATTGGTTAACTGTTTTTGAAATCACTGATAATTATTACTTTGATGTGATATAGATAGAGAGCTATGTAAACCGCTTTTAACGTGTTAATTGGAGTTACCTCCCCTGACACTGTACAGACGTGGACAAACTAGTTTCCATCTGGAAATTTATTTCCCTTTTAGACTCAAAGATGAAATTATTTAACATCATCATACAAAATACATTAAGATCGTAAGTGGCAAGCAAGATTCTTTATATGGTTTAATTTCTCTACACATGAATTAAAATATTGATTGTTTTTTATTTAGTATCAATCTTTCAAATGTATTTTTTTTAAGTCTAGAATTGACAGAAATTTATTATGTATGGCTATTTTTCACCATTGTAGTATATACCAGCTTTAAAGTTGTTGGGAGTATTTATTAAGCTTATCTGATTTAAAATTTAATCTTTTTACTTACAAACATTGCCTGATAGAATCTCACCTATCATCCTATCATTGTTTTTAAACAAACCACCGCAGAATTAGAGTTGTGTGGAACTTTATAATTATGTTTTGAAATGTTTCATAGAATTTTTCATTTCTTTGTATCTATACTAATATACCATAATAAATGAAAATCAGGTTTGTGTGTGAAATACCAGACATCTTGGTCCATGAACGGTGTAAGGATGTGCCATCTTAGGATATTAAGAAAATTTTGTGCTGATTTTACGATTATTGTCTAAATATCCTGAAGCATGAGTGATAGGGGTAATCTGGACCTGATTAATTAAAGTCAAACTCAACTAGTCTGTTATACCAGTGAATATCAACCAAGAATTTTGTGTGTGAAACAACTGGATTGTTATATTCTTATATAGCATACACCTGTGTTTATCCAATGCAGCAAATCATCGGACAGACATTTGAATTTTTGTGTAAGACAAGAAATTGGCATCTGAAATCTGGAATCAGGTTTCAAATGTGAAGCCATGTGAAATTATCACCGCTTCCAGTCTACAATCGTATTCACACTGATAATCTGCCAATATTGTATGTAAATTCATGCACCCGAGTATTCTGACCGGTTTGGAGTTCCCTGGTATGGTCGGTTCCTATGGTCGAGACTTAAATCTGCCTGTTTGAGACAGCATGAAGAAGTAAAATTTATAGCAGATTTATAAAAACGTCCCTTTAATTAATGTAATTATTGATCATATTTATTAAACACTGATCCTGAAATATGTAGGTGAAATTATGTATTTCGTACATGTTTATGAATGTTTTATTTAAATACATATGTCATGTAGTTAATACTGTGTCAACATTGAAAATGTTTCATTTGAGTTGTAAACAATTGTCAGTATATTTCTGTCTACGTCAGTATTCAAAGTTGGAGGAGGAAATACTTGACATTACATATGAGAGAGGTATATTTAATATTAAATATGTACATATATGTTATATTTAATTGTGCTTATCATTTTTAGTTGTATAAATTTATTTACAAATGTCATGGTATACTGAAAGTATTAGACATACAAGTAGATATAGGTATACTGAAGATTTTGTATGTGATGTTCAGGAATTGTTGGTTTCACATTAATTTATTTAACTGAAATTGATAAATATCCGATAACATGACATGAGAAATGTTGGAAGTGGATACATTATGGGTGATGAATCATATCATAATTGTTTTCAGTTTCGTTTTGTGCCTTTTTAGCACATTTTACTGTTATGGAAAATATTTTGTTTTGCAAGATATGCTCAAATGTCCTTGTAGCCACTACAGAGAGTGGTAGATCGCATGCAATAACCAGATTCAGAAGAATGGGTTTAAAAGTGATATTTTCTTTGACAATTACTTTTGAACATATTATAAATCTTAAGTTATTGAGAAGTTACTGAATGTAAAGCAATTCATGTCAAAATTTGAGGTGCAAAATCCATTGGGATTTTTTCACACATTTTATGCAAAGAAAAAATGAAATGTATGTCTTTCCTGATTGCTATTTGAGAACGAAGCATTTGAGATCGGGCCCAAATTTCTTTTCAAAAAAAGGTATTTTGAAGCTTAAACTTTGAAATGGTCTGTTTGTTGATTTCTGGTCTTTTTGCTTATGAAAATTCACTGATATTTAACATGTATTCAATGTCAAATATTTTCTTCAAGTATTCCTTAAAAAAAAAAAAAATTTTAATAATAAAGAGAAATAAATAAAAAAATTATACATAGATTTTTTTTAACCATCTTGATAAAATATTTCAGTTTAAACAATAAGAAATACAAAATTTAAAAAGACCTTTACACATACATATGGTATTAATGAAAAGACGATCAGTGAGGATTTTGTGGTCAAGTTGGCTTGTCAATGTTAGACACTCTGCTGTAGTGATCGGTATACTGTGAATTGTCGGTGACTTACTGCTCAATAATTATCTGTGATATGTTCTGTCTGCTTTGCT